GTTGATTTATATCGAAGGCGCCTGTAGAATAGAATTAACCGGAAGATAAGTGAGACAGCTGCCTTTAAGTGCTAACCCAGACTATATTTTATATACACAGATTTTAGCAACACAATTATTGGCGTCTCAACCTTGGCTGAGTTGTGGAACATGTGTTCGGTTGCCTTTTAGTCCAACAGAGAGCGTAATTGGCAGTGTTTTGTGGCTAACCCGGTTTCATGTCTTCACAACCATCAAGTCATAACGTAACAGGAGCTTGGCTGGCAGTTCCACCTCCGAGGGCCTGAATTACGTTAATTCAGCTTGATGCCCCCATCTCCCTGTCACAACTCGCTGGTGCATGAAATGTGGATCTACCTGGCTTCATGCAAGGATGGGAAAAGTATGGCTCCGTATGCTCTTGATTGGGTTTTGAAGCTTCTACACTTCATCACAGTTCACACTTCTTCCAGGTTGTTGTCATCCAAGGAGCACCTGAAATATGGTCAATGAACACATCTGAGTGGCTTGAACATTACAGTAAACGTTGATTGTGTGAAGGAGTTATGTACAGTCTATAGTCAAATCCGGATTAGCTATACTCGAACAAGTGTACAACAACATGTGAATGATCCTGCACTTTTTCAGTTTAAGGATTACTTGATGTATTGGCTTTTTGTGTATTCTTTGATGTCATTTTAAAAAGTCATCATATATATTTTATTAAGAAGTAAAAAAAATCACTCTAGAATACTATTTGGTGGATAGTAAAGTTATTAAATCCAAATACAATGTTTAAACATGTGAAGAGTGTGTATTCATCATATATATGCATACATGCTTATATTAAACTAAATTAATTTAATTTAGTTTAAAGAAAATTAATTTAATCAACTATTAGTTTTTCATGAAGAAACTATTCCAAATGTCACGCATGGCAAATCAATCCAGTATATCGGGTGCTATGTCGTTAATCATCTATCTGCAATTCATAACATGTGAAGATCAAGTCATCTACTCGTTTGATAACATTGAGGACAAATCCATCATCCAATTGGAACAACATCAATAGGCGGAGTCAGTCACGACATGTGACATTCTCTAAAACACCTATCACACACCAACATAAGTGACTCCTTACCAACTAATTCACATAATATATATATTAAGCTAGCACGTACTATTGACATGCTTGGATTTGTAGTATCATCCAAGTTTGGAAGATGCCATGGTGCACAGTTTCGCATATGATTCTTCCAAACAACAACGTCATGATTCTCCAACATGAGAACTCCAGAAGATAATACCTCCCGCATTCATAAAATAGTGAACTGCCGTCATATCCAATGGACTCAAACCATCGACATCAAAGTTCGCAACTCTAGATCTATGCAACTCCTAAAAGTAGTACTCATGTAAGATGAAAGCCCACCGTGTAAGTTTCCTTGCGAGCTTGTTGAACTTTATCAACCACTTGAGCGGCTGATGATCACTAACAAGGATAAACCACGTACCAAACAAATAACATATGAAGTTTGCCACATCTCACACCGCTACAAAACACTCTTCCTTGTACACGTATATCGCGACTACGTTGCATTTTTTGAATGACTAGCATACACAATCACAAACTCCTTGTCCTCATTATCACGCTGCGTCAACACCGCTCCAAGATCCAACATACTTCAATAAGTGTGCAACTGGTATAGATGAACTCTGATGGATCTACTTAAGATGGAACCAGCCATCAACTTGGCCTTGAGTTCAACAAAAGCTCTCTCTTGTACATCTCCCTATTGTCACTCATGATCTTACTTCAGTAACTGGTTCAAAGGTTTGACTATAGCATCAAATTTATTCACATACCTTCCGTAGTATTTCGTCAAACCCATGAATGCCTTTCTAGTTAGTTGTCAATACAGAGTTATGTTTTGAATCAAAATTTGATTTTATTTGATTCATAACATATGAAGATCAAATCATCTACCCTCCAAAGTGCATAAAAGACAAATCCATCATTTATACAATTGAGAATTTATTCTCAATATTTTCATTGATAATTGAGAATGACTCTAGTTCAATCATCCATTATGATAAAATTATATATGAATAGAAAAGTTTCATAGAATATTTTTAATAAGATATCTTAGAATGTTTAAACAGTTTATTTATTTATTTGAAAACCTTCAAGATAATACATCATCCACATGATGAACATTTTTTGATTATATTGATGTTTCATTAACATCATATTATTTTTAAATTTTATATTAATTTTAAGTCTAAGTTACATATAGAAGACATGCTTGCTTCAAAAATCGGATTCTCTTTTGCCAAATATTTTCCAAGGCCTACGCTCCGTTCAATTTACTAATTCATAGAAATGTTCAAGTCTAAGAACTTAGACTTGGGTTCTGATCGAATGGCCAGGATGGATCGATATCGAGGCTGAAATTCTGAAAGACTGGGACTGGAGGATGCGGCCAAACCTCATATTTATTGGCAAAGAAGACAAACTGATCCGTGATGACGCAGTTGTCACCTTGACGGAGTTCTCAAGTATGATGGCTTGGATTGTCTGATCGAGATGACGTGGAGTGAAAAGGCAGGAACATTCTCTGGCACAAAAGGTCGGTCAGCATTGCCCACTGACCACGGGGACAAACATCGCCAACTAATACCCCCTTGGCATGGTGGCCAGGTGGACTCTCGGTCTTGTTTAGAACTCATGGTTCCGAAGTCCGAGAGCCAAGTTGACTCACGGCGATTAAGAAGGTTTGGACATCAACTTCAATTCACGTCCTTATGCAATCAGCAACTATGGAATGTTTCTCGAGTGGTGCATGCTTTGCAGTGAAAATCTCGAAATCCAATTGGTAACGACGAGGCCAGATGCACAGAAACTTGCACTTTCTGTCAACTTACCTTGCGTAGTATGTGAACTATATTTACTAGCATTGGAATTTAGAGTTTTGATGGCTACGAGGGAATGAAGAGGGAAAGAAGACAATGCTCTACTCTACTTCGAGTGACATCACTTTTTTCTCGAGGTTCTCCAGAGCTATGACAAGGAACGTGTACCGAAGAGAAGGAAGGCCTGGTTCTGAAAAATGCTCGAAATGCTCAGTGATTCACACCTCCAGCCACCAGTACAGGACTACAACATCCATCACATTACATCACGCGTGCAGCCATCGTGGTAAAACTGCGTGGCGCAGCCGAACTTGCTGGACTTGCAGACGTGTGTCCGATCGACACACGATCCGACACACGTCTTGTCTTGGAGGGAACCAGGAATGCTTGCTTGCTAAATCAGTCAGTCCACCCAGCAGCCAAATCTCATCCCAAAAAATGACATTGAGTTGCGACCCAGCCGATAAAGTGCTTCCCCTGTCCGGATCCCACCCCATCTCTGCCTGCCACGATGCTCTTGCTCTGCATCGAGCTCTCTCCGGGATCGCGTTCTTCCTCGTCTATTGGTTTCTCAAGTCTCCAAAAAATTGTTGCACTCGGTAGGGCCTGAGGACTTGCTGGAGGCCGGCATGGTCACCAGGCTCTGCCCAGGAAAGGGTGAAAGGTGAAGGTAGAAAGCAGGCAGGCAGGCCTCCCACTGGCAGTCCTTGCTGGTGTGAGCGAGACCAGACCGGTGCATAGTGTGGGCTTTGACCTGCTCGAGTTCTGTGTGGCTGAAATCTGGTCCAGACTCGATCGAGTTATGCAAAGGAGTCCATGTACTGTACTTGTGCCCACGGCGAAGAGTAGACGTGTGGAAGAAGCGAACTAAATCTGGCCGCCAATGATCGATGAAGGTCGCTGCTTGGACACTGGCTGCTTCAGTTCTGCCTAAACTGCCGTCCCTCCAGGTGGATAAACGGAATGATACCCAGATGTCGAGCTGACAGAAGATGCCATTCTTGTCCTGCTGGAGTGAGTCCAGGACAGAGCAACAGAGCATTGTAACTTCAGCAGCAGAATGCGAAGAATATCGCATCGTTTGATGATCACATCACAGCTGGTATGGGCCTAGCGAGGAGCGAGCGAGGTACCTTCCGATGCTTCCCAGCAGCGCCAATGGAGCTCCTCCTTATTCCCCCGACGGTCAAATTCCAAGACTTACTCTCGACAAGAGTATTCATGTTTACTTGCGAATTGATGATTATGAGCTCGAGGGGAATACAGGGCCCACTCCCCAAACCGTCAGCCACTCGTGTCAGGGTATCCTGATGACCTTGCCTGGAATCATAAGACGATCACTAAGCGACGTCGAGTGGTGCGAGGTCTATGGATTGGCATTTTGATGATAAGCAGCAGTGTGTTCCGACGATGATGATAATGGCGACTCTGACGCATGTTTGGTCACTACAGTTACCAAACTTGTGGCGCTCTGTCAAGGAACGAGGATTGACGAAGAAACCTCGATACTGGACACTTGAGCTCAGTGAACAAGCGATCCAACTGATCGAAGTGATGCGATCGCTCTGATCCATCTCTCTGGAGAAAGTTCTTCTTGCATTTGCTCCGTCCGAAGTCCGTGCGAAACGTCTCGTGTCCGATCAAGAACACCACCAGCTCACGGAGTGTCTCCGGCACCGAGGTTATACTTTTCAGCCTCAAGTCAGCGCCTGGGAGTGGGTTTGGGGTTTGAGGTGCATCCCAAGGAAGGACGGTTTTGTCCCTTCAATGAGCCTTCCTGCTCATTGACGTAGCTAATTCAAGCGTATTCCCTATGATGTCACTAAGATGAACAGACGTGGGAAGACTTTCAGACTTTTCCGTCTCAGTCGAGTCGAGCTGACCAACTGAACTCATTGCCCTCTTGATGTTCTGAGGATCCTGATTCTAACCGAATCAAAGCTTGTCGTCTGTTTAAAGCTGTCTTCACTCTGCTGGACCTGTGCATCAATCGAGAGATCCACCTCGCACTGATGCCTCAAATCTGAGCAATGGAAAGTTCGAATTTGCAACCCTACCACGTCTTAGTGCTCTGATTCCATATGTCGTTTCCGGGTCTCCTCGACCTTCGAGGGTTTAGGCTTCTTCATTCATTCAGTTGTTCTGTTCACGCGCTAGAGGACAGTACATTACGCGAAACCAATGAACACATTAGTGTAGCTTTAAAGGACCCATCTGCCAGTGCTGCTGCAAAGCAGGTACTGAGGCTGCGAGTAACATGTGAGTATACAAGACACATTTTTAAAAGGAGCTGTCTCCGAGGAAAAGTGTGAAAGGTGAGAATTTGAGGAAAATAATTTCGAATAATACTTTTGAGGTTATACTGGACACAATCGCGCAGTTCTCATCTCGTTGATGTTGGTCGTGACCGTAGACCTGAAGGTGCCTTGGAAACCCAAGGAGGCACAGGCACAGACCACCTCTTCGACGTAGAGTCGAACATCGGGGACAAAACTTGCCAGTGATGTTGAGTTCACTGGATCTTTTGGACGTAGTGGTTCGAGCCCGGCGATTTGGGGGACGAAGCCCAGTCTGAGGCCATGCTCAGACGACGTCGTCTGGTGGGCAGTGTCATTCAGAAAGTACTGGTGGCCATCTAGAGTGTGGATCATGAATCGATCGCTGGCATCTACCTCTGCCAGAAGCGTTCCGTTCCAGCTTTCTCGTGCTAGGTCCGTCATGAGGAAGATGTGCAACCTTTTACTCTTCCTGTGCCACTTCTGCGACAGCTGCTCCAATTTCTTCCTCAAAGGCCTGAAGATCTTGTCCCAGACATGAACAAAAGCTCCGTCCCCCAGCCTGACATGCGCACAGAAGTAAGGTCGGTTCGCAAATTCCTCCTTCACGAATTGCTTAGCGCTCCTCATGATCTCCTTCGTGAAAGGAAGGCCTTTCTTTATGGCCTCCAGCTTGGATTCCATGACCTCGTCTCCCAACGCTGCTCTGATGTTCACATGGAGCTCCATATGTTTGTACATTCGGGAGAAGAGGCTTCCGAAGGACAGAAGAAATCTTTGGCCGGCTTCAGATCCGGGGCCCAGAGTCTTCACGATGTCCTTTCGGACGATCCTTCGATCATGGCCAGACTCGGCGTGCATCAAGCTTGTCCGATTGGACATATCCGGATCGTTCCGAAGCTTTTGCATAAGCTGATGCTCCATGAATTCTCGAGTGAAGTCGCTCTCGCCATTGGTCCAGATCGTTGTGGGACAGTCGTCCTCCACGTCGTATACCAAACAGGAACGCACTCCCGGGGCGGGAAATAGTCTCTGTCTGCAAGTCGCCAGAGATCCCCAGCTCGGAGGCAGGGAGCTCGCCAAGCTGCGGCATTGCGGCCCTGCGCACACCGGAGCTATGTCCACTCCACACCACAGCGCCAAGAACACGCGCAGGTCGATGGTTCTCACCAGCCTCGGGGTCAGCGACCGCAGATCGACGATATCTGCAATCGCGACGTATCTGCACAAGTTCAACCACAGCGGATTTGGTGATAAACATGTCAGCCCCTTCGTGGTCCAGCGCATTCACGGCACCAAAATTCCTCAACTCGTCCGCTTGCCACTACATTTAGTAGCTCAAAGCTCTGTACGGGGTACACTCATTTTCGTCGATCGATGATCTGACTTCTTTCTACGAGGTGTTGTCGGCATCGTTCCTCGAGGAGCCACGAGTTCGACAGCTACTGTTCGGTCAGAGAAAAGCGGCAAAGAAGTGCGCGGACAGCATCCCGCCGACCAAGAAACCCTCCCAAACCCTTCCAAGAAGCAGAGACAACCCCCGAGACAAGACCTCGATCGATAAGAGTGCATTCAATTTACGAGATGTCTTCGTGAGAGACACAGAGTGTAATGCAATGTAACGCGACGGGCAAGAAGCGCGGAGCAAGAAATAAGGTCTCGAGCGGGCCGGCAAAGAAAAAGAGGAACTTCTTGAGACTTCTTCTCGTCTTCTCTTCTCTCCCTTTCGAAATAGAATTTGGAACACAGACCTCACCCTCACGTAAGCCTGACCTTCGCTTCCCTCGACAAGCTCCAGAAAATTGGCTCATACGAAACAGAATTCAAGCTCTTCAAGGCTCTAGAAATTGAGCACAATGCGCAGAGCTTCAAATCGAAGAGAAGAGGTGAGAAGAGATGACGAGAGGAGAGATGGGTGCGCCAACCTGTTCTGGGAGATATGTCGGCGAACAGCGCTCCATGATCTCTCTTTGAGCTTTCTCTGGGTCGGATAGCGCGGTTTTAAACACCTGCCGTGCTTCACCTCACCGTGGTCCACGACAGGAGGCAAGATGAGCGTGCGGTTGAGCAGCAGGGCGATCTGGAGAGCATTTTTGAGCTCTCGAGCTTGATTGCTGAATCCTTCGTGCGGCGAATAGAGCATGTATTGTTCGCCGTGCGGCAGCAAACTCAGCGACTCGTGCCTGGATTTCAGAGGGTCCGTGAAGTTCACGCACGAGGAGTAGGGGCCGGCCCCTGAGCTGATTCGGAGCGCCAGGTCCGGAAGAGTCGACAGCCAGTTGGCGATAGAGCGCGCAGAGATGAGAAATATGAACAATGTGCACAGAAGGACGGTCGACGTTTTCTTGGAGGCGACGATCCTCGAGATTCCTGCAGCTTTTTCTTTTGGCGGAGGCCGGAGTGGCCTGCCACCGTTGGACAGGACAGAGCCCATGCTGACCCTCATCAGCAGCAGCTCTCTGAGAAATGCGCCAGGCGTCTCAGTTCGAGTACAGGCAGACGATCGTGCACATCGAGCGAGGATTCTGAGCGACGAAGCGATGCAAATGTCTCACGTTTCGGACAAGCGCTCGAGGCGGTCGTCGCCCTCCAGGCGCGCCATGGAGGCTGCTGCCTGGGAACGCAGGGGCTGCCGAGCAATTCCAGACAGACGAGGACGAGGACGAGGACGAGGAGGGAGGGAGGAAGGGAAGGAGACGAAGCGTTCTCTCAAGAGTCCCAGGGATCAGAAGGAAGAAATTAGGGGACGACTGAAAACTTTCAGGCTGTCCGTAGAGCCCTGATTCTGGCAAGACTGGCTGGCAGGTCCAGACTGGACGAGAAGAGTCAGTGCAACAGAATTGTAACGCTAGCAACTGACAGGAATTGCAGCAGACGGGGCTCTGCTGTCACTGCTGTCCAGCGGCTCCCAAATCTACCAGATCTTTTTCTCCTTCTCCTTGTGGTGGGTACAGCATTAGGACACCAAGGTTTGCTCAGGTCTTGAGAGCTAAGCTGGCTAGACTTTGATTTGAGACTGTCAAGAGCAGGCATGCACGCTAAGCATGACTCCCAAAGCCCTGAACTTAGAGAGCCCTGCCATCCTCCCCAAGGCTCTTCCCCCCAGTCCGATGCAAACATGCCTGCCCCGCTTGCGTCGACCTTTCTTTGGCTGGCGACGATGGGAGCGAGTGCCGTCCTCATCGCCGTTCGTTTCCAGAGTTTGCACTGGCCGCGCGGAGCTTTCAAAATGGTGCACATTCTCTGTGCTGTGCAACCGCCAGGCCCTTGACACAAAGTTCACTGGTCCTGAGTGTGATGACATTTCATCGATCCTCGTCGGCGAGAAATTGCGTGACTTAGATTCAGCCTTTCTCCTCCGACTCTTGCCTCTCCTTGTCTGCCACTCTCAACCTACACAAGAAACAAATACTCCCTAAAGTGGAAGAGAATGATGGCCAACCTTCTTCCTGTCGTGTGATTTCATCATCGAGACTAACGAAGGTCAAGAGCCAGAGGACGGCATTCGAATTGCAAACAATTTGTTCCGACATTGAAAGTCAGGTCGATCTCTCAATGCAAAGTTTACCATGATCATCTCTCAGAGAGCGATAGTACCTACCTCCTCGACAGATAGACAGATCTTTGACTGACATATGGTGGTGAATTTTCTATGAGTGTGCATGCTTTGTTCAGGCTGGTAGTAAAGTTCGAGTCTTGTTCAGATTTAGGATTTAAATTGTTTATGCGGCAGTTTTCTCGTTTTTTTTGGAAGGAGTATTATTACTTCCGCTACTCTGTACTTGAGGAGATTAATTTTAATCTCAACTTCTTGAGGTGACTAATTTTAACCTCAACTACTTGAGGAGATTAATTACCTCAACTTCTTGCCTATCTTCTCCCTTCTTTTTTCTTTCCAGCCGTCATAGTCTTCGAGACACATCTCTCTCGTTACTCCGTCAATAATTGATATTGTGCTGACATTTTCTCGGCTGCACCTCGACCGTGACCACCTTGGCTGTGACTTTCTTCCTTGTACAATGTGATTTTACTAATTATCTAGAGTTATTTTCTTCTCAGTTAAATTCTTACTGAATCAGAGATAATTCACAATTCTCTTCTCTTCCAAAACCGAAACTTCGATGCATAACCACAACTTACATCAATTCGTAAACTTCACTGCTTGTACGTCGGTCGGAAGTTTGCACAGTTTCCCATTAATCGGCTCTTGGCTTTGACAACGGTCTATCTGGAATTGATAGGAATCAAATAAACCAATGTGAAATCCCCACATGAGTCCGCAGGCCAAGACTTCGGCAGTCCATAGAGAAGACCGCCAGGATAATCTCAGACCAGTCGCAGCCTCCTTTCGGCAGTACCTGCTGTATTTCATCATTTTCCGTATCTTTCCAGTTTCAAGGCTCAGTTGAGTAAGGACAGAAGCATTCACCATATTCCTGCGGTTTCTCAAGTGTCCTTCAAGCGTGCCATATATGCCATCACCAACTCCAAGGAGGGCAAAAAACACAATGTTCGCGACTCCTGATCACGCAGAAATGGTGTTCTTCATAGAATTTCTCTTCAATGCCTATTCGTCTTTCCTGAGGTGAAAAAAAAGGGATTTGATACTTCTAGCCCACAAAGACATAATCTCGATTAGATCTCACACACACACTCCGCGACGTGATGTCCCTGGGAAGTTTCCATCTAAGATTAACTTTTAGATCAAGAATACATACAAAAATGAGACAGCATGACGACTCAACCACCGAAAGACCCATGTGACCCTCACTTGTTTTGAACGGTATGTATCTTTATATTCACAGGCCTGAGAGTGTGAAGCAGTTCCGAGACCATAAGCTACATACATAAGCTGCCACTGATCACAGTTGTAGCATGAACAGAATAGAGGCAGTGTCTAAACAGTAACGTCGCTAGCAGTACCCTACGACAAGTGAGCGATTGAATCGCAAGGTCTTCGCAGACCAATGCTCTACATCGCATGGTAAAACTGCCTCTTGAAACTCCGAAAAACGACCTCAGCTCTACTTTGCCTCGCCTCGGCCTGGGCCACCAAACTCCACGAGCAGCAGAACATTGCAATCGAGAAGGCGCAAACACATGTAAAAAATGTGAAGTTGCAAACAACAAACTAGCAAAAAAATCTACGTAATGCGCCGCACATTCAAGGCGACGGAAAATTCACAGAAACAGAGTCACGAAACCCAACAAAGAGTCTAAAAAACCCAAAACCTAAACTCAAAGAAGAAAGACACGCGAAAACGCTGTGATTGGTAGAGGAGGGGGATGCCCGCGTCATTGCTCAGGGCCCCAACAATTCGTGGTGGCTAGCTCCGCAGGCAGTCTTCATCGTGCCAGAAGTCTGTCAGCCTCGATTGCAGATCTCGCGAGGCTCAAGCTCATCGCCTCGCCGCCAAGCCACCATCGCTGCCGGCGGCAACAAGGCTTCGCAAGCGCACGGGCGGGACCGCCACCGAAGCATCGAGACGGCACTCAGATAAGATCAATTAGTAGTGAAGAGACCCGACGTCCATCCTTGGCTTATATAGCGCACGGACCATGGTCTCGAAGACTCACCACGTTGTCCGACACTTTAGGGTTAACTGTATTCGGATTTACTTTGTAACTACGTTACAGTAGGCTTGGCCACGGTCCGGTTAACGGTTAACCGGTCCGGGAAATGTGCGGACCGGTTAACCGGTCCAATTAACCAGTTAACCGGTAAGTTAACCGGTCTGGCATTTTGCCATATCGGTTAACCGAGGTTTTAACCGGTTAACCATCTGTCCCGACCCTACGTGGCCGACGGGAGGGGCTGTGGCTGGGAGCGAAGGAGGAATTGCGCCATAGCTCGAGTACTCAAATGAGCCCCCACTCGGACTGTTGAAAATCCTCCCGGTTGAAAACGCTCTCGAATTGGAGAGACTTCGACTTTGCGCCAGGGTGCAGGGAAACTGGAGAAACACATCCAAGCTCGAGATTTATGCTAGGGATTATCCACTTATCGAATTGGGTGATAAAAAAATTTACTTATTTATTTGCAGCAGAATTAGACCAGCGAGGCTCGCTGGTCTAATTCTGCTGTCAGAGGAAAATTTTTTTCCCGAACCGGTTAACAGGTCCGGAGAAATCTGGGACCGGTTAACCGGTCCGACGGTTGACCGGTTAACCGTCGGTCCGGACCGTGGCCAAGCCTACGTTACAGTACATTACTGCGCTTGGTGTTGTCATTTTTGTAGACAGGCCTGGCATTTCTTCCAAAAACACATGCTTCGTGGTACCCGTGGTCAACTCCATGAAGTGCGGAGGAAAATTACACAATTAATTATTCGAGCTAGCCCTCGTTCCCTCTTTTCGAGGCTTCGTAGATATTTTTGTGACGTTTTGTTATGATTCACGGCTATTCGATATATATTTTGTATATTAAACTTTCCAGGATTGAGATATTTCTTCCGATTGCCCAGCTTAGGCGCATACTGAACACGTCTAAGTTTTTATTTTCGTTCGCGGAACGATCGAGCGTCAGAGCTTTATCAAAGGACGAGAGCCGCTTAGGTCTCCAAATTAGTTTTAGTTTCTGCGACGCTTGGATCGAAGGGTCCCAAGCCGCATTATGTTTGTCTGACAGGGCCCTGGACTGTCCTTAAGACAAACGAGGGGAAAAAAATTGGAAAAGATGTGCCCGGCTTTAATAATACGAGTCATGTGCATCAAAAGTAGAAATCTGTATTTTTCTATGTATTTTTCTTTTTAGAGAGATTATTGAATGAGAAAATTTTTGTTTTCAGATATACAAATATAAAATTGTATACTATAGGAACCATGATTTACTTCTTACGACTTGATGATATATTTTGATCTCTTTCTATCTAGTAAAAGTTTGTCAGGTAATTTTTGTAATTTTGACGGGGACACCTCATCAAATCTTACACGTATGAAACTAGAATTGTAACGTGGACAAGGTAACGACGAGGTAAAGATGGAAAATACATTGCGCTCTAAGGTTGTGAGTAAAAAACATTGTAGCAAATGTAAGTGAACACCTCGTCAAGTCTTGCATGAATGCAACCAATTAGGCCGTGAAAATGGAAGATACCGACGAGCTGAATTTTTGCAAAAGCCGTGTGGCTCATACTGAAAAGAGTATGACCAGCTATATTTTAGGTGATCTTCTACCGAGACATATAATTTCCTAAATTAATGCTCCCACTAGCGCCTAAATTTACCGGAACATCTCAATTATAATTGGCTCAGAGTGGGAGATCTCAACTATTAAGTTGGGATGATTGATAATCAGTTTTGTTACCACTTAAGTGTTATATAAATGAGATCGAAATCCGAAATGTATAATTAATTTTTCTCTTTCCCACTATTTCACCGTCCCCAACTGCAATAATGTGGGGATGTTGACTCTCTCTAACTCCGAACCCCTCATTCTCTCTCAATGTTACTTTTAGCAAAAAAAGCCTAAATTAACTTTCTTGATACTACTAAATTAACCTCATTTAGAGTACCGCCTAATGTAACCATGCCTGAATATGACATTACAAAATATTCATAGGGTAGTCTCCAACGATCATAGTCACAACGGAGATGCTCTGCATGCGCATATAAAATAACGATAAAAAAATATTGTATATCCGAAAAAGCTGTTAATGTATAAAGTCAAACTAGTGACATAGTGATGCTATTGCTATGATAATATATCTGTCCCAATAAAACATCGAGTCTGGTCATTGTAATCATCAAATTGAAAAGACCACGCAAGAACATTTGATTTGAAGAATCTTCGCCTAATATCTGCTACGTGTTATTTTTGAATTTCTACATTCACTATGTGATTCACTTTCAATAATCCCATATTTGGAAATGTACACCGCATTCGCAGAGTATGCTCGTATGATTCATTTTGCAAACATAATTATCTGACATGAGAGCCCTCTTAGTCAAGATATTTTGTAGTGAATATTGTAGATAGATTGTGTTTCTTCATGAAAAGCACAATTACTTATTTCTAAACATCTCCATATATTAGCACATTGGATTGATCAAAAGTGCCTGGATCTTGCAAAATTTTGACTGTGAAACATCACCAACAATTCTGACCACAAGAATGGGTGTTGAAATTTGTGTAGCAGCAATATAGTCCACTCTTTGATATATCCGTTGGTAATGTGGGGAAATGACGATAGAAACTAGCAAAAGAAGATAATCATTGGAAGATATCTGAGAATTCGTATCTTTATTCCATGGAAATCAACTTCTTTGATTTCTATGTCATCTATTTGACATCAAATAGAGAATGAATCAATTCTACTCCTACCTCTAAATCGTGATTTCAATGCAATCTAATGCAAAATTATAGGACTGAAGTGAATCCATTCTATTCAACGAACAATCTGTTTCCTGTCGGTTCCTTCCAACTGTGATCTCCTGGAGACGCCTAGATCCACTCGACGGTGAAATCTCCGAAGCATCAGCCACCGCGTTCTCGTTCACAGAGTGGATCCATTTCGTTTTTATTACGCGCTATTGAGACGAAGACCTCCACATTGAATTCATAGAATCTGTCCTTCACACAAACTATGAACTGAGACGAGACGAGCTTTCGCAAATTGGAACCAATTATGAACTCCAACTCTCTATTCTGGAACGTACATGATAATGTCAGCGACTCTCACCATCCCACCATTGCGTCTGTCACCCAGAGAATCGAGTCGTGCATCTGGATCAAAGTCCGAGTCAGCTGTTAAAGTATGAAGCAGTCAAGAAATGGTGCTCAGTGGAAGAAGGAGCGAAACTCGGAGTTGTCGAGCAGAGCTTGCAGGAGCTCCGGGGGCAGAACCATCTGAACTGAAGCCAGGAAGTCTGAACCGGGGCGAGGAGGCAGGATGAAAGCATAGCCCGTGAGAGGAGAGGAGCACGCTGCACTGCCAGTCACCAAAACGGGCTTGCCGTAGCCGAAATCCACTTCATACATGGGAAATCGGTACCAGGACGAGGAGAAGAACGCCCTCTGCTGGATGGCGGCGCCATTAAGGAGAATACCGACAGTTCTTCCCAATTGTCCAGGCCAGGACTCAGGATTGACACTTCGGACGATGTCGTGGATTTTGCTGGCGTCCGTCAGATGGTCGTCGGAAGGATGCTCGAGAGGCTGCGTGTAGGCAATGACGAAAGCGTTGGCGGCGTAGGACTCGGGAAGTGCAGGGGTGTGCATTCGGGCTCGACCTTCGACGGCCACTCCATAGACGCAGCCCTTTTTGCCGTCGAGGGACGACGGGATGCTGCACAGCCCCCGCCAGATGTGCGACTGTATGCAGTCCAGGGCCGTGGGCACCAGTCCCCGCTCCTCGTTGGCCATGGCCCTTTGCTTGAGCTTCATAACGCTTGCCTTCTTCACGTGCAGCGTTTTGCGAGCCCACGCAGGGAGGATGGGGAATCGGACTGCTAACGCCGGGTCCACTGCAGCTTTTGCATCTGCACAGTCCTGCCGTACTGCTCGATGATCCATCAGAGAGGCAGGAGCACCACCATTATCAGTTCCTTCATCCGATCGATCTCGCTTTCCGCCGCCAAGGGATTTGTCATCTGGCCGCAAAGGTGCATGCCCGTTCTGTGAATGATTCGTCTCGACATGTGACTCTCGTGGATTACCAGATGGGATCAAGCTTTGGAGAAGAGACACAGGATGTGACAATGAGCGATCATGGATCGGTAGATTTGTGCAATGCCCTTCCAAAGTCATCTGTGACCAGTCTTTAACGAATTGGAAAATTGCTTTTCCATCGGCCAGCATGTGAGTGAAGGTCATGTTCACGCTGACACCTCCACATCTGAATTTCGTAGCCTGCATCAGACATCCAGGGCCGGATCAGTAATCTAAAAGCATGAACATAAACGCGTTGGTTACTCTGAACATGGGCAAAATATCAGATTGGTTCAGTTCAAGTTACATGCTCTGCAATGTCTTGAGGTGCCAAGAAGAATTCTGAGTCTGAGGTTTGACTCTTTAGGCTGTACGGTTTATAATGTCATGTAGGAGTGGGCCATCGGAGGACAGGGTGAGAATCAGGGATTGCGAAGCTAAGCATAATCGAAGGAGCTGAAGCAAGGGGACTCTTTATGAAATGTCATGTTCGATCGTGAATGCTATTCGCGGCTTGGCTGCATTTCATCTACGAGCATCGTATTGTTGTAGAAGGTTGTAAGCAGTTTACTTTTGTATTTATATATATATATATATATATATATACCAATACACACACAAACGAATTTTCAAACTTATCGTTGTTTATAGAATATTTTCTGGGAAATGTCCAGATATTTATCTATAAAGGTTTCCTATTAGTCGGATTGCATTGGAAGCTCCAGCCCGTGACAGTAATTTGCGTTCGACTTTGCAAAACATGCGAGACCAAAGGGTGCTGAAACATGGAACTAGTCGTGAGCTCCTCCTCTTGTTATCAACACTGAGTCATTGGTTGGACCGACTCAACAGCCTAATACTGTGGATCGGATCGTTTTGATTTTGACTCTCAGACTACGACGACTGCAGGGGAGCGTGACCAGCGGTTGAGGTCGGGTGCGTATTGCTTACTTGAATGAAAAGCGCTGGAAGAAATAAGTCGGCCTTGTCGTGAAAGAAGACTCCTGCATCCAAGTTGACAAACTTGAATCCACTCAAGATAGGCACCGGTTGAAAGTCGTCGAAGCTCACAACCTTATCCATCTCCTGATCAATCTCCGCCTCGATGAATGGAACTCCTTCATCGTTGCACAGCAGCTCACGTATCCTGTGATCATATGTTTTGCAGAAACGACCTGCATACGGGTAATATGGAACTAGGAGTTTGCTCAAAGACTCCTTCAACCGCCTGACGAACTCCGAGCCGCTCAGTCCAATTTGGTCCCCTGGATGAGGTTTGAACAAAAATAGCACTGGCATGCAATAGTCCGGAATCAACAAGTCGAGCAAGGCCACATCGTATTTCTCCACATGTTGATTTCTTCCTGAGGGCTTGACATTTGAAACAGACACTTTTTGTAGTTCCAGTCTACTAACATCGACGAGCAGTTGCGCCATAGGCATCGTCTTCTAATGGACGGCTGAAGACCCAAGATCAACAGTATTTTCACACCACGTCGAGTAGATGCAGTCAGTATATCTGCTTTCCCTTCACAATATAAGTAATTAGTGCAGTGAATCCAGCAGCTGCCACTGGAAAAAACTTCAGCACTGGAACAACGCTGCAACTATAAGAACTCCAACCTTGTGCAGATTAGGAGATACGAACCGCAGGGACAACTCAAAGGCTGGAGCTCGCAATGCATATACACCCAGACGTACTTCCCTTTATATAGTGTCTATCTCTCCCATAAATTATCCTGAGTGAAAAAAACAGTGCCTCTCATTCTCAAGCAGCAAAGGTCAAGCGACAACAAAAAATGCCGGGCAGAGAAGCCCTGGCTCAGGGCTTCTCTGCCCGGCAATTTTTGGAAGGAACTCATGATGGTGCTCCTGCCTCTGTGGTGAATGATCGAGCAGTACGGCATAACTGCGAAGATGCTAAAGCTCCAGTGGACCCGGCAGAAGCAGCATGATTCGCCGCCGTCCTTACGTGGGCTCACGAAACTCGGCACGTGAGGAACGCAAGCGTTATGAAGCTCAGGCAGAGGACTGCATACAGTCGCAATTCTGACGAGGACCGAGCAGCATCCTGTCATCTGTCTACGGCAGAGAGGGCTGCGTCTATTGAAATGTGGCCCAAGGTCGCTCCCGAGTCCTACTGCCGCAATCCCCAGGCCTAAGCCTCAGGGCCCGTCTTTGCCATATTTACCATGTTCTTCGTCCATGGTCCAGATATTGCGTTCGGGTCTTTTATGTTTTTACGACACGAAGACTTTTTGTTGACGCTGTGCGTCAGCGTCAACAATGAGACTTTATGTGAACTTTTTTTGGCCACAGACTGGCAGTTGTAGGAACATATTTAAGGAAATGCTCAAATGCAGTGCTGAGACAAATATAAATAGCTCAATCAGCATGAATTTGGACATAAAAAAAGAAGCTTTATTACAAGGAGACTGAGTGTGTCAAGAAATGAAGACAGTCCGAAGGCGATGTTACTTCTAACATCAAATTGCATGACGACCAAATTCGCAGGTTTCGCCTAATCTTAAACCATAAGAAATTTTATGAAAATTAAGCTTCAAAATATTTACACTTGTGAGCAAATGAATCTATCTAGATATCCATGGCTTTATTATTTTTATTTCGATATACAATAATTCAGATTATAAAATGAAACGTCACATGACGCTTCATCTTCAATAGCATGCTATCAAGTTCATTTCTTTTCATATATGTGATTTCAGAGTATTCAAAAAAAGATACAAATGCAAACAATTTATCATAGTATATTTCAAGTGAGAAAAGGTACAGTAATATTTCATTTCTAGAACTGTTTTTCGGTTATATTTTCTTTCATAGTTTGAACCTACATCTTAAAAGTCAATCAGGAGACGAAAAGTGCCAGAAACATTCGTATTCACGACTCATGTTGCAAAAATTGATCACAAGCTCTCCCAAGCCCGGTAACAACAGCTATGGTACAATATGTATCAGTCAACGCTTAGGCTCCTGCATATATGGCATATTATCTTTGAGGCTTTACGACGTCAACTGACGTCATTACTGTCCTCGTAAGACAAATACAGTGTCTGCACATGAATGGTCATCGAAAAGTGGGAATGATCATGAAACTTCCATTTTGGCGCCGAGGAATTTCGTCATTCCAATACTTGCTGGGTTTGCAATGTGACTTCTTCCACGAGTGCTCTTCTACATTCCTTCCCATATGCACATTTCAACTTATTTTGCGTTCATGCTTTTGAAATGCAATTCTGTTATGATTTCATTGTGTCGGTCAGCATGAGGCCTGACAAAAAGTCCCACAGTGATAGTCACTCGGATACGTTGCTACTCTGCTGGATCCTTCTGGACAAGATGCAGCGTGTCGACTCAGAACATCAGTAGATTCAGATGACCTCAACAAGGTCACCATTCTATTCAACAAGCAATCTGTTCACTGTACGTTCTTTCCAACTGACTAAACCTGGAGATGCCTATAACCACTCGATGGCGTGGAGAATCGGAAGATCCGACAATAGAAGTTCTGAAGCATCAGCCACTGCGTTCTCGTTCACATGGTGGATTCATGTCTTGTACTAACGTGCTACGAAGAACAAGTCCTCCACGTAGAGATCGAAGACATTGTCAACGAAACTTAACTGTGACGAGAACTGACCAGGCCAGACCAAATTTCACAATCGGAACGAATCATGAAGGCCGAAACTTTTTATTATGCTCTGTTTGGACGTCCAACACGCCTGGTCGTACATGATAACATATTCCTTTCAGCAACTATGACTATCCCATGCGTCCCCGGCTAGATCTGTCAGCGACTCTTCCGTTCGTTCAGCAGATTGCGGGCATGGAGTCGTGCCGACAGGATGGCGGCATCTGGATCAACCTCGGAGTCAGCTCGTGATTATGAAGCAGTCAAGAAATTGGTGCTCAGTGGAAGAAGGAGCGAAACTCGGAGTTTTCGAGCATAGCTTGCAGGACCTCGGGGGCCATAACGATATGAAGTGAAGCCAGAAAGTCTGAACCGGGGCGAGGAGGCATGAGAACTGCATAGCCCGAGGGAGGAGTGGACGATGCTACATTGACAGTCGCAAGAATGGGCTTGCCGTAGCCGAAATCCGCCTCGTACATGGGAAATCGGTACCAGGATGAAGTGAAAAACGCCCTCTCCGGGACGGCGGCGCTGTTCAGGAGAATGCCGACCGATTTTGCGAATTGACCGGGCCAGGACTGGGGAGTGACACTTCGGATTAGATTGTGGATGATGTTGGCTTCTGTCAGAGGATCGTCGTCCGGTTGGTCGAGTGGCGGCGAGAAGAGTAGGAGGAAAGCGTTGCCTGAGTAGGACTCGGGTACTGCGGGGTCGTGCATTCGCGACCGACCTTCGGCCACAATTCCATAGACGCTGCCCTTTTTGTTGTCGACAGATGACGGGATGCTGCTCAGTGCTCGCCAGATGTGCGACTGTATGCAGTCCAGAGCAGTGGGCACCAGTCCCCCCTCGTTGGCCATGGCCCTTTGCTTGAGCTCCATGACGCTTGCCTTCCTCACGTGCAGCGTTTTGCTAGCCCATGAGGGAACGGGGATGAATCGGACTGCTTCCGCCGGGTCCACGGGAGCTTCAGTATCTGCACAGTCCGGCAGAGAGGCAGGAGCACCACCAGCACCAAGTCCTTCATGCGAACGATCGTGCTCTCCGGCGCCAAGGGATTTCTCATCTAGCGCTAAGGTTCCATTGGTCTTGACTTGTGGCTCTTCTGGATTACCCTGTGACATCAAGCTTTCGAGAAGAGACACAGGATATGTCAATGAGCGATCATGGATCGGTATATTTGTGCAATGCCCTTCCAAAGTCATCTGTGACCAGTCTTTAACGAACTGAAACATGGCTTTTCCATCGGCCAGCTGGTGACAGAAGTTGACGTTCACGCTGATTCCTCCACATCTGAACTTCGTAGCCTGCATCAGACATCCAGGGCCGGATCAATAATGTCAAAGCATGAACAGACCGGCGCCGGGTAATCTGACTCGGGGCACAATCACCATCTGAATGCCCTCTGCAATATCTTGACGGGAGAAATATGGACGTATGGATTGAAGGTTGGAAAAACGAATCCAATTTGTAAGAATTCTGAGACAGGGGTTTGACACTGGAGGTTATAAGAAGAGACGGTGGAGCGCTGTTTGAGAATCAGGTATTGAGCAGCTAAGCGGAATCGAAGGAGCTCAAGATAAAGTGTATCATCATTTGAAGTCCAACCCACGTGATAAGAGGATCATGAGGATCCTTCAGCCTGTATTTCATCTTTAAGCATCGTATTGTTCTGAAGTCTGTTAGCATTTTAGACCTTCACCGCAGATTCGCCAGTTTGATCTCATATATAAGTAATTATACATAACCAGATTTGCCAAATTATGAGTAGAACATCTTCGTGGAAGATGTCCAGATATTTATCTATAAAACTTCCCTTTTGTCTGATAAAAATTCGAATTTGAAGCTCCAGCTCGTCAAAGTAATTTTCATTCGACTCTGCAAAACCTGCAAGACCAGACGGTGCTGATACACTTGACCTATCTTTGAACTGCTCTTCGTGGATTCAACATTGGGTCATTGTTTAGACCAACTCAAAAGTCCGATGCTGGAGATCAGTTTCATTCACAGATTACGACTTCAAGATAGAGTGACTAGCGGTTGAGGTCTGGTAGGTAGCACTTACTTGAATGAAACACGCTGGAAGAGGAAATTCGGCCTTCGTTTGGTAGTATGCTACTGCATCCAGGTTGAGAAACTGGTGTCCACAAAGGATAGGCAGCGGTTGAAAGTCATCCAAGCTCACAACCTTAACCATCTCCTCGTCAATCTCCGCCTCGATGAATGGAACTCCTTCATCGTTACAAAGCAGCTGACGTATCCTGTGATCATATGTCTTGCAAAATCGACCGGCAAACGTGTAGTACGGAACTAGGAGTTTGCTCAGGGACTCCTTCAGCCGCCTGAGAAACTCCGAGCCGCTCAGTCGAATGTGGCTCTCTGGATCAGGTTTGTACAAAAACAGCACTGGCACGAAAAAGTCCGGCAGGTACAAGTCGAGCAAGGCAACATCGTATTTCTCCACGTGATCTTTTCTTTCCGAAGGCTTGACGGTAGAAACAAACACGTTTTGTAGTTCTAGGCTAGAACCATCGACGAGCGGTTGCGCCATTGGATGCGCCTTTCTTCTGAACTACTGAAGACCAAAATCAAGAGTATTGTCACACTACGTTGAGTAGATCCAGTCAGCAGATCCGCTTTCCCTTCACAATGTAAGTAAATCGTGCAGTGAAACTTTCAGTACTGAAGGGACTTTGCAAGTATCAGATTTGCTGCCCGAACTCTCTGCAGATTAGGTGATACGAACCGCATGTATAACTCAAGAGCTTGAATTTGGAATAGATAGTCGGACACACGTTCTTTCTTTCGCTTTATCTGTTGTTTCTCCGAGTACGCAGACGTAGTGTTTGTGAATCTAGTCAACAGTTTATTGTCTAATTTTGCTGCGTCTTGAAACGAAAGCCGATCACGTCAACGAAGTGACATTATGTCAACAATTTGTTCGCATAAACTCGCAGCCTCAAGGCCATTTTAAGAAAACGCTTAAATCAGGCGCTGAGTCATGCTCAATCAATAAATACTTTTGACATAGACATAGAAATGCCACTGGGTGTTCTGCACACATGATTACTAGGAGACTCCGTCCATCAATAAGATGAACTCAGTCCGAAGGAGTTTTTAATTTAGCAACTCTGGATCAGACTGACTTGAGTGCCAAATTGCATGACAATCAGGGCTGAAGCGGAGCAATGAGCTTCTCCTTATACGGGTCTAGATTCATACGAAAAAAACTGAAAGGTCTGGCATACTTTCCATGCAGTCCAGAACGAAGAAGGAATCAATCGCGGTAAAACTGAACAATATAAACTGTTGACTTTCGACTATACAGGTCCAATATAGACGGATGCAGGATGCAGGATGCAATGATGAGCTTCGATGATATTACACTCTCCTGCAATAAGAAGAGATGACTAGATACTATGACCTTGAAGGTACTATCACAACCTGCAGAGATGGATGTGTGCGGTGGCAGCACAACAATAATTTTCTTTCTGATAATAGACCTCCCTCCGAGAGTATCTATTGCAAAGATCCTTTGATTCTCCCCCAGGGAAGTCAAAGCCGCTCGGGTGACCAGAGGAGGACAGGGGTTGCACCCTGGGGCAAAGGGGTTGGTGTTAAACAACAGCGGAACCCCTAACCACGTAAAGGAAGTGGTAACTGAATTCACGACTGTGGTTAACGCTCTTTACACTGTGAGCAGTGACTATCAGACCTTTCGCAATCCTACAATTATGAAGGAAAATCATTTTTATAGTCAATGTTTATTAGGAAAATTCAAAAAGATGCCAGTGGGAACTTCCGGTCGTGCATATATATACTTTTTATCACACCGACGTTCATTCTCATCTCAAAACCCGACGGTCTTTTGGTCAACATTACGTTCTTTACGCAGAGCACCTTCAAATTTGAATACAATCTGTCGCACACAATGATGCAAAACCATCGACAGTATGGACTTCTAACTCCAATGTCACTTGTACCCGAGACTCTCGAGGGTGAGAGTTTGCAGATTTTCCTGGAAATAATGAAAATATGGGCGCGTGTTTCCAAGGTGTGGAGGGACGTGAACTTCCACTTCCACGACGAGACAGTCGACTACAGTCGACTATGAACGAAGTCGACAGAAGGATGAGGTCATTGAACATACGGTTATACTCCGCAGGGATGATGCGTCTTCGCCGAGTGACAGTCCTGACCATGACTCAAGCGATGGTGATACTGTATCATGAAAGATGATTATTCAACTCGATTCTAGAAATATATATGTACGAGCTAGAGAATTCATTTCTAGAAGTAGAGAGTTTCTACATCATATTTTCTTAAGTTTTTCTCTGCTTGCTCTGCATGGATCTGATTCGATGTGCAGATCATTGGAGAGATGGACTTCATACTTTTCGGTTTTATAATACCATATTCAGACTTTTAGCCTATTAACTTACAGCATTCTGTTGCATTAGATTGTCAAATAAACTAAATGGGCATGGAACACAGCTCTTTTGTATTTGTCTTAAAGTTACTTATTATTTTTCAAGAATTGAATTTTTTCACATGTGTCATGAAAAATTCGAGAATAAATTTCTGATCACTTTACGCCTTTTCAATATATGCGTGTTTACTTACAGGCGTTTTGTGGTGTTATAAATGGGTCATTTTCTGGCTTAATTTTGCATCGAGGATGTTTGACAATCGCCTGTTGCAAACTCTCGTTACCTAGTTATTACAAAGTTGAAAAAGCAAAGTTCGTGTAGACTGTCTCCAACTGCTTACCATGGAAATTATGATCATACAGTAAAGTAATTCTCGGTCCACATTACTATCCATGGGATCATTACATTACATTAATGGGATCCACCAGAACCTTCAGAGAGTTTATATTTTACTCGATAACTTGGAAAATTTTTATAATCAATCTGTTGCGCTCTTAAGACGAATCTCACGTAATTCTTTATCTTTTAATTGATGTAGTTGTTCATTGGGAATTCGAGGCACAAGGCTCCAGGAAATCACCGACGTACGATATTCCTATGCTTCTCATGAGTGTAATTTTCCTAATTATTATCAATAACCAAACAAGGAAAAAGTACAAGACAGGAGGTCATTGTATTAAGTATATCGGAAAAGTAGACACGAGAAACTTTGAAGAATGAATGGTGCAAACTTCCAGGCGTCTTACAAAGTTCAGGGAAGTCTAATCGCGAAAGGTTCTTGATTGAACTCAGAAGAGGGTGGAAGTGGATCCAAAAATTCTTTAAATCTGCACTAAACATCATTAAGAGATCTGAACCAAAGTCTTAGAAAACATGTAGCGTAGCATTTAACGCTCCGACGAAAATGCTCTACAATGGAGCGACCAGGTTGTTGCTCGGAGCATTCTAGAAGGCCTGCAATCAATATCTGGAAACGTAATTGCTGCCCAGCAACTGAAAGGCTAGGAGAAATAAAAGAATGACCGATCGGTGCAGTCCGTCTAAGACCATGGCAAGCCCAGAGAATGAGAGGTCTGGTCTTCCTGGCATCGAATTCCCCGACGAATAGATGAAAGGTGGGAATTTAGTGCCCGAGGAAATCAAAGACATTTGTGGTGTGTACGCCGTTGCAGTTGACCTCCTTCCGTCCGAGATTCTTCAGAAGGTTAGGTGGCGGATTCGTCGGACTCCAATTCGATGCTCGAGTTCTGATTCTCAGGATTTCCCTTCCCTCCTCACGAACGTTGTCTTATGTATCCATCGGCGGCTGTGCGGTACACAGTTGAGGATTGGATATGTGTTGATGATCGGATAATAATGCTCATTTTTGGATCTCCAAATGTACCACTGACTGCACAAATTGTACTACTTCCGGTTCGAAGCTTTAGCTGACCTCAGACTATTTCCACGTTCAGCGCTCTGCGATTTCAACTCGAGGGCGAGATGGAGTCGTAATCCATCTGCCATGCACACTCCGTCTGGAGCATGACCAGCTGCAGGTATTCTCGTTCGCTCGTATGAAGCTCCATCTCATGACTGTACACTCTTTCGACCTTGCCAAAGATGCCAGACCAGAGGATGCTGACCCCCTTGATCACTCAACTCGCGAGCTCGCTCCTCTTCCTGGATTCGATTCTCTCGCTCGATCGTTCACCGACCGGTATAGCTCGTGTGCTTCCCTGCCGTTCTGGGATTCTCTATCGTTTCTACTCTTCTAAGATTTCTGGATATCGTTTCTACGTTTCTAAGATAGAAAAAACGCTGTCAGTGAAGAGTTTTTGTCCAAATGGTTCCAGAATGCGAGAGAAACTATCAACAGATATACGGAAGAGCTACTGCTGTAGGTCCGATCGATTATTCTCTCTGGGACAGCGCCCATGCATACGATGATGAAGACCTCTTCGTGAAATGTACAGACACAAACTTTTACGAATAATTTAATATTTTATTACGAATAATTCCAACCATTCAGAGAGAAGAAGAAGCATTGACGTATTATAGAGATAGAGACCGGCGGGAGAGGCTTTTGCGTACTCGAAATGACGGATTACAGGTTCAAGATCCCCGTACGCAACGAATTCTAGGATAACAGGGCCCCTTTGATCAACAGTGACGCTCGGAAAATAGGTGATTCAGCTCAACATGTCCTCAAAATTCTATCGGGCTTTCGTGAGAGCGGTTAATAAGCAAGAGAATACACATCGATTATCGAGAGCATTTCTCCACTGATTTGTTCAGTGGGACTATTGAATATACATCTGCATGGGAGTCGAGTGTTTTAAGCTTACAAAGGTTGGATGTTGTCTGATCTGCAGAACAGGCAGCAGGGATGTCAAATCAAGCTGACTATGCGTAACAAGCTAGTAGAGGGCTGGTAAGATATGTGTGCTTGCATGCATGCATGAAGTTTGCTTGGTTTCGCTTGGTGTAATTAAGCTAGAGTTGGTTGCAACTCGTCTCCAGATGGAATGGACTCCAAATGAAGTCAAGAGTCAGTTTATCTCAACTATATAATCCAGCTGTTCATCAATATCATCCTCCATGAAAGAATTCTTTTCACAGTTGCTGCCTGGCGTTGACTGCTTTCCAATCCGACCCGCAAACATGTGTATATGCCATAGAACGGCTGTATGGCGGATATTGTGACAGCATAATAGTGATATAGCACGTCGAAGGAAAGCGTCCAGTGAGAAGATCACCACCTGATACGGTAGAAGACTGTTCTAACGTAGCAGTTGGTGCCTGAAATTATTTGCAAATTGTGATATGCCTTGAATCTGTGCACTTTAGTAAGCATAAATGTATTGTTGTATTTTGAAGTACCATAAGTTGACCTGATGCTAAAATGTATTATTAATTTCTGTAGTCAACGATTAAATATTTTTTTACAACTACTCATGAATTTTGATTTGAAACTATAAAAAATGGTTCATAGGTGAAAACAATATTTTTCTAAAAAAATTTATAGTCAAAAGTAAATTAAACTTATCATAATTATAAACATGAATACTTCATGAAAATAAAACGGAATCTTTATAATAATAATAATTTTATAAAGATGTTTTTAGCTTATTAGACAGTACATGTTCAATTTCGAGAGGGAGGAAAGAAAGACGATCTATTTACTATAATCCAATCAGATGCTAAAATTCAGCAAAAGCTTCCAAAATATAATCTGATCAAATCAATTCGCTCTACATGATATTGGACAAAGAAATTATATTTATAATAATTTGAAATAAATGGTAAAATCAATTTTTTAGACGAATGTTCTATTGTATTATGTTTCTGAATTTTTGAAAGAATACGAAACCCATGTATTTAGAGAAATAATTTTGAAAATTTTCAATTGTTGCCGGCTGCTTGTAGAAACAAAACGAGAATCCAATTGCTCTCATCATCTAACTTTTGTCTATCTATGAATATGTAACGCATGCCCACAAACTCATTGGGAGACTCAAACTCAACGGACATGTTGGGCGGCCTACATGAATTTCCTACCTGTCACAGGAATGGACCGGAACTTTGATGCAGTGGTGAGAGTGACACGTCGTAACCTCACAATTACCAAGTACTGTAGTAAAATAGGAACCACGTACAGTAGACGAAGTTTATGCAGACGATGATTGACGGGATGCAGACGATGCAAGCGCCGTACAAAGTCAAAGGAATCAGAGAAAGTACGAGGAACCGCGTCGCCCGACAACGCGAGAGAGCAACGAATTGGTCAGGCCGGGGAGAATATTCGCGTGTGAATGAGAGATTCTATGCGCGTGAAGAAGGCTCGGCGCCTGAAGGCCCTCTTTCACGTCGCTGCTGCCTCTGCTTGCGCGCTGCTCTCGGTTTCTCTCGTCATTCCTTCCTGCTCGGCCTCGCGGCTGGGATTGGCCGGCGTCGTGGGATTCACCGGGGCTCCACTGCAGCCAGCTGGACGTTAGCTCATCTGCAATTACGTTGTTCAGGTTGGTCGTCGTCGTGCATTCAATTCGCTCTTTCCTCGATCCCGCGTGTTCATTTTGGATCTGGTTTGGCCGGTTCGATGGACGACCGGACTCTCTTGATTTGATCACTTTGAATTATACAGATTCGCCTTTCATTTTTTTATCGGATTATTAGGTTGTTCTGTGGAGACTGGTTGAGGAATTGTAACATGAGCAGGGGAGATCTATTCGGAGAATGTGGGCACTTCGGTTTGAGAAGTGCTCTCGTTTCATCCGAAAATTACGGGTTTTCGAGGATTGTGTAGGATTGTGTAGGGCTAGATCTGTTGCGTACACTCAGAGTTGATTCAGGTATCCCCGACGATCTTATCGCCATCGGACGTTCCGCAATTACTCTTGAAAGCTTATTGTGTGACGTACAGATTTCACTGCAAGGCATTGTCTTGCAGCTTGCTCTCTGATTGGGTGCCGTATCTCTTCCAGAGACTTAACATCATGATTTGATGGAATGGACAGGTCGTTGGTGATGAGTAAAATGTTGGAGCATTTTTTAGACTAGTTGGAAAAGGGGAGCAGGCCGGGAATTAAGCTGCCGGATAGCTTAAAGTGTGTTGTTCAGTCAACACAATTGCAAATTCGTGCTTTTCTTGGTTCTTCAGAAGGCGCCGCGGACGAGTGGCAGTTATGGGAACTCCGCAGTGGGATCGACGTCAGGATGCTCTGGGAAATTTTAATATGCTTTCCGATGATGTGTTATGTACAATTCTCGGAATGCTGCCGCCGCGAGATGTTGGCACGCTGGCATGTGTGAGCAGGTAGGCGAAAATACGGTTTTCTACAATGTACAGCATCATCTTGCACTGGTACCTGTTTTATTAGTTTCTTTTGCATAGCCATCTGGAGTTTTGTGTAAGCTCTATGATGTCTAGCTAAGAAGTAGAAATTGCACAGTACGTCTTTGTTTCATTCCGATTATTATACTGAATACATATTTTTGACTTGAGATAGTTTATGATGAGCTATGAAAGATTAAATTATTTGACAGTCGTTTTTTTCCTTCTTTTTAATTTTATTTCTCTTTTCATAATACAATTCCATAGTCCATATTTGACTTGTTTGTTTCTTTATGCAGTGTTTTTTATATCTTCTGCAATGAAGAACCTCTCTGGATGCAGTTGTGTCTGGAGAAACACGAGGGAGGTCTCGACTACAAGGGCACATGGAGGCAAACTGCTTTGGAAAAGTGAGTACATGTAGCTTTTAAGTTAGTCACATAAGCCTCTAAAATTCAAATAAATTAAAAAATAAAGTGACCAATTATTGGTACAGGAATGGCCAGAAATGCATATTTGGAATACATCAGCTTTCCTTACTTATGTGGCTGTTCGCAGGTTGGGTTTGATCAAAAGCTCAGCAGAGTATTTCAAGAAGCCTCGTCATTTTGAAGGTCAGTTGTTGTTGTTTTCTTTTCTGGAATGTCTACTAGTACCATGTAGGTTCAGAGCAGTTTCCTGGATTCGAGTGTACTGAAAAGTCTGTCATACTAGGCATCCAGATTGTATTCCTTCTATCTAGTGACTAGTTATGTACGTTCAAGTAGTAACTCTATCTGGTTTGATAAGGTGTGCAGGTTTCAGTTCAATGTTTTTGTATCGAAGATGGTATCGTTGTCATGTTGCGCTGGACAGTTTTGCCCTAGACAAAGGTGCCGTGGAAAGGAAAAGAGGTCTAATGCCCGAAGAATTTACTGCCATTTATGATGGCAAAAAACCTGTAAGTTAGACTGACATTTTCGCAGTCGGACTTTTCATGAAAAAGACTTCGTTTCCTGCTTTAGGGGTCGTTCAAAATGAACTGACCTTCTTTTTCATGTCCAGGTTCTTCTGGCTGATTTGATGACCGATTGGCCCGCAAATGAGCGCTGGAGATTAGACGAGCTCGCAAAATCATGTGGAGATGCGGCCTTCAAGGTGTCTCAACCACACGGAAAATCAATTGATATGACGATGAAAGATTATGCCCAGTACATGAGCATCCAGCATGATGAGGAGCCTCTATATATATTCGATGCACAGGTTGAGATCATTCTTATCACTTTCTTCAGTCCTTGCTGATTCAGTTGCTCTAGTTAGTCCTCGCAGATCCTGCTCATACTAAGGGTTCACATTGCTTAGCAGGTCATAGCGTAATTGACATCAGTCGTTCATAATTTCCTGGTTGTAACTACAATTTGCACAAGTGTCATATCTAGACTGCAATCAACAAAACGTTGTGCTATGAATTACGGAGTAAGACATGAGTTTCATAACACGGTGGGTCTTCGGAGCTGCCAAAGTTCGTTGAAGCCCTTCGTTCGCTCTGAAACTTGTCTTCCATATGATCGTTTGGTACCACAGTATGGCAAGCAACTTATGGTGCAGAATGTACTTTGCAGTTTGGAGAATCAGCACCAGAGCTTTTAAAAGACTACAAGGTGCCAGCCTTGTTTTCCGAGGATTTGTTCTCAGTTCTGGGTGATTCCCATCGACCTCCTTTCCGTTGGTTTGTTCTCGGTCCTGCTAGGTCAGGGGCTTCATGGCATGTCGATCCATCTCTTACCAGTGCGTGGAACTCTCTAGTGAGCGGGCGGAAAAGGTGAGTGGTGAGTTCTAATCTTTCAACACTTAGTAATTGAAGATCGTGAAGATGGACTCTTATCTTGGAAAAACTTTGGAAATCGCCTCCCTGGGTAGTGTATGTAATACCTTTGAAATCTCCCTTGAAGCATCTTCTAAAATTTTTGAACATGTTTTCAGCCATGTTTGTAGATTCCCTTGGACTAACCAGCATATTGACTTCCCTTCTTCCCTTCAGATGGGCTCTGTATCCCCCTGGTAAAGTGCCTCCAGGAGTGCTGTTGGATGTTGACGAGGACGACGGCAGTGTACATTACGACGGACCAACTTCTCTTCAGGTACTGAGACTTTCTGGTCTAGTGAATCATTTACAAAAACGTTAGAGTGGTCTGCAGGGAAATACAGTTATAGTCTTGATTGAAATATCTGAACATTGCATCTGAATTCTCCTCATCAGCAGTGGCCAGATACATACTCTGACCCTTGTAATTTGACTTTCGTTCTTTCAAAATCGCTTTTTATATAGAACTCAGGTCAATTCGCAGTGCGAGTCGGAGGACCCTAAGTAGTGGCTTCTTTCATATATTGACATAAGGCCCTTCTCAACTTGCTTTGCAGTGGTGGCTTGATGTGTATCCTCATCTGGAGGAAGAAAATAAGCCCTTGGAGTGCACGCAGCTACCTGGCGAGACAATATATGTTCCAAGTGGGTGGTGGCACTGTGTGCTTAATATTGATGATTCAGTTGCTGTAACACAGAATTTTGTTAACCCCATCAACCTTGAGATCGTTTGTATGGATCTGTCTCCTGGTTATCGCCATCGAGCAATTGCTCGAGCTGGTGTGGTTGCCCTAGAAGGGCGGTCCCTGATACCGGAGAATGGAAGAGCTGTTGGACGCGAGGCACATCCCATCTTCACACATGTGGAGGCAACACCCTTAGGGCCGACGGAACCCGTTGTAAAGAAGACCGTTAATGGAAAAAACAAAAACTCCTCCCACGAAAAACCTGGGGCAGATATAGTAGGAGGTGTTACAGACGAGAACCTTCTTCTCGCTTTGAAGTCCTTGAAGATTCATTCAGATGAGCATGTAGATCCAGCTGCATGGCATCTCAGTGAAGGAAAGAATATGGGTGGATCCATGATGCGGGAGTGGCTTAGAAGATTATGGGTGGACAGGCCTGAACTCCAACCGATAGTTTGGAAGGTAAACTGATCAAGAAGCTATGCTACCTTGATGTATAGCCTCAAAGTCAGTCGTTTTAAGATGGGTATCTTGGGAGCTTAAGGTTTAGGGTCAGATCAGTATGTGATAGTCTTCAATTCACTTTTTGTATATCTCCTTCAAGGTCTTTTTTTATTCACATCACTGTGCAATTGATGCAAAATATGCACTTAGTCGCACTATCTGTTCACAGGTATCAATTTAAGTAAATGTCACTTTGAATTACACGCAGGGCGCATGCATTGCCATCGATGCAGGAGTGTGGTTGCAAAGAATCAAAATTATCTGCAAGGCGCTCTCTCTTCCTGTTCCTACCAAAGAGGAACAACTTCCTATCGGAGATGGAAGCAATCCAGTAAGATCCTACTTTCCTGATGTCGTTTGGCAGCATTTGGAAGATAAGTTCACTTTATATACAATCGGAGTATGAAGAATTTTGTAAACGGTATGCAACTGGCACTTGAAACGAAATACCACGTTCACGTGTAAGTATGGTTGTCTGTATTAGATGGCATGCTTATCAATTATGTACGACCAGTTTTCAGCACTGGTGCAGCATTGGTACTTATTCTCCCATACTGTCGTGGATACTAATATGAGCTGCAATACAGGTCTATCTTGTAGGAGAATATGTAATCAAAATTTACATACAGGAAGGAGGACCAGATGCGTCAATCGAGGGATTAGGCTCTGAGGTAAGCACTTTTCTCTTGGCCGAGAATGTCAAATATTAATCCAAATGAACATTGGTCACGAAAAAACTGCTCGTGTGTAGCGTAGTTATAATCCAAATGTGCCCTTTCCGTTATCATATGCTCGTGCAACTTATATAAGTGGTATACCTGTCTTGTTGCAGCTGAATCTTTATGCTCTTCTGAAAGAAAGTGGATCATCTTTACAACAAGTTATTCCAGAATTTGTAGCCAGTGGCATTCTATATCCCGTTGGTGATAACTATAAGGCTGTTTCATGGGACGGAACAGGTGATTGTTCCCTTGTTTATAAAAAGGATATGCCAGCGGGGAAGAAAAGACATCGGGACTCTATAAAAAATGCAAACCTCAGAGTGCGGACCAAATGGTCTGCAAATTCCAATGCTCTGAAAGTTCTTAATTCAACCGGATGTGAATCAGGAGATGAGGAGGAAGAGATAAAGTTATGGCCTTACTTGATCACAAAGCGTTGCGAAGGAACGAACTTGTCTGAAGTGTAAGTTTAAACAGAATTTTCGTCACAAAATTAGATGTTTTTAGGCTTTTTGTTGCCATACGAACTTAAGACAAGATTCCTTTGACGCATGTTTTCCCTTCTTAGTCTAGAGTATTTATTTTTGATCCGTTTAATTCTAGGTATAGCATATTGTACATCTGTCTCCATTTTGATGAGCGCGAGAGAGTGTTATCCTGCTTTGTTGCGAATGTTCTTCCATGTTGCGATACGTCGACTGGTTGGGAGGTAATATAATTTGCTGAATGGTTTAAATGTACCGTTGCATGCAGGATACATGATATGGCAGATGACGATCTCCAGTCTTTAGCTTCCTACTTAGGAGAAAAAGTCAAATTGTTACATATCTTACCCCTTCCCAACTGCACTTTGGAATCTGATGCGAACGAGATGCCAATTAATGTTGAACAATCCAAAAGCGAGGATAGAAACGGAAGGCAGTCAAAGGGTCCAAAGCGTGACCATATCACACGACCCGATGCTAAAAGTTCATCCATGTCAAATGGCACAGCCAGTCCAGCACCTGATTTGTTCAATGGCGGGAGCACCTTAACAAATGACAAGTCTGCGCATGTAGAGGTTCCAAAAGAATGGCAGCTCTTCGTATCTTTCATGAGGAAGCAACGCGAAACCCTTATGGAGCGGTTACGTGAGTGGTACGTCTGCAAACTTTATTTGCGCTCTCGATTGATCAGAAAGTCAATAAGAATCGAACGGAATCTCTTGTACTCTGAACCTATTATTGTAATTTTTCATATAATCGTGTTATGACTTCCGAAAGCGTTTCAAATGATTGCAGGGATACTCTTCCTGAAGTTCTAATGAACAAAGTTGAGGCCTACATTCCGGCTGATCCCGTGGCACTGCTTGGTGACCTTCAGGTTTTTAATAAACTTTACTCACTAGTTTGTGCCTGTCGTAGCCTGCAAACCGTAGACCCAGTACCCTAGCGCTGCTAGGCTCGTGGATACATTCATATTTTTTTTACACCTTATTTTAAAGCGCAAAACCTTGAAGAAAACCAAAGATTTGGCTGCAAGTTCTTTTCCAAGTGGAACACCACTTTTGTCCCAGCCCCCTGGAAGTCTACGACAGTACTAGGATGAAATAGGTTTAGAATTGTAAGTCAAATGAGGTTCAACTGAGTGTTGTAATCTTATCTCTTAGGTGCACAACGGAAGAGCTTGTATCTTCAGACCACCTGTCTGGTTGCACAATGATTTGATGGCCGATAACATCCTTGTGGAATCTGCACGTTTAGAGCCCGTTACGCTTTCGAGTAACGGGAGTCACGGTCAGTTGACTAAAGCATCTCCCGATGTTCGAAACCGGCAGAACCTCAAAGCATCCTACATTCTTGACTTCGGGGACTTGCTTCACGGTAAGATTGTCAACCTACGTAGTACCTTCGCAGTGCAATTGTCCGTGCTATCAGTTGTGAATGGTAGAGTCTACGTAGTCCAGAAGAATGCATGTTATTCTAGTCTAATAAAATGAGGTTTTCTTTCTTACAGGTGATGCCCTGTATGAATTTCTGCCCATACACATAGACATATTCCACTTGAAGAAAGATCTGATGGAGACATGTTTAAAGAGTTATGGGCTGCCTCTCTGCAACAAACTTGGAGTGAGAACTGCTCAATTTTCTGAAGGATCAGAAGGTGTACAACAATTCAGGCTATCGTATTGTGCCATGTGAGTAACTTGTTATCCATTTGGTTAGTAGGATACAATTGAACAGTTTCTATGTTAGTGATATTTCAACGCAGGCCTTCCACCGCTTGTAATTATTTGTTCTATCTTGATGGAAACACTTGATGCAGTTCACTGCGAAGACTAATCGTTTTTTAAAGGTGGTTCTTAGAGGTGCCTTTTCCTAGGCTTTACATAGTTCTGGTCATAAGGAAAAATAGGAAGTATGGATGTCAAAGTTACCCTTTTGCTATAAAAATTTGGTTCTGTCAGTTTCTTGGTATTCACGCTTAACATACTAAAATAGAAAATCAAGTAATCATAAATATCTCTCGATATATGCAGGTGCTATTGTCTTCTACATGAGCTGGACGAAATGTCTACAATCTTCAGGCTAAGAAAAGATCTGCGAACAGCGACATCTTTTGAAGACATTGAAGAGACGGTTTGGGGCTTCCTCAATGAATATTCGTGTGAAAATAACAGTACCTAAACCATGTCGACCAGACTTTTGTCTTTTGTTGTATCAGGTAGATTCCTTTTGAGGTTCACAAACACTGCGCTGTCGCGAGAAGATCTGCCGCCAACACCGTGTGCCATTAGCAAACTAACCCTCCAGCACAGTCCGTTTCCTGGACCATCGTCGTAGGAGATTGCTACTGAGAACACCTCCCGAAATCACTACGATATTCTCGTCCCTCAATTTTATGAGGGACCTTCTGCCTTTCTTAGCCTTTCAGAGTAGGAGTCGAACTCGCCCTATAATACTTGTAGATGATATGAACCAGTCTCATTAACTTCTATATCAAGTGTCTTTGAGCAATTCAACCACTTGGTTAAAAAATGAGATATTAAATTAAGACCAACCTTTTACACCAGTGAGATGACATTTTTCGAGCTTAAGAGTAAAGTTCCCTTGTTCAGTTCGTAGGTTAGGCCAAAACGTACCCATACCTTATGTAAGAGGTCAGAGCCACTTGTTTTATCAAGTTCTCTGGGAAGTCATCAATAGTTCTGGAGGGAGTCTCATTCATGAAGAATTGTCCTGTATAATTGCAGACGATCTCAGAGTTATATATTAATTGATACAAGGACTTTCTTGGGTTTTTGTAACACTATCTAACGAGCTGTCTTGACTTGTTGGATAAAGGTTTCTTGTCTTTTGCTTTTACTTCTCTTCGCTGAGTGCATCATGTACTCATCCTCTTGTTGGTATATTCATAGGTGTAAAACACTTGGAGCTGCTATTTCTGTTCTTGTGCAATAAGATATTGTTGGAATAAACATTATACGTAAAACTCTCCTATTGCGTGAGCTCCTGTTTCAGTATCATCCGAGTTCGTCTACGCCTGTCGGTTATTGACAGGAAGGGCTAAGACAGATGCAACACTATCAATATGAACAGACGAGTCGATGACCTTCAAAACCCACTTCTTTTTCTAAGACTATCGACTTCATGAAATGTCGTTCATATATAGTGACATACCTGAGTATTAGTGCTTCTGTGCTTGAAGTTGATCTTTCTAAATGAGTGTATAATACCGACAGGAGGTACTCAACATTCTCGTAAATATATGTATATTTGTGACTAGAACAAAGTGATCCAAACTATGTCACTTAAATGTTGCAGATGAATGATTTCTGCAAGAAGGAAGTCTCGCTCTGACTTACGGATATTTTACTAATAGCTGTGAATACAGCCCCAATCTGATAGTAGCCATTGCAGCTTGTAACTCACAGTGCCTCAAATCCATTTCTTCCGAAATCTAATGTCGCGACTGTTCTATCAACGAGTTGACTAGGAAGAAGTCTCACAACGGTCTCTTCCAAGAAATTGACCTACATGGTGACAAGGACAGTAAAGTCTCGTTGAAAAACTGAAACCTTCCCAAAGTTAAGAGATACCGGGAAAGGAATCAACTCTGAAACAAAAGGAACGAAATATTTGGCTTTCAAGCACGTAAAGAAGGGCATTGGCAACGCCCGAATACCGACTTTCTTCTTCCGTTTCTTTGTAATGAAAATGGATAGTAAAACTTTGTCTAAAATTGTTTTGCTTGATATTCTTCGTCTTTACCCCTCCACAGTGTAAAACGCAGAACTGAGTTGTCTCAACTCAGTAGGGACATCTCGTTTGGATGGTGTGATCTCGACTGGTTGTAGAACTAAAATAAGGTTTCATTGAACTTATATCGTCAGCTATGTTCATTTCGTCATGTAGAAATAGAGAGACTTAGAATCGCTCTAGGGAATGGGAAAAACCAGATGCATGGATTTCGATATGAAATGGAAGGGATGTCCGCAACAAATTCCAGACAGGATCATGGGGAAAAAGCTCTTCAAAGGAGATTGTTACATGCGGAATCTGAAGAAGAGTTCAGTGGGCTGGAAAAGCTCTGAAACCAACTACTTATTATAGAGACTCGGTGGGTGAAGTTGGAAGAAAGCTCCATGCAATTTCCAAATATGTGATACTCTCGCTGTTCATAGCAACAACTTGCATGTGATCGGAAAGAGATCTCACTTACTTTGGCTCCATCAATCGACTTTTTGCGAGGATTGCAACTTTCAGGAGACCTGCTTTCCTCGCTGCAGTTAATCAGATCAGCCCATATCTCGATACGTTCTGGCACACAACAACAACAAACCGGAAAGCAAAAAGTCGTTCTCCAGAATGATCAAAACTAAAAGAGCAAAAATGGATGGAACTGCATTCACGCCCTCTTTGAAACCGCCGGGACAAAATTCATGTACACTTTGGAGAAGATGCAACATTTTCCAAAGACCTGTCTGGTCCAAACATCTGTTCAAAGCGACTGCATGAAGGGCAACGAGCAAATTGCGTGGACCCATTGAGCTCTTTCTAATCCGAAGACGTTTCCTGTTTCCTGCCTTTACAGGCCCAAATGGCTGACGCTGCCAAGCACTTCCCATTCACTATCGAATGAAGATCGGACATTCCAAAGCACTTAAGGTGGGCAAAACATGCCGCTTTCCTCTTTAGACCTTTTCCATATCTCTGCCGATGTTGATTCCAAAAGGCACAAATTGCAACACTACAAATGTCTTCACGCCTTCGGCTCCAATGAAAATATGCGAGCCCCCAGTTTCCTTCTTCTTCTTCTTCTTATTCTTATTCTTTTGTGCAGGCAAGCGATGAGGCACTTTTGCGCCAGGTCGTGCGTCAATGCTCTGTATGCTCTGTGCCTGCAATGAATTAGTTGCTTAATTATTGTCTTACTCCTCAGGAGCATAACACCGAGAATGATCCTAATTTTTGGCTGTAAGTTGTATCTATTCATGAGACCATCCTATCAAGTCCTAGAGGAGTTTCTGATAAGAATGTCCATGTGTAGGATAGGATATGGAGGGTAACTAGAGTGAGCATAACTGTCGAAGGTCCAAGCAGAAGTAGTAGTAGTAGGAGGCATCGAGTGCAGTCATGTGAATGGCACACACAACAACACAGAAGAAGAGGGATGCCTCGTACAACTGCTGCACATTCCAGTAGATAGGTGATGCTACATTTCACGTATGCCACAAAATTGTGGAAGTCTGGAAAGTGAAAGTGGACGACAGGAGCTCCTTATTTTCGCAGCCTGTATCTGCTAATGGGATGCCTACACCTCCTCGACGCATCACAGGGAAGAGCATTCGAGCAAAGATATAATTCTATATAACATTCCCAGGTCGATATCGATGGACGAGACTGTCAGAGCGCCTCGTCCACAACTTCGTTTGTGGTTCTGGACCCATGGCCATGGAAACTTCGAATTGCAGCCCTCGCCTGCGATTCTCGAGTTCGTACGAAATTGGACCAAAACAGGCCAGCGTCCAGATTTTGTAATAATGCGTTGTGCGCCTGCCAAAACCTCCCGACCTCACAAGCTCCTGCCTCTGACTTCTGTGCGGAGTGGATTATTACGGCACTGTGATTAGAGCATCGATTGCCTGCCTCGATATAATTCCCCGGTACGTGATCGACCATTTATTCCCGCACTAGTTAATACTCAGAGGCTCTCAGAGAGTCTGATACATTCAGAAAACTTGGAGCGCAGCAGCACCGGGAAGTTGCCATCGACGAGGCGAGGCACGGCACACTACGGAGTAATGAAGTAATGAAAAGATGGACGTACGTCGCCCATTATGAAATAAGATTCGCCGAATCGTCGAATTGCACTCTGCGAGCTCGGAAAGCTCGGAAAACACAATATCCAGTGGACCCGTGTGGCAGTTATCGTACAGGGCTCTCTCGCCGACTTAGATTTGCTCGCTCGGTCCGGTGAGGCCAGTCCGGGCTCGATCAATTTCGCAGCTGCGAAGTGGTTCCCCGCTCTGGGCCTGGAGGGCAGATTCTGTGCGCAATGAGTGCTCTACTCTGTACAGTACTAGGGACGTACTCCCTGCCCAGCCTTTTCCTCGAGAGGACAAGTTGTAGTAGCTCTGACTCACTGACAGACTGACTGACTGACTATGGGGGCAGGGGCAAGCTTTTGGATGCGTGGTGTGCACAGCGATGGGGAACGACGCGTGTCCCGAGGGCGAGGGCTGGCTTGCTTTAGAGGCTGCTGCTGGCTGGAGAGAGAGAAAGCTGAGCGCAACGAAATCCGTCGCCGGCAGTTGCTCGACCGCACGAACTTCCAGCAGAACTTGCGAAGCGAGAGGGAGAGAGAGAGAGAGAGAGGAGAGAGCATGGCGGTGGCGAGCGTCATCCGGTGCAGATATTTCTCTCGAGGCCTTTGAATGAATGAATGAATGCGCGTGCACGACTCAGAGAAAGTTCTGCCTCCGTGCTGCTGTCCGATTCGAGCGAGAGCCCCACAGAGATTTTAGTGGAATGTTGTTGCTGCTGCTGCTTGCTCTCGCTCGCTCGCTCAACGACCGAATCGCTGTCATGACGTTCGTGAGCAGTATGTCAAGCTCCGTGGATCAGAATGTATGCATACAGTTCTCCCTCCCTCCCTCCCTCCCTCCCTCCATCTCTCCCTCTCCCGAGAAGAATGTGCTCTCATTCACGGGCAGGCCTGTGGGGATGTCAAGCTCCCAGGACAAGACTCGAACAGTGCTCCTCGCGGGCCATGCATCGATCGTGACTCCTCGTGCATCTGTTGCGAGGGGGCACTGTTGAGTTTCGAGATTGTTGGTGGCCGAATGGCTCGAAAGAATTCGGTACGTGTCAGGGGATGCCACTCTCTCTCCCTCTCCCTCTCCCTCTCACTCACTCTCATCGAGGGAAGGGGGGGGGGGGGGGGGGATTCCGCCCCACATTTGCACCGCTTTTCGGGTGCGGGGCCGAGCTTAACGACCTGAGTGCAGCCTTTTCGAGGCGCTCTGAGCCAGCCATGATCGCTCGTAGATCCTTTGGCCCAGTCGGCCGACTGACCGACCTCTCTCCACAGCCTGCCTCCTCTTTCGCTCTCTTCCCTCCCAATCTCGTAACGAGAATCGTCCTCCACCGCTCACTCGCTCGCTCGCTCGATCCATCGAGTTCGGATCGAATTTCGCTTGGCAGATGTCACCCCCTCCCTCCCTCATCATAATTATGTCGGCAGACGTCCCCGCCCGCCTCGTACCTATGCCACGACTTCCTCCTTCCTTCTTCTTCCGTCCATGGCCTCGATCCTCAGCCTTCCCTTTCCACTCCTCTCCACTCCACTCCACGAGCAGACGAATTGTCGGAGGTGGGGACCTCCGCCGCCGTCGTCATCGTCGTGGAGTTTGGGGAGGGGGCGATGGGGACCCAGAGACATTGGAAGGTTAATGGCGAATTAAAATACACGAGAATAATGAGAAGAATGCTCATAATCGAGGTGCGTGTTCGAGAGAAGGACGAGGCGTGCGGAGTAGCTGGCCGGGCTCATGGTGGCCTAGGCTGGAAAGGCGAGCGCGATTGTGCGCAGAGACGAGACGAGAGGAGAGGCCGAGTGAACGATCCAGTGGCAGCATCTCTTGGAGCTTTGAGGTTTGCGCTTTCTTTGGGCATGAGCAGGAATGCTGTCCTGCGACATTCAAGAGGGCTCGATGTGGGCCATCGAATCATTCGCCGTACTTGGCACCGGGACCACCTCGAGCTCATCAATGCTCAAGAGTTGGATGATGCAAGAGTCCGCGCAGCTCGGACCGAGACGATTCGAGCGATCGCTAGCTTGGAGTGTGTCGAGCGGAGAGAGCAGAGCTTCTGTCGCTCGTGTCGTGGGCTTGTGCGCTGGATCCGTCATGTGCTCCCGACGTCATGCCCATTCTTTCATTCTTTCAAGCTCGTGTGAGAGTTCGACGAGAGGGCGAGGGCGAATTGTCGAACGAGGTAAACAGAATTGAATGCGCACTCGGCATACATTGCCCTCCGCATGATCGATCGATCGATCGTCTAGCTCGAGTGACCACCACAATTTACCACCATCTCCACCTCCTTCTCACGTCATCCATATCCTGTCCGAGGCCAGATGTCGAGCCCCATGAATCGCTTGGAGATGATGCGGCTCCGACGCCACCATCGAAGAGTGCTCGGATCCTCCTGCAGGCCTCGAAAGCTCGCTCACTCTGACTGCCATCCATCGAAGGATCGCGTGTCATCACGTAACACGACGGCGCTGATCGTCCTCTGCTCGCTCGCTCGCTCGCTCGCTCAAAGCTGAGCAGGATTAAAATTCGGCTGTCTGAGTGCAAGCTTCGAAGTGCGTTCATTATCTGCTGTAATCTGACGAGTGACGCAAAGCTGAAAAGCTGCGTGCAAGCGGCGGGTCCCGGAGATATTTGTACTCGCACGTGAACCCCTTCCTTCTCTGACAGCATCAGCAGCTGCATCTCGGAAGCCAAAGCGACTTTCACGCCTCCCATCGAGTGCATCCCGAGCGAGCTTCGTGCCCAAATGTGGCACCCGGACTGCAGGAACCGTAGCTCGTCCATCGCGGTGATTACGAGGTCTGGTCGTCGAACACTTCCCCAAGACCTGGCCGCGAGTCACAGAGGGAGAGGGAGGGAGATATGAATCTCGATCGAGGCAGGCAGAATTTGAGGTGGAGAGGGAGGTGTGAGCCGGAAGAAGCGGAGTGACCACACTCTCGAAAAGAATCGGGACCCCTTTTCTCGACGAAAACATCGGCTGTTCAGAAGATGCATCGAGAGAATTCGAGGCGCATCGAGATCTGCAGCCTCGATGTCGTCCTCGAGAGAGAAAGTGAGTAAAGTTGAGACGCAGGCATACGCGGAAGCACGAGAGCGCAGGCAGGCCGAAAACATGACACTGCAAATCTGGGTGCATGATGGCCGATGCAAGCCAGGGCCGATCTCACTGCCACCGCCTTTCCCCCAAAGCACTCGCCGACCCTTTATGTGTGTGGATTGATTTGAGGCTGCGGATTCGAGCCGACCGTGCTGCCTTGTGCTGCCTCCAGCTTCTTTCCGATCCTTTGCCTTTCTCGTCTTTCTCTTTTCTGCTGAAAGGAAAGGGGAAGCAAAAGGGATGCACTTTTGTTCATTGCCCCACGAGGCCGGCCAGTCGGTGCGAGTCGAGTCAAATCGTCCGCCCCTCGCTTCATTCGCGAGCGACGTGAATGCGATCGATTCGATCGCAGTGGTACGTCCTCGATCGTTCGGGATTCGAGCAGCACGGATCTGCTCGCCCCACGACAACTGCTCAGATTCCTGTCCGAGCTCGGTGCCATGAGATCCTCGAACATCAGTAAAGTTCATTGAAGTGAACCTCTCTCTGTCTGGGCGGTCCTCTAGCACACGCACACTCGCACTCCCTCACTTTCACACGGAGATCGAGCGAATCTGTCAAGCCACAAATCTAAGAGCTGTACGTTTTTCATGCACTACAGTCGCTCGCTGTCTTGTGCACGACACGTACTGCCATCGAAGCTGCTCGGTGTTTCACTCTGCACCGAGATTGTTTGCGCTGCCTCTGTCAGTGAGCAAGGCAGGGGCGGAACGGGATGGGACGGGTTCTTTATTTGCACATTGGGTGTGAATATTTACAGCACTCAGAAAGCTTCGTTCGCTCCAATGAGTCGAACTCACAACTCCCTGAGGCTTGCTTGCAACACTGTGTGGGGAATCAGCTGTGCAAGCTGAACCATTCTCCACAACTAGTGAGTGTGCTGGCAGGCAGGCAGGCAGGCAGGCAAATTGGTACAGATCCATGGGTAGAAGGGACGAGAGGTCCTCGTGCCGTAAAACAAACGGCTGCCCAGAACAGAGCCCAGAATCAGCTGCTGCTGATGGACTGACAGTTCAACGAGAGTTGTTGCACCGTGAGGAACACGAGATCGAGTAAAGTTGCCAAGTTGTATATACATCCAAAACTGCAAATTCCAGAGCCCATCAGACAGACGGTGTGCTTCTAGAAAGTGTCTCATTATGATCACCTACGAGAAAAATTGGCCGCACATCATTCCAGTCTAAAATTTGCTGTCAGAACATAGCATTTCCATCTTAATAACAGGAGTATTTTACAGCATCTGGGATTCCAAAATATTCACCGTCTACAGAAACGTGAACCCATTGAATCATGTGGTCGACTTCTCCTGGGCCAGAAGACAGGCGACGTACCATCCATCCATCCATCATTCGTGCCTCTCCTGCTGCGCACGAAAGATGCCTACAACCTGAGCACAGACAAACTACTCGAGGCCTCGACTTAGCATCCGCCATGGCCTCTAGCGCTGTTGAACACAGCGGATTGGAGAGGCGAGTCCAGCCACGGATCCTCAGAGCTTACTGACTGGTGCACTCACCTTGAAGTCTCCGACACTCAGATTTGACTCCATGGTTTCTCCAAAGGTGCTAAAGTGCTTCTAGTGCAAATGAGTGCAGTGCAGTCAACTTGGAGTAGCTCCAGGCTCGGTCTAGACGACTCTCTCTGTCTCTGCACGTACACTCTGGTGCTCTCGTGATGTACTCAGCTGTAACTTGGCTTCAGTGACACATTGCCTCCGTGCAGAATTCGTCTATCGATGCATTCTTCGTATCGTTTCAGAGTTCACTAGTCGAGAATCGCATTCTCGCTGATGAAGAGCCGGATCTCATTACAGGACATTGTTATCGGTAATGCAGACAGAGAGGACCCTCCGCTAATCGGGATTAGATGACTAAGATGTGTACACTAAGTACGCTTAGGCTGCCTGTGACGATGACAGTGCAGCCAATTGTTGACACGGAGGACTCTCCACGTGGAACACAATGGAAGGGGCCGAGGATCCACGTCCGCACGGTCGGTCGGACCGGGCGTGGAAACGGGCTCGGATTGACGTAGTTGTACGTGCTGGACGAGTCAGTGACCGAGTAGACGGATGGGGAGTGGGGCGGGGACTGAGGATAACAATCATCGTAGTCAGCGTTAACTGTCCTGTACGGTGACACATCGCCCTCAACGCACGAGACGACGCCACCACGTCAGCTAGATCGGGATCTACGTCAGCGCCGACCCGACGTACTCGAGCAGCGCGCGAGCCCTACACCCGGTGACGCGTAGATCCGCATTCCATCGGAAAGACGCGAGCGCTTTAGAGTCCGTGATTCCCTGGCATCTGGCCGTTGTAGTAGAGGTACCGGGTCCGCGAGGCGACTGCACAGTACACTGTACTTCCTGTCGTCTTCTCCCAGCCGTCATTGTAATCGGGGGACATGGTAGTTTGTCCGACTGCGTCGTGTAATTCATACAGGCATACATACATACACACATACATAGTCGGTCCCGGTCATGTGGGAGTCCGTGCCGCCGGACCATTTAATCATTGTCCCGTCCTGTCCTGCAGGACCCGGTCCGGTCCCCGGCTCCCAGGACCAGGGCGTTCTAGAAGAACGGAGCCTTTCGAGATGATTCCCTTTCCTTCGCAGCGTCGCCGTATGTCTGCATGACGCTCTTTCCTATACCGTAAGTTATAGCGTATGGTACAAATGTACTTTTACCCCGCCCAAAGTCCACAATAATAATTATTTTGATTATTTTCCTCCGACGTCGTCATCCTTTGCTTTATTTTCGGTTCAAAGTCTCAATGTGAGTGTAGTAATGAGATTGAGATGCTGGGAGTTGTTTCGGTTTCGTTTCCGCGTGGAATTTGTGGTGGAATTGGAAGGATTTGGTAGCTCGTTGTTATTCGAGTTTTGAAGGTTCGTTATGGGAGGGAGACAGAGGTCTTTTATGAGATGTGAATTAAATATTTGCATCTTTCAGATATGGATGCCATAAATGTATTTTTTCGGTGGGAGACACTTCGCGTACCTTTGTTGTTCTTAATATTTCTTTTATTTCTCACCAGAAAGTTGAAGGCGAGCTTTTAATGCAGATTGAGCTTTTTACATATGTAAACGATAGTCGAGGAGGTTTAGAAATACCTGAATTGTGAAAAGTGCCCACCTGGTCTCTGTCTATCGATCGATTCGATACAGCAAATGATGATTTCAAATTCTTGTCTGATACGGTTGCGATTGAAGGGTAAAATTTGATTCCTGCATGAGGCGATCTTGCAAACGACATTTCTCGCAGCACCTCGAGATGAATAAGTTACTCCGTGTTGAGGCTGGCACATCATTTGTGCGGTGCGGCGCACCAATCATTGTAACTATGGCATGATACAGACGTGTATTCTAGTGCAAGAACCGCAACAATGATATCCTCCGTGCAAGTTATCGCCGCATGGACTTGTAAGGCTTTGATCAGATTAGAAAAACTTTGAGAAGTACCGAGCACTTTTGGATTTTTATAAGACTTGTAAAAAATGATCCCCACAAAGAAGAACTCAATATATTCTTCCCCATCAGTGTCAAGCTTTTATAAGTGAGTGTATTTGATAAGGAACAAGCTTTTATAAGTGAAACAAATTTTGAAAGTTTAGCAAATTTTGGACATACATTACAGAGTTATGTTCGTCTTAGATCTAAAAAAGTGGAAATGTAGTGTGAACTTGAAATTATTCTAAGAATCTGATGACACTACTTGATTTATGTCAAGAACAGGTTGATCCTCCTACACCTGTATCCATAAAAATATAAAATGGTATCAATTAGCATGTCAACAGATTTCATATAGCATAAAATTGCAGAACTGAATTTACATAGATACATGATGCACACACCAAACTCAAGCAGTTCCAAATTCATCCAGCTTGAATGCGAGCGTCTTAAACGTCTTAAACCATAGAAACCAGCCGACCACACGCAGACAATGAAGTCTGGAGAAAGACTTTGCACTCAGTTTTCACTCCTTTTAAATTTCATCACTTGACTTCACATGTGCAACCACAAGATCTTCCATTTGCCAGCTATGTCGTTTGATTCACGTGGAGATACAAGTGGCTTTGGATCTTTGACTGAAAATTAAAACGGAAAGTGTTGTCCATCTATTGAACTGGCCGGTGCTTTACTTTCTCACATTTATCACTCGGCAATGCATCGAGAAGAAATCTTATAATTCGGAATATACCGGTAGGTAAAGTACATAAGCACATATTCGACATTCACAACTTCAGTTCGTTAAGATATTTCCACGTGAGGATTTCCACGCTTGCTGCTTTCTAGGACTTCTAGTGGTACTCTTTAATCCATTTAACGACTTTGTCTTGCATCTGGGCCATTATTCTCACCTGATTATGGTCACTTATTGCTGCTGTATACATCCCAGCGGCTTCAACGTTTCGAGGTCATCGAGGTGGCACCTACTGTAGAATGCAGGACTTTCCCTCCCTTTCGAGGCTGGGCTGGGTCTTGTTCTATATGTAGGCCTTGACTGGACCTGATGTGTCCCGAATGGATTTTATTTTTCGTCTTGGATGTCTCATTCATTCATTCATGTCATTCTCATCCAACAGATGAGGAACCGAATAGATCAAATTCTTTTCTGACCAAGAATTCGACATGCAATCTGCGGTGACTTTTATAAAGGAAATCTGCATATATATAATAATGGAAATCTTCAATAAATGAGTACATACATAGAAAGATAGGAAGCAAACATGCATTTCAGATTGAAATATTCCAAATGTTTATCTGTACCGCAGAAGGAGGAGCCCCATGCCTCTCACCTTTTTCCTGAGAAGATGGCAAGGAATTGCCATCGAATCTGCTTTCCCTTCATTCATGCTTTCAGCAGTAAACTGCAACCGAAGCTAGCCTTGTATACGTCTCGATCCCCAAGTGGTCTGGACCTTGTAAAGACAGATTCCAGTTCAGACTATGCTTCTCGTGAGGTAAAAGTATTGTTCCGACATTGGACCTGAATTGGTAAAGAGGAGAGAGAGAGAGAGAGAGAGAGAGAGAGAGAAGAGGTTAGGCTATTCATTGCAGTCTGTCTCTGCTTTCATCTAGAGGAGATTACTGTAATGCTTGCACAATGAACAAGGAAGGAAATGTCATGATTGCTGCAACTTTTTCAAGCAAAGCAAAAGGTTTCTTGCCCTCCGAAACTATCGATCAAACTGCGTAAGAGAGAAAAGATGTGATAAAGTCGTAAGGGGTGACGTGTGTTTTCTAGCCGATGCTGCAGGTGGAGGTAGAGAAACAGATCAAAGCTGAAGCGCAAGTGCTTCCTTCCCGTCATGGAGTCACTCACATGTTAGCAGTTTGTTGTCACTTCCAGACCGATCCCAGAGCAAAGTACTGAACATTTGCATCCTCATGCAGAGACAGAGCCCGGCGTGCTGGCGACAATTATCTACTTGTGTCCAAACCTCGCTCACCTTTAAGCAATTCTACCCCACGGAATTTTTTCATCTGCTTCCAAAAGAGAAAGTGAGGAGAGAGACGAAAACCCAGTCGGAACTTGCAAGACAAGCACTTACGTTATCTGCTGTTATTAAACTGTACCCAACAGCTTTCTAAGTATGGAAGAAGATTCTCCAGCAGAAGAAATGATTTTTATTCTCCCTGAACTGTTGAAGGAATTTTAATCATTACAAAAAACCCCAACAAACTGGGGAGAGTGCTTCCGTTCCTCGCTCCAACCAAGCTCGGAGGTTGCAAACAGACCTGGGAGTATCAAATGAAGTGTCTTCTCGGTTGTTGAGGTTCTTCCATGCATTCGAGGCTTTAGTTCCTTTTGTGACATGTTCATGAACGTGCATCAGTTTTGACTCATCGACAGGAACAATATGAGCACCATAGAATTGTCCAAGTCATTCTTCCCATTCAATGTTCGCACGGTTGGTCTAGGAGCAAGGAAGGTTCAGTTGATCGTATTTCATGAATCCGGTCAGTAAATATGCCAGCAGATGTTCGACAGATATGGCAATGAGTGAGATTGGTGCGCAGGTTCCTCACCTTTTAAAAGGAGAACAATTGTTTTGAGTAGAGCAAGAAGCAGAAAGCTGTTTCGGTCACATTCCTTCGAGAAGAGCTAAAGATGAGATGCCTGAAGTGTCTTGCAAGACAGTCTTGTAAAGGGCACGATTTCCATTCAGTTCTTTCTATAGACTTTACAGACATGCACAGTAAATCCTTGGAAAATGAATCTACGCGCCACAATTCAACGATTTCTTGGACAAGAACATGCAGTTGTATTATCAAACAGCGTCTTCTTGGAAAAGCCTGGGAAAAACTTTCAATCGTCTGCACGCTGTAAGGAAAGCTGCACTCTTTAATCCTTTACAACAGTGACGTGTGTCCCTCTGAAGAAATTCTTTGCATGTTTTTCCTTCGTGTAAAGGTCGAGGTCTTCGGACCCCGCAGGACCTCACTTCATCTATCCTTTGCAAACATCTTCTTTCCATCACCTCTTGTGTCCACCAGCTGCTCTTCCCTACACGATCGATATTGCTGCTTTTGACCCCGTACCGTACTTGTGCGACGACCGACACGGGTCTCAAATCCCGAAGAGGATTGACGGTTTTCGGCTCCGTTTGCTCGTACAACTTGCACCACCCTCATCCGACCCATTCTTGGACCCTCCTCCATCATCCGCTCATCAGTCCAAACCTTTACTCTTCGATCTTCGATCTTCGATTTTACGGGTTTCTTCGTCATCAATCTTGCACTCTCGTGATTCTTCTTTTGCCCCGCCCTTTCTAGATTTGGCGGAAAATTTCACTCACGCAAGAAACAAAGAGAATCGAAGCATTCTCGAAAGAACTTGCAAATTTCGTCGTCCTCCTCCTTTTCACTTGAGTTTCATGCCAGCCTTTCTCACCCTGAAACGATGGATCGAAGGAGGATGCAGTCATCGACATCGACATTGACGGTACGAAGCTGATGCCCAAAAATGCCTCATCCGATTCACCACCGAGAGTCATACTGGATGTGCTTTTTCTTCGTCTTTTTGTGTCACTTCCAAATTCCCTTTTCACATTTATTAATGTGCACGAAAATGCCAAAGCTGTGTACATTCGAGCGTTACCATTTCGGATAATGAAGAAACATGGATCTAAGGAATGAAGGCGAACGCATTCGACATGTGTGCCCCTTAAAGCCTACCTTGAAAGGAAATTTGCATTTCCTACTCTCACCATGCAAATATATTCTGCTGCATTTAATATATCGGAATCAAACTCCGTGTCTCATATACAAAGATGAGAACATGTTTTCAATTGAAGCCAATATGTGAAGAGTGTATTCGAGGTTATGATAGCCTCGATTTCATCCGTTTTGTTGGGTAAAAAGTGGATAAGAATTTGAATTTCTACTCCTTGAACATCTAAATTATCAAATAAAATCATGATGCAAATTTGATGAGAGATATATAATTTAAATTTTGTTCACCAAAAAGCTCATTTGATAATAAAAATAAGCCAACGAGATCACATAAGCATTGTTTTGCTTAGCTCATGAGCATACGCCCAAAGAGTTATGATCGTAGCGCGAAAGAGTTGCACCCTTCCATTCCTTCACCATTCACTTTTGTCTAGACTTCACAATATAGTGCATTGTGTAATTTCTTGTAAAATTTCAATCTCATTGTGATCAGTTGTGTTTGTAAAAGCCAAAAAAAAATTCATGAAGCGGTTCTTCATGGAAAGAGTTCATGAGTCAACCATTTTGTCAATCTAGAGTGTACTCTTCAGATTTTTCAAGTCTAGACAAAAAAATGTATGATTATAGCTTAAAAAAGTAATTTAAAAAGTAGTTTAGAGATGTTCACATATCCAATGAAATATATAGGACAAAATTGCTATTGGACAATTATTTTTAAAGTTTAGCTTTCATTTTTTGGACTCTTTTCAATATATTATTTCAAAGAGCATACCTTTTTGTAATGATCATATTGTTTCGTTTCCATTTGAGTAATATTTTCAGAAACGTTAAGAATAACTCATCTCAATGATCGTATACACTTAGGCCTAAAACATCATAAAATTTTTAATTGCCTCACGAATAAGATGGTTAGAAATATCTAAACTCACTGTTAACTTTTTTTCAAGAGCTGAGGAATTCTACAAATAGCAATCCATTGATTAATCAATGCGCCGCCTACAGTACGGCGTGGTGTTAGTATTACTCCAGATTGTACTAAAACTGTCAATAGATAACTTTCAAAGTAAACCATTCCAGTTTTGTTCTCACAAAAATCTATAATTTTCTTCCTTCTGGACAATAAGCTATATTATATCATCCGACTTCTAGCAATATGAATTTCTCACTAGTGTGTGATAATTGTGTCAATGATCACTCTCTAGATCCGAACTCGTACGGATACCCATTATTTTTTACTCTAACAATTGGTATGTTGGTAAGTATTACAGACCGTCTGCTACATCCGTCCGAATGACTGTTTGAAACTGGAGAGTGTTATGGAGATTTGACTACAACAACATTTTGGTCCAACTATCACTATTTTTCCTACACTGATACTCTTCCCATACGATTTTGGAAATTCTACTAGTAACAACAATACTTTTGACACAAATCACAATAGATCTTGTCTCTCTTCTGTCACTGCTCAGACGGTGAGAAAGTTTTAAAAACATAAATTTGATTTCAAGAAATAACAAAATACAAAACAAGGCTCTTTTCTTTGAAAAATTTTGAGTTTAAAACTAGTGATAGGACTAACCTTATATGAAATTTTTGTAGTCCAAGTATCAACTAGATCATGAAAATTTGGATCCTATATACTAAAAATCTGGATCTATAAGTTTGGCTACTAGTACTACTACTATCGTTACCTAACTCTGAATTGATAGCTGAGTGCAATTGAGCTCTATCGTGAATCACTTCTAATTATTCAGAATATCATACTTACTACCACTTTGGAATACATTTGGCCGAATGATTCCAAGAACTCCGGCAAGGTCTTTACGTGGCCAAAATACTGCCAGATGCCACAACTTTGTCAACTGTCAATACTTATCAACTGCACAAACTATCATCCAATCTGAGAAGGGAAGAAAGTCGTTTGGTGTCTTATATAACTAAATATACTATTTATTCATTATTTTCTAATCAGACCGTCTCACTTCATTTAATTTTTTTATCTTCAGGCCAGGAATTACCTTATCTCTAGATTCATATGGACTTCACTTTTCACATCGCCGTTTTCAAAATATTGACTTTTATGATGTCTCTTCACATGCTTCATCTGATTTGTTGTGCTTTATCCAATTTTCTTGAATTCATACTCAAAAAAGCACCAAGACTTCATGTAGTATTTACAGGATAGTAGTACCTTGTCATGTTTGTCTAGACGATTGATGTGTTCATAAACCACATCTCTTGGTTTTGTTACAGATTTTTTTTATCTAAGATGGCAAGGACTCTATATTTGTTGAATTTGGAGTTTGTTTCGAATCATCGTCATTCGCTAAAGTTTCAATCTCGTCATTGCTGGAGGAACCTGCATATTCACTTTCCGAGTCTGAGGCCAATCTAGCAACTTATCTAAGGGGAGCCGGGTTATGTGCAATTCCTTTCTCTCTCTTGATACACCGTGTACTAGCTGCCAACAACAACAGCGGCAGCATCCGCTTTCATAAAACCTTCATCGCGGACATCGATTTGATGATAGATGAGAATAATAGCATGAACGTACGTACAGACTGCGCAATTGATACTTGGATTCTTGGGTCATATACAACCCTCTACCCTAACCTGAACTCGGGTTTTTGGCTTTTACCTGAATCCGATCTGAACTCTATTTGAATTGCAAATTAATAAATATATGTATTAATTTTGATCACATGAAAAAATCCAACTTCAATCAATCATCAAGTTTCAAGTATATAGCAAAAATTATGAAAATGTATCATCATATTGGATAGAGTATGAAAAAAATTCAAATCAGATAGACTTCAATAAAATTGCAATGAAAAAATTGAAAAAGATATATATCATTCAAAGTACATAAATTATTTAAATCAAAATTTCTTTAAATTACAATATCATTGAATAAATATAATTTTTATTTATTTCTACCTTGTAGATTAAATGAATAAACTGACTTTGTACGCATTGTCTACACTATGTGATTTAATATAACATAGAGATATTTATTAATCATCAATTGTAATCATAACACCTGAAATCTGGAAAATGCTAACTATGAAAACCTTAGTGTCTAGATATAATAATATATCATTTTTGCAGATCTACAATAGTTTTAATAAGGTTTGAATAAATACGAGGTGAAAATAGAGAAAATCACATTTGGATATTGAAACTTTGTGTAAGGTTCATAGAAAACACTTATAGTTTTTTTTCCCAAATTTCACGTATACAATATTTAAGAATTTCTCAATAGTGTTCAACTTGCATACTTATAAATCCAAAATTAAAATATGAAACTAATCATATATTTTTCTCTCAACTTTCTTCAAATTATATACTCAGAATGTCAAAGAAAACCCTATCCCATCTGGTGATCTAGCTGGAGGGGTTGAAGTGATTACTAGACCTTACTAAACCTTGGAAACATTGTCACATACATGGTTATCATATATTTTTTCCTTTCTCCCTAGATATGCAAGGAAATTACTAAGGAGTTCTACACATGACATAGAAAATTTCAAGCACATCTGGGTTCATCGTTGCTAGAATAGCAAATATGAACCACCTTCATCTTTTTTATCGTGTGCAAAAAAATATTTCCTTTACAAATTTATGCCGGAAGGAACTTTCTATCGTTGATTTGTTTGCTTAGGAAAGTGAAGCTACATAGGGTGAGATAGATTTATGGCCTTTCATCAGAGAAAAATTAGGTCCCTCCTGTTCCTCTTGCCTAGGGGCGGGATTGATTACTGCCGAGACAAGGATTTATAAGAGACTATCTTTGTCTTGTTCCTTTTGTCCAGTAGCGGGATTTCATTTTGTCTTCCGTTGCCTTTTCAGGGTACCGGTGGAGGCCGGTATCTTCATCGTGATAAATCTGCGCGACATGGATCTCACATCCTGGAAGAAACCGATGACAGTCTTTTGGAATTTTAACCCTTTATTTCTTCCGATTCATTCTTCGGATTTCTGCGATTTTATGAACCTCGTCGGTTCCTAGACAGTTCTCAGATACAACCGGGCTCGAGCGAAGTGCCGATGTGACCCCGTGCCACCGTGGACGCCCCGTGGCCGCGAACCTCAGCCACCGTGTGAAGAATTATAATTATATGCGGACGATTTTATCGTCGGGGGTCCAGGGAGAAATATCAATAATCGATTCTCGCGAAGAGTCGAGTATCTAATCCCAGAGCCACGTGCCGGGAGCCCTGGTTTCCTGCAAGGGCAGCGGAGCGAGGAAGGGAGCGAGCGATGGCGGAGATGGACATTCTTTCAGCCTTTGGCAGAGCGGAATAATTAATACTTAATGGAACAAACAAATATAAGCTTCGTGAGCATTCTCGCGCCCCTCGAATTGGCGGGTACTTTTCGCGGCAGCGGCACCGACCATATGATCTCGGACCCCGCCCGCCCGCCCGCCCGCCCGAAGTTCGGTGCCATCCTGGGCAGACGACGGCGAAGGTGTAATCAATCCGAGTCCTGATCCGGACGGAATCTTGAGGCTCGGATCGGCCGCTGACCGATGGTATGAAGGAATGACGGGCCGCTCTGTAAGTGAGGTAAGGGCGAGATCCTCCGCCGGTGTCGCATCCCAACATCTGACTCCGTGACCTTCAGCGAGCACGACGACGTGCGACGTCACGATGGGCGTCGCGCCTCGTCGCGACTCATCGCAAGTGGAGGAGCGACATTCATGATCGTGGACACCGTTCTCTCCGCACGCAAACAAACATTTGATCGGTCCGGTCTCCCATCCCCCTTTCCCTCCCACGGAGTCAGTCCCTAGATCCTCCTCCCTCTCCCTCCTTCCCTCGTAGCAACGTAATCTGTCTTAATTCGCAACCGATAAGACAATATCTCTGACTGCACATGTTTGGCTCATTATTATATCCGCCGCGGATTGCTTCGGATTTCTTCGAGCGAGGGAGCGAGGGATCCATCGGTGACGAGGAACTCAGTCTATTAAAAGGAGCTCTAAGCGAAAAGTGGCCTTTGACCTCGATCAGATATAATTTGCTTGCTGCCAGCATCTCCAAGATTCATTCATTCATTCATGCTTACGAGATGAGATTCTGCTGAGGGAGCAAGCGAGCGAGCGAGCGGGCTCTTTGATCCCCGAGAATGTATCCATGAGGGCGAGCTGCTAATGCGGATAGCGGCTCTCGAGAGAGTCGTGGCATTAATGATGAGGATGAGATGGATTAGGCCCGTCATGTCTTTTCCGCCGACTTGCTGCCCCCGATTCAACATCGGAATGATGGATGCGTCCGTCCGTGTGTGGACTCTTGATTCAAGGTCGCCGTGTCTGTGTCACGTCCTTGCTGATCATACCAGGTCCGAGGCAACCATGTACCCCATGCTGGGAGCGAGAGGAGCGTGGACAAATGGATAGATGCATTGACAGGCCGGTGGGATAACTGGGAAGCTCGTCCAGGGGAGCCATACTGTCAACTGACCCTGAGATTGAAATAGAATTCCACAGAGCGAGGATTTCCAGATTCATTCATGTGCCCATGACGGATCCACGCTCTCGTCCAAATGTCGAGTCGAGTCGAGTCGAATCGAATCGCCATCTGCTCCCTTTCCCCACCGTGTGTCGGTGTTCCACCGGGAAGGACTCTGATCCTTCCCTGTTCGCCTGCGGGAGGGAGACTGCGAACATTTCTCTGTGCTTGTCTGAACGAACGCATATTCCTCGAAAGTGCTGCAACACATGGCCCGCAGGAAAGTCGGCAATTCTGCTCCCGAAGTTTGGTGCATCTTCTCCTCCTCTCTGTTTGGACATCTCCGTAACCAGTCCTGCACTTTATGGGCTCTATTAATGCCTTTTCTCGCAAAATGTGGACGCGAGTTGCTTCTGAGACAACATGGTCAGTATTGATTATTGATTCTTTAACATTTTTATGCGACTTTAGATTATAGATAAATCTTCAGTGGCCGATACAAAGTGTTATGCAAAGGAATTTGCCTGATGGAGAGTATTTAATGTTTTCTTAAAAAGGATAGTTTTTAAATATGTAAAAAATCTTCAATATTATTTGATGTTCTTATAATTATGTCATGTATTTTGATGAATAAAATACTCTAGATACTATAAGAAATGTTTTCCATAAATATGCTACGAGGACCTAGCTCGTCTTATCTTATGGTTACCTTAATATTTTTCTTCGTATAGCTTGATGGGTTTTACCATGTTATCCACTTGGCCCCTGACCTCAGTTTGGGACTTCTTTTCCAATATTTGTTTTGTTTTTTTAACATCCATTCGGAAGAGATGGTGACAAAATGACGCTGAGTCGAATTACTGTCGACATCAAGAGCAAGAGGGCAATGATTTGTTGAAAGGTCAAATGTGTGAAGGCAGGGAGACCAAGAGTTGCTCGAGACGGGGTGAAGTCACACTCCTACCGAGGCTGCAAATCTTGCCTGGGCTTCTAATAAGCAGCAGCAGCAGCAGCAGCAAGGGCAGGGAAACGAGTCGATGGCTTCGTTCGAATGATCTTCGTAGACTGGGTCAGATTTGTCATTTCAAGTGGGGGAAGTCAAGCAAGCAAGCAAGCAATCAATCACACGAGTCAAGAAAAGTCAACAGAATCGAGGCGAGCTTGGGTCCCCTTTTGGGTACTCGGATTCACTTTTGGGATTGAATTAGTCCTGGGAGGCTGTCGTTGGGAGCGAGTGAGGACATTTCTTCCGTCTCGGGACGAAATGAGTGAGAATCTGTAGCTCTGTCGAGCTAGGCCGTGTCGTGTCGACGCTGTGTCGTATCCTCTGCTCTGCTCGGCTCATCTCTGTTGGCTCTTCTTCAGCATTTTGACTCTCCTCGAGGCCGATTGGTTTCTCTGCGTCGCCTCGGCAGCCTTTTGACTTTCGTCTGGCGCCTGAGTCAGGCTGCTGAGTCTGCCGATAACGCTCTCACTAGGCCCCATTGTCCCTGACATCCCTCCCTCCCTCCCTCCCTCGCCAACCAACAGCACGACCCAGTCAGTCCCCTCCATCTCGTTCGAGCTTCAGTCCCGTTGCACAACAAACAAACAACCGATCGATCGATCAAACCATCGGATCCGCAGCTGTTCAGGTAGCTCTCATGAACCTTTCGCATCTCTGGCTGAATAAAATCTACGTGAAGCTCGGCGATCGATCATCACAGCGAACATCTCATGTTTGGCTTACATTCCTTGCTTCTTTTCTATCCGTGAGAGAAACTTGCCATATGCAATCCAAGTCTCCATATGGGGGAATGGGATGTGTGTTTGCAGGTCCAAAATCCACCTGAAAATCCCATATATTACAATTGCTCGATGAAACCTCGGTTCACTCGACCGACATTACATCGAGAACCTCTGCCACGTCTCGGAAGGGGGACTGACTGATTTTTGTGGTGCTATCAGGTCCGAGAGGGGGCGCTTTACACCTCTCGTCTTGACTTGACGGTCTTGGAATGGGTTTGGTGTTCACTCTGCAGCACAGGAGTGAATAAAAAACAATATAATATAAGAGTAATATTAGAGGTAGCTCACGTACTCCCTTGCATGTCGTATAATGATATGAAATGCTTTTCTGAAGACTAGCTTACGTATATTTCACTGTTTGCTTGTATCTTCTGCAACATCAATCATGGCGGAAATATCATTTGACAGTCTAATTCTCGGCAGTCCTACGTCATCATAAAGCCGTCGACATCTACCATCAAGAATTTAGATGGACCTCTTAATTCTTATTCTCTCCGAGATGAGGTAATCTGGTGGTGACTGATTTAATGTAAAATTCTGAGGCGAATGCTCCGAATGATCCGATCTGCTTGCTTGCTATGGTTTAGAACAATGAGTATTCTCACGACGTGATAAAAGCATCTTTTAATGCACAGCTCATAACATTCAATTCGCTTCGAATCCAAGGAGAGCGGCGGACCAACATTGTTCCATGATGGTGCTCGAGATATTTGAAGTATTATCATGTCATAGTAGGACACTTTCTGCCCACCTAAATTGTTCTTTTCCTTCGAAGTCCGTATGCGATAATGTGTTCTCACTCATTTTCCAATCGAGTTTTTGAAGATTGATGTCATGGTGGAGAGCGAACCACTCTCTCAAACAACCGTAACGATGGCAATCCACATCTCACAGTGTCGAGAAGCCATGGACTTCAAGACCTACTCGTTTAGGCGTTCTCATAGACCCTTCCTTTTCGAAAGGGTAAAGAGATGAGTCTCATGACCTTTTTTTAAACAACAGAAACCTCATCTGAGCACCGCCACATCTCAGCAGCAAACTGAGAAATGTTGATAACACGATGGTGTCGTTCGTATGCATGCTGACTCGAGGGCTGTCGAATACCCAAGTAGATTCATGTCGGCACGCAGCGATATGCTGGAGGTGTAGGCACTCACAATTGGATAGTGTACACTCCATCCCAAGAGAAAACAGCATCGAACATTTTGCATGCGGGTTCGTTTCGCAACTTCACACCCTTCATGCGAACGATGACTCCAGAATCCATGACCAGCAGCACCCCTCTCCATCACTCTCCCCGATGCGAAGAAACGAAACGAGGTCCAAGGTCTTGCATCTTCCAAAAGGCACGCCATGCCAGCTTCTGTGCATGGAAACAAAATAATAATTAAATAATCGACCAGAAGAAGGACAAGCACGAGGTCAAGGACAAGGACAAGGACAAGAAGAAGAAGAAGAAAGGAGCTGCAATGTATCTTCCGAGAGAACAGCTTCGAAGGGTCAGCGTGCCCAAATCCAAAACACCAAATCGCAAACACAACGAAGCTGCTCCGCATGAGCCGGAAGGGACTCTCGGGAGGGATCCGGAATCTGCACAAGGTGCAGCTGCGGATGAATCTGTCTGGGCCCTCGAAGAGCACGTGGAGACTCGGGACGGGTACAAGAGGCAAGTCTCGTGTCCAGAAGGGGAACGGCACGTACCCGGATCTTGAAGTCCAAGTCCAAGTCCAAGTGGACGCAACTTCCTGGATAGGCTTGTAGCTTTGGATTAAAGTACAGCGCCCTTTCTCCCGCGGCTTCGCGGATCGCCGCCTCGGATACCGACATTCACTGGCCCTCGCGCAAGTCGGACTTTATCCGGAGTTGCAGACTTACTGCAGAGCACAGTCCAAGTGGCGCTTCGGGCGCCACTTGGACTGATACGCGAGTCAAGACTCACGTCCCACGGACGGACGGATCGAGTCCCTCGGCGGCCGTCCGTCCGCGAAGCGATGCCGAAGCGATGCCGAAGCTAGCTCGCTCCCGGGACGCAACGTTCGTGCGCCGGACGAACTCCGCGGGAGGCCTCGCGTGCTCTGCTGCCGGCGTCGGGGAGGACTTCTCTACGAGTTTGCGGGTACCGAGAGAAGGACAAATTTCGGTAGGGCGAGCCGCAAACTCCAACCCGGCCGCAGATGCAGGGCACGCGCACGTCGGCCCGGGGTTCGCGTTCTTGACGTATCTCCAGGTGGCCTCAGGAGGCGTCGGAAGTGGACGCGGGGGGCGGGCCATGTCCGTTTCCAGTTTCTTTACTTCAGCTGTTTCCGTGGTGGACCGCCGGTCCTTCGTTTCTCGACGAGCTCGAGCTCCCAGAGCCTCCGGTTCTCCGAAGCTAGAGAAATCGTTCCTACGGGACGAGGCACGGCCCGGCGCGGCTCGGATGGAATGCGTGTCTTCTTCTAGCACAGCTATCGCTCCAGAAATAGCGAAACCTTCAGCGAATTCGTCGTCCTTTCGCGCACGCAGTTCGCTTCCTAATCTGGAGCGAACTTTCTATTTCGGCCGCGGAAACGGGCGCCTAGGCCCGTTGGGAGGGTCTAGTCCGTACGAAACGTCGTACGAGCCGGGGAGGGGGATTATAGACCGGGATGGGTCATTTTCAGCAAGCAAATGGGATCCGATACTACGAGAGAGTTGTTCGATGATGAGCCGGGGAGGGGATTATAGGCCGGGATGGGTCATTTTCAGCAAGCAAATGGGATCCGATACTACGAGAGAGTTGTTCGATGATGAGCCGGGGAGGGGATTATAGGCCGGGATGGGTCATTTTCAGCACGCAAATGGGATCCGATTCTGCGAGAGAGTTGTTCGATGACGAGCATTTGTTCCGTGATGTGATGTGATGAGATGAGATGGGCTCCGATCCCTCTCCGTTCTTTCATCGGTGAGAAGTTTGAGAGGGTTTATTCTTTCATTACTCCTCCAGAACAGCAGGAGGAGCAGGAAGTGTATTCTGGAAGTAGAGTTTTATTATAGAAGCCCCGTGAAAGTCAATCATTCTCGACACCCATAATACGCATGACAAAATAAGCAACACGATGCAGCAGGATACCGCTATTCTAGCTAATGGAAACACTTACAGCAACGATCGGAGCAGGCATAGAAAGAGCATTAAGAAAAATAGGCAAAGCAGGTGCTGAGGCCAAACTGGGAATTCATTCGGAGGAAGCAGCAAGCGGACGGGGGAGATCCTTCGAGCATATAATCGAGATGAGCAACACGAATGCAAAGCAAATTGACAGGAAAAAGCACCGGCCGGTCCAGAATTAATGCCCACAGATGACAGATTTCCCGGACACAACACAAACTGGGGAAGAATGTGCCGGTGGAATGAGGCTATAGGGGTAGCTGATGACCGGCCTGGCCCGTCGCTCGGGCCCGCCGGGGTGGGACAAAACCGGCTGGCCCCGAAATGGATAGTGCCATAATGGAATTATCAGCCGGGGGAGCTTCACGGATCCGCAGACCTGATCGTCGATGCGCGAATCCAACGGCCCACATCAAATGCAAACCCGAAAGATTCTATTCTATCTTCAGAGTCAGTTATGATGAGGAGGGCCACCGGTCACCATCTCGCTGCCGAATCTCCACCGTCCCCTCCCCCGATCTAGCGGCCGCCGCGACTCATGCGTAGGAATGTTCTATCCGCCGGCGGATTCTCCGTCCGAGGGGAAAGATACCGGTCACCGGTCACTCCCCGGCCGGCCCGACCCGAGTCATTCCGTTCCGTCCCGTCCCGTCCCGTCCTATCCCGTTCCCCGCTGTACGATGCTTCCGTCGCGGAAAGCGATCGGCGAAGGGAGCAGGAGCGCGTGTGCCCGCCAGGTCAAGCGGAGCAGATTGGCCGTGGCCGTGGACCGGGTGCGCAGGTAAGCCTGTGACCGGGTGGGCGGAGATGGTCTACTACCCCTTTGGAGGCTCAGTCGCTGTACGACTTGCTCGCCGGGTCGTCCCGTCGTGGTCGCTAGAGGGAGGAAGGACTCGGAAGGAAGGAAGGAAGGAAGGCTGAGGGCTTGACCGGGTGGTCGTGAGTCTTGTGATGGTAGTTGCTGCGCTGGTGCAGCGGCAGCGGTGCGGGGCTGTGGTTGGTGCTGCGGTCGATGGGCGATGGTCGATGGCGGGGGCCGTCGTCGCGAGGTCGGAGATGGATGATGCGGCCAACCACATCGCGGCGCAGCACAGAGGCCTGCTGCTGCGTGTCCGAGGGTCCTGGTGTCTGCCTCGGCAGTCTAGCTAGGGAGAGACATAGAAGACAGACAGGGCTTGCGAGTGGTAGCTCTGGCGCTGCTGCTGCTGCTTCTGTTGCTGCTGCTGCTGCGGGTGGGGGAGGAGGTGTGCTAGAGCGCTAGGAGTAGCAGTAGGTGGTGGTGGTGGTGGTGTGCTGGGTTCGACATATTATTCTATTGTATTGTGGCCAGAGTCGCCGTCTGTCCTGTCTGTGTACCTGCACTGCTGCTGCTCAATCCGCGATCAATTCTTTCCTCATCCTGTTCAAACTCGGGCAGCATAACACCGATCACGATCCCGATCTCAGTGCTGCTCCTCCTCCTCTTCCGGCCCTTGGCTCTCTGTCATATTTCTCTCCCCCCCACCTCGCCCCCCATCCCCCACCCCCTCCCTCCCTCCCTCCCTCCCCCGCCCCCCTAGTCTCGACCTTGGGCACTGTGTTCCTCTCTCCCTCTCCCTCCCCCTCCCTCCCTCTCTCTCTTTCTCTTCCCCTGTCTCTCCTTTTCTCTGCGTCCCTGCGCCCCTCGTTTCCTTCCCCACTTCCCCCGCTTCCCTGCTCTCTCGGTCGGCTCTCTTACCCCGCTCTCGCTCCTCTTCCTGGTCCTCGTCGGGGCCCTTCTTCGCGTGCCGTCGTTCGTCGTTGTTCCTTCCTCGTGCGTCGTGGAGTCGGAGTGTTGGCGTAGGCGTGGGTGGAGGTGGAGGTTCGCGGCTTGATATGGCATTGAGGCTCGCCGAGGCCTGCTCGTCGAGGTTCCCGTAGGAGGCAGCAGCAGCAGCAGAGCGGTGGTGGTGGTGGTGGTGGTAGTGGAGGCGGAGCGAGCGAGCGAGCGAACGAGGGGATTGATTGATTGATTGATTGGTCGCGGGGCGCGGCCCGCGAGGCTTCGTGCTCGGCAGGGATGTCGTGCGACTGCTTTTGAAGGCTGCCGCGGTCGGGATCTGTTGGCACCTGGTGCTCTCAGCGCTGCGGGCGCATTAGGGCGCATTAGGTCAGGTCCCATCCCCATCCTCCATCCGCCATCCTTCAGTCGCAAGGGTGCTCGTCGTCATTCGAGCTCGCCGGCGTAGGGTTTACAGCGGCTCCCGCTCTCGCTGCGCAGAGCGATTGCCATTCTTCAAGTCCTGCGGGTTGCGGAGATCTGCGGCGTCAGTGTGTGTTAGTGAGTGCGTGTGTTTGTGTGCGTGTGTGTGGAAAATCCTCGAGGCTCTGTGATCGGGAGGAATTGTGCGGAGCGGCATGGCGCCGACGAGGCTGGCCGTTGCAAGGGAGGCAGGGCCCTTGAACAATGACATCGTGTACGAGGTGCTGCGGCGCGTGGATCCCGTGACGCTGGCCACCGCGAGCTGTGTGAGCTCGGGAATCAAGAGCATGACGGAGGACGAGGCGATGTGGGAGAAGTGCTGCAACGAGAGGTGGCCGTCGACCAAGGATCCCGAGGTGAAGGCCATCCTGTCGGAGGTGGGGGGATTCCGCAAGCTGTACGCGGAATGCTACCCGCTGATCCTGAACCGGCAGCAGCCCATGGTGCGCGACGAGGACGAGTACGGCATGAAGGACTGCGACGCGTGGTGGGACGACGAGGACGACCTCGAGAGCCACGAGCCGTCGGACCTCTCGCCCTCCAATCTCATCTCGATTGTCGACGTCGTGTATAACGGCAAGTCCGTTTTCTCGAGGACGGTGCAGGGAATTCCTGGCGCCGACGATTTCCTCGGATGGTTCTCCAATTGCCCTTTTCGCATCGATCTGCTCAAGTCCCCCGAGGAGGAGGACGAGCGGGGCCACGAGGCCCAGGCCCCCGTGCTCGTCACCGACGGCCTGCCCTCCATCACGTCCGTCGAGAAGGAGCGCAAGGACGGCAAGTTCTGGAAGGCGCTGTGGGACAACATGAGAGTGAGCTGGATTCTCATCAACAAGAAGACGAAGCAGATGGCCAATCTCGCGAGCTGGCGCCCTCTGGGCGGCCTGCGACACTGGCCCTGCGACGAGGACTTCCTCATCCGCTTCGGATCCATCCTCCCGGCGAACCGCGATTCGCTCTGCAGCGCCGTGCAGTGCAACATTGTCATGAAGTGCCGCTTCTCGAACCTGGACGTGGGCGAAACTGTGAACACCACTCTCAGGCTGACCGAGCTGAGCATGCAGCTCGAGGACATGGGCGGCGCGCATGTGAACGGCAAGGACAGCCTCGCCATTCTGCACAAGGCCCTGAATTGCCCCAAGAGCAGGGCGCACGTCGAGGTCCTCAATTCCTACCACCAGTACCTCAAGGTGCAGAGCGAGCTCAAGGAGAAGAAGATCAGGCACGAGGGTCGGCTGGACACCGCGGCCGTGGTCAGCGGAATTGGAGTCTTCGTCTTCATCTGCTACTTCATCATCTGAGGTCATGGCGGGCATTCAATTTTGAGCCGGATTCCTTCTCGATCTGATGCCGCGGATCGAGAGTCCGCCCGTCAGTCTGAGAGTCCCCAACGTGGGAATTTGCTGCGTCCGACAGCAATGTGTCTTCTTCCTTCGAAAGCTCGCAGCCCCGCGAGGTGGTGGGTCGGAGCCCGAAGAGCACCGAGCAACGAAGAGTGTCGTTGTGAAGACGAGAGGCAGCTGCAGAGGCGTTTTTGTACATGGGACCAGTTGTGGAGGGACGAGCCCGGGAGTGCAGGGTGGTGTCAATGTTGTGGAGCTTATCCAGTGTAGAGGCTTTTTGATCAATAGTCGGTGGCACAGGAAGGTCTTAGAAGCGGGAGCGCGGGCGGATTGCTCAATCCGTTCGTAGGTTAGACTTCTAGTTGTGGTCCAGATTGTGGATAGAAGGATGTGCGAAATGACCTTCTCGGCGTGCCAGATTCTCCTAAAACTCGCCGGCAAGAGTGAGAATGAGGTGTTCGTAGAGTGTTTGACCAGATTTTGCCATTTGGTGTACATTCATGTAGATATCAGCTTGTAATTACCCTACATCAAATTATGGTAGCGAAATCTTTGTAGGCCAACTTCCTTCAGAGCGGAAATCATTTCATTCATTTCAGGCAGCAGAGGCTGATTACTGTGGGGTCCTAGTCGCAGTGGCCCCTTGTTAATTTCGATGGAATATATTTGTCACCAGCATCACCTGCTGGAAATCATGTCCTGCACAAAGGTAGACACGAATCTGGTCTCGCCCATTTCTTGCCCATACTCTCTTTCCTTCCTACCTTTTGGGGTTTTGAATCTAGTTCTCTCTCTCTCTCTCTCTCTCTCTCCCCCCGTGAAATGAGGTCGGTTTGAGGCTCTTGGCCTACGCACAGTCAAGTGGCATGCGGATGATCGGGTGCCAATGAAGAGAGCGGTGTTGATCCTCCTCTTCTAACTAAATGCTGGTGGCAGTTCAGCTCGAGATCAGAGCGTTACAAATCCATCAATCCAACCGAGCCAGTTGGTGATTCGAGAAAACCCTTCAGATGTCCGGTGTAACCGCTTTCCTTTTTCACATGTACAGCATTGTACAGAATGTGCTCCTACAGAAGTCTGTCTACTCGCCCATCTGGATATGATGGGAAAGATGTCAAGTTCGAGTTCGTCTTGCCCGAACTCGAGCAGTTGTTGTCCCCCGGTGCATGTATTTTGCAAGTGCACAATCTCCTACCGATGTATACAGTGCATATTACGAGACATGCAAAATATCGTATGCTGTAATCCTTCGTTGTACGAGCATAGCCATATACTGTGTTAACAGTCTTCCGGTCACCTGTCTGCAGCTACAGCATCTGCTCACACATGCTAACGTATTCATTCGTATCCGTTAGGAACTTCATGATTTACGTGTAAGTTGCTTATGGAGGATCTTTGTCAGGCCTGCCCTTGACTTGAGGATTAGGGGAAGAGGAGGGGGCCCTTGCCCCGGGCTCTGGTATTTGACGTTGAAACTTATCAAGATTACCGGAACTAACAACCCAGTTAGACATCCATATCCCTAAACCAATGGTAATAACCGATCAGGTAATCTCAAGGAAGTCTGCATTAATAGCTGCCATGGCCGCCAGTCAGCTTTACTGCAGAAACCCTGGAACCGTTCACCTGCTGGTTAGAACGATTCGAGATGAAGAGGCTGCGCAAGGCGCGATTAGGCGACGGGGAGGTTGTATCCTCCTGCACTGGAAACAGTAACTGGATATGGTGTGGCACCCTGGCGGACCGAAGGAGAGCCCAACAGTTGTCGGTCCGTCTCGGTTCCGGAGGGCGGGAGTGGAATTCTGTAGCAGGACCTTCTTCCGAACCGTACAAAGCCAGAAGAGAAATGAGGGAAGGATGAATGAGTTCTGGCTGGATCTATAGTGCCCAGACCCATTCCTATTTATTCAGAACAAAATATCCTGTCGAGAAGCCATTCATGGTGGTCTTCCTTTGCCACTATGGGGTCGGGGCCAGCTATATGTGATGCGGAAGTTGTGCAGGTTGAGCCCCCTATTTCGGGACCAACCACCGGTTTCATTCACGGGATGCGACAACCTCAGGCTCCGGTGTCGCCTCTTGATTACGTTCCAACTTTCATCCCTGAACCTATTGTGGCTTGGGGATCCCTGACGCGGTCCAACGTCCGCGTCAAGGACCGGCTCGGTGCCTGTCACCCCGGCGTGTGTTTGCTTGTGGGCGATGTGCATTGGTTGCACGCTTTTTCTGACTTGGATTCAGTTCAATTGGCCCAAGCATAGCACTTGCGCGTTTCAAGATCGGATTTTCCCTTCTTCAGAAATGTTGATTAGTGGTCTTCTATCTAAGAGCAGCAGGGTTGGGAGCATACAAAAAATATATGTGGTAAGCTCTGCAGGACATACAATACTCTCTCATAGTCTATTGATTGAGAATTCCTCCTATAAGATGCAAAGTTCTGGTCTCGAAGTTGGACTGCGGTGACGATATCCATGTACTGTATGGTATGTCCTGAGTAACTGATAGTCCACGTCAAGATTACCTATGGGCCAACGGTGGTTTCGCTCCTAAGCTCGAAAATCGCTTTTCAATGTATCGGAAAAACTTTAATCCCGATAAGCAAAAAGCTAACCTAGAGCTGAACTGTTTTACATGAAAGTCGAGGTCTGCACAACGGAAATATGACGAACACAGTGACATCGTGTAAGGAAGATGACGCTGATTGTGATCACTATACCTGTCGTGTCGTCACTTTTCATTACTGGAGTTGTCTGTTGCTGAGAACGGTGATCGACCATAGTCACCAGACCGTGCCGTGTATGTCCTCCCCTCCAGGAGTTGGGCCCATCGCTTACGGTTGTGCAATGCATCTGAGATATACCACATGTTCACTGGTTATGTCCTGGAGCTGGTTAAGGCTCTGGTAGAACGACAACTTCAACCTGCTTAATCCAAGACGAAACTGACTGCACAAAGACATAAGGACAACTTGACCCCTGCTTTGAAGTGACCCAAATTTCGAAAAAGAACTTGCATTCTCAGAAAGTTGAACGACAGAGTGTCTTGTTTGCGAAGAAGATGCAAAAAGTTCACGTTTGAAGTTGTCCTATTGCTGAACTGCATCTGTTCCTCCTTGTCCTTGGGAAAGGAGAGCTCTATACGACCAATGAACTAGATTTCGTCATCTCTAGAGCTCTCTGATGACGTTACCTGTGGCAGCTAAAAGGGCGAGCATTATCGCCACGTTGAAACGAGGACCGGGATGGAAATCCTTGCCGCAAAGACGTTGTACTGGGGAGGAATATCTTATCTCAAGTGGGTCTTGTTATAAGTATCCAGCACCATCGACGACAAGTTGAGGTTGCGTGCAGTATCGAAGATGCCAAAGTCTTCAAAGCCTTTTTGCGCGAGCACGAGTTTCACACAATGACAACTCCTCCCATTCAGTGAAGAATTTCTCATCCAAGCTAGAGCACATCCATCCATAAATCTATACTGATGAGCGAAGATAAGCGATGAAATGCGGTAGTCATGAGCCGACGTGAGGGCACTGACCTGTCAGTTGAGATAGAGCCTGTGTGAACTTCTACTTCATTTGAGCTGTTCCGTTTTGGATGTAATGTCCTACTTTTAAGTTCTCAGCAGCAAATTGCCTTCAATTGCATCCGCTCTCGTTACCCCTAACAGACATGCCTCACGTTGTACTAGAGGGGCTAAACCAAACTGGACTGAAGCGAGGGCTCCCTCCTCCTGCTCAGAATTTCAGAAGCTGTTTTCATTGCCATGTTTGTTATGATATCACCCTTTGCTCTCCCCTAACATCCTACCGGTCATCATCATAGAAGATTCAAAATCTTGCCTTTTCTCGTTCTCCCTGATTCCCAGATTCCTGGTTCTGGTCCTTTGATTTAGCGAAAAGGCGTAGTGATCATCAATCTGTGTGGCCCGCCTAATAAGGGGGGGAATCAGTTTCATCCACTGTGATACTTTCTATTGAGATTCCTTCAAGTAGACCGTCAGCTTCAGCATTTAATACTCTCTCCGAGCGGCGGTTGTGTCTTGAGTACATGAAGGAAATGTCGACAGCGTTTGTACTCCTTACGTCTAATCCTGAATTCAGCCCCCCTTTGGATCAGTTGGTCTGCCCGCTATTTAACATTTTGGCCTCTACTTAACCTCTATCCGGCTGGAAAAAGTGAAGTTTCTCATTCGGCAGTTGTCCAAAGTAGGGTAGAAGGGTGAGATCAGCATACATGTGGTGATAATGTATACAATGCCAGAGAATGGATTGAACGGAAAGAGGTAGAGATTCGTCCACTCTGCGGGCATGCTGTTCAAACCAACAAACCTGGTGGGTAAAAAGTTTGCGATCACCAGTTTTGTGTTGAAAATATTCGTCTTGTTCCTTTGCACTTCAATCAAAAGTGAGTGCTATAAGGCTTTCATGAGACGGAAAAGGAACCAACTCTTCGGTGGCACCTTTAACATGGCCGCGATTTCCAACTGGCGACTCTTGAACATGGTCGAGTCGTGTGAGAAAACCGGTCCGCACTGCGTCAAGGCTCGTGTGCTGGGTGGTAGGAATTCATGCATGGACGCAGCAAAGGCTGGGAGCTCGGCCTTTAGATCACCACTGTAAGGCCGAGAGACCAGAATCTAAATAAAGGTAACGACACGCAGGAGGCCTGAGTCTGAAAGCTCAGAGCGGTGCTAAGGAGAAAACCTACACAATGCCAAAACCGCTCCTTGCCTGCCTTAAAGTGTCCTCTAGTCACAAATTCGCCCTCTACTTCACCCTCGTTACCCCAAGCTCGCCGAATCCTCATTAGATCTTGCCATACGGCCTTAACACCAAGGAAGGCGTTCCTGCACGGGTGCAGAAGACGGACACATGTGCTTGGGCTCGGCAGCGTACGGTCATGAGAACGAGAAATTAGTGCCGTCTGGTATGGCAGCTGTTTTGGAAGCTTGGAGAACTCCCTGCCCGTGTTGGCCGAGGAGAAGGGCCAGACTTCCGGGGACAGTAATCACCACGGGCCCTCATGAGACATAACTGCTTGGTTCTTCTTTCGGTTAAAAACTAACACTGCAGCAGAATGGAACTCCTAATCGGGTTGACTTATTAATCCCGTTCAGTGTTCATGGCTGTTCCAGCGTGCTGACCTGTGAGTTCAATATACTATACCGTGCATGAAGATTCTCACCAATGCCATGCTGGGTGAAGAATGTTCTTCGTTGCGCCTCCAGAGACCTGAATCAAGGTCTACACAATATCCACACGCGACCTAGTCTTGCAACTGGCTCCCATGTCACTAAGAAACAGTTTGGCAGCCGATCTAGCAGGGTGCATCTAAGTGACACACGATCCCACCACCTTGTGGCTTCTTACCCGTAGCAGTCGGGTAGAGCTCTACTGGTGTTTCTGAAGAGTATTCGGAACACTACACCTGTTGATACAGCAAGCACTTCGTCTCGACGGCTCAGGCCGACCCCCTGGGGTTTGGGTGGAGATTCTTTCCTTCTGCACTTCATCTGTAAGGAATTTTCCCCACAAGGAGTGATCCTAGGGTTCAGACTGAATGTACCGCCATTATCCTCTTTTCGGGTTCAGGTTTTTCTAAGCATGCGACGATGTTTTGATAAATCTGTGAACTCCTACTGGTCTCGTGTGTCAAAAATATTAAATCTAAATATAGACCGCAAGTAGGCAGCTATTAATACATCGAAGGCGAAGGATGCGGGATAAATAGGAGGTGAGAGAGTACAGAACATACAGCGGTAGAAAGGCAGATCTTATACCGGCCAAACTGCTGCAGGTGGCCTTTCCTCTTAAGCTCAGGTAGATGCATTCACTTTCAGAAGGCCGTCAACTTCTCATTCCCTCGCGCTGAGAGGCAGAGCTGTCGCGTTGAGCGTATCAGCTGTAGAAACGCAAGTTGCTCGGATGAGTGGACATATTCTGTAAAGGAGGATCACTGGGGTAGAGAGAGCATCTAGCCCATCTCACATACCCCGACAGTTCTGGCCTTTCGGAAGCGTTCATTTTCCGCCTCCTTCACGAAGAATTTTGCATGCCGAAAGACAGTATAGACAAAGAGCCAAACTAAACAAACTCACCTCATGAACGTTTGTCTTTTCCAACTCGCAGTGAGAATTTTAATATTTCACACACTTCTTCTACAGCTGCAAGAAGTCCCGGGTCTCAATCATGAGTATCATACTGCCCCTTAGGCTTGTCTAAAGACTTCCATGCTCTCAAGTTCGAGTGCGTCCCAAGATCCAAACCAGGCGATTACCAGCTGCGATTCCGTCAGATTTTTCATGGGACATCTGTCTGGAGTACTCAACCAGATTCAGCTGTGTCCGGATCGAGTATCCTCATACCACAATTACTGAAAATCTTTCTTCATAATCCAAACGCGCAGGGCGTACCTGCCTCCTATTACTGCTTCTGTTTCGATTCCAAGTTCAAGGCACTTGAGGGTACAGGCTGACATGTCAAGGATATGCTCTCCACCAAGTCAACCTCAAATTTCGGTGGAATTTCCCAGAAAACAACACCGTAGAATAGAATACCTGTAGACCCAATATCGTAGACCTGTGCATTACCTCGTTAACTGCTTGGTGCCCAAATACAACAAGTACAACCCCACCCCCGCCCACCACACCAATCCTCCCGACCCAACAAATACTTGTAGGTCAGAAGTTATAGACAAGTGAACAATTTATCCAAAAAGTGGATTCCGACATGCTGGAGGATGCCGTGCAACAGTCGTTTTAATGGAACCACCTTCGGTGATAAATTACTGCATGGGCAACTTGTCATATACCCATCCTGGTCGGACCCTACACTATTACAACTGATAATATAGAACTATCAATACAGCAGTACAGTGGCCGTAAACCCCCCTATGAGAGTTTTATGCGGTATCTGTCTGAGACATTGTGGGACTTCTACCTCCCGCTACATCTTGCTTAGCCGGAGTTGAGGGCGCTCTCTTCTCTGCCATGCTCGTGGGCCTGTCGCACCCTCATCTGGAGTCCAAAACTGTGCCTGCAGAATATTACTCAGACGCCTTTCGTACTCATCATTCCATGCACCTCTTTCAGCACATGGTGGAACACTAGAATAAGTTTCGTGTTATCAAGTTCTCCATTTCAGCTAACGCACGATCGTCCTCCAAGTTATCTCCAACAATGCTGGTCTGTGGCGGATCCAGGTATGAAATTCAAATCGTGCAGCTATCAGGTCATCTCTAGGCTGATTGTCTTCCTAATTAGTTCTTACGAATGCAAAGAGAAGATGAGAGAGCAGCAGCGTCTCCAATGACCTTCGCTGCAACGCGCTTCACTCTGGGCAGTTCGACTCTTGTAAACCTGAATTGATTCGATCGTTTGTTTATTTTATTAAAAGTAATGTGGATGGTGCTCGAAAGTGACAGTGAAGTGCGCACGAAAATGACGGACAAAGGGCAGTTTTAGCTTTCGCGCATCTAATACTGTATAACACTGTTGTTCTTGCTATATTGTTCGCTGAAATCTGCCTTTTTCATCAGGGGGTGCCAAGAGGTAATGACTCGGGCAGTCCCGTCCTTCTGTCCTGGACTTAGCTGAGACTTTAAGTGTTGAAGCTTTAAAGCGTGAAGCTGTTTCGATATCCTTTTGGAGCCATGTCCTCTTTAAGGCGGTTGTCGCGCCCTCTATGTTGCTTACACCATGACATTTCTCGTTAGGTAGAAGCTAGCGAAACGATGCATCCAGGAGTCTGTAACTTAAAAACATATGGGTCCACCTACGTCGAAGGGCAGTATTTGAACCAATATTCTCAAGGCTGAACAATCCAGATCGACATTCTAAACAACCTTTCATGCATGGGTGGCAGAGAGGTGTGGTCTCAGTACATCTCCGATAAAGAATAATATCACACAAAGTCTAACCTCAAAAGATCTGAAGTTAGACTTTGTAAGTGTTTTCTCCACCCGATCCGCAGGATGAAGCTTAGCCCTTCACTCGTCCTTTCACCTTCACTTCGGGTTCTGTAGGACGACAACGGCATTAGTTTTCTCTCATTCTTAATGAATACATGAATGAAGCTTACTTTAGATTAGGAATTGCATCAACGGTGAGGAACGAGAGTCATAAATGTCGCTCTCTACGAAGCGTGGTACCCAAAAGCCTCTTGGAGTTTCGTGAGGGCCAAAAGCTCGATCGATATGGACACGATTATCGTACGTGCTTCATATATGCTTGTATTGCATGTAAGAGTGCAGGGAGCAAAGTGAAGCAGCTCTAACATTAGATAACAATGCTAATTAGATACCGCGGTTTCTAATTAGCTGGGTAGAGGAGAACATCATAACGAGTAAATTCTTCTTTAGTCTAGATCAGCAAATGTGACCTAGGGGAAAACTGCTTAAAAGCACTGTTAGCGACCACTCTATAAAGAGCATTGGAAGTGAAGTGGGTAGAATGAATGAGGGGTTTTCTCGACTTATCCGACATTCGAATCTTGGGCACAAATTGACTTCCTATGTTTTTTTAAAAGTGAAAAAAACCTCCGCTCGCTCGTGAGGACATGCTTCACCGCAAAAGGCAACGCAGATAGTAACGACGATGGGTGAAGAGACAACTGATATGCTGACCAAGGATATCCGTGAAGCACTACGGGTCATGATCATCTAAAAATCAACAGTCTAATACCATGCAGATATTGAATTGTACACCGATTGGTTTACTTCGTACAGGTGATACTCTAATTAGTGGAGACCCGGTGAATTATGAGTAGGAAGGATCAATCGTGTAAATTTATGTATGATCTGGATGAAGGGTAGAATTTCGTGAGCTTGAAAGATAAATGAGCAACGAACTAGCGTCCACAAAACTGACAGCGTGAAATATCTTCAGCCCACAAGTCAAGAGGGAGGGAGGAGACATACACAAAGATATGGGCTAGATTCGGTTTGCAACTTACTGCTTATGAGGGCTTTTGGCCTGCTTTTGAAGAGAAGTTTGTGCCTTATGATGCCTATGACTTGCAGCTCCGCTCTCGGCTCCTGTTTAGACACATTTCCTGTCGAATCGACTTCCATTGAGTTCTCATCTTGTATCTCTTGTGTCCTTGACTTCAGAATGAGTAGAGGCTTCTTCAATGCGACTTGCAAGCCCTCTAGTTCATGATATCCTACAGTAAATGTGAACTTACCCTGCGACCATGTCAAATTCAGAATATTAGAGGAGCAAAACTTCCGAGAATTTGTAAGGCTAACGTGTTTACTACCAATCTACTCCCAAATTTCACCTACTGTGAACAGACGGTTGGGCCACAGGTGGATACTAAATTTTTCCACATCCATTTCTAGTCCAGCTGAAATTGATCAAAACTGTCCGAACTACTGACGAAATTACGTCAGGTTTACATACCCCAGCCCGTTTACACAAAGTACCGATAGTCAAAGCCTGTATCTTTTCCAGGAGCCCAGACTGCTGAATTTCGATTGAACCTTGAAGCTCGATCATCGCCCACTCTTGACAATCGCCACACGAGCATTTTAACGGAATCAGCATCTTGACCTCCGTGCACTCGCCTAGGGAGATTAGCTTGCGGCGGTGGCTCGCACTTAAATAAGATCACAAGTATCCTCTCCAAATAATATACGAATGAACTGGCCACCCGGCTGTCTCGTCAGGGCAAGATTTCTGAGTTCCTCTGGAGCTCAAGCAATAGTTCAAATTCACTTCACTAAAAGAACATTGTCTCGGGGAATCTGGAGTGAGAAGACGAATTACTTCTTGCCGCTTATGTGATCGATCAACCGACATACTTCCGCCATCCCCTGAACTCTCATAAAGATCATACCGTAGGTCCGAGGCAACGCACATCCCCAACGCACGCCACTCTTCGATTCCTTTCGTCCTCTAATACAAAACCACACCAAATTCAACGACTCGATGCAATCCCCGTTCTGTCATCATTATACAGCAGGTAATGCAGGGAAAGGGTCTTCAGAGGACGAGCCATTGGCTGCTGATCGGACGTTCCGATGACTTCCAAGACTCCGTGTCTGCTGCTTCATCGTCCTCCCCCGGCCGTGATTCCGAGCGAAGTAGCAGTAGCCCGAGCCACCATCAAAGAGGAATCGAATCGTCAGCCCTCATTCTTCGCATCCTCGAGAACTCGCGACTGAAATCCACCACCACCGCGCCGGACGAAGGCTCTCAGCTCCTGAGCGATGGCCGACTCGCAGACTTGAAATGCCATGGAATTGAAAAATGGCGGGACGACAGATTCTTGCACACTCTTCGTCTTCTTCGAATCGTTCATTGGCCCCGTTGGACCCACACACGACGCGGACCACAGTCGCAGTTTTTTTCTCGACTGCGGATATTTTCTACGCAGTACGCACAGTGTGGGAAACTGCAGACGACACGGCATTTCTTCCCATTTGGATTGGATTTCATTTATTCCATATTGATTGAGTTTCATTCTCGAGATCTTGGGGTTTTCTGTCAAAAGGTTGGACAATTCCGCAATCGCCTATTTAGATTTCGTTCATATTATTGGGAGCTCTGACCCTAAACCCTTAGTTTCCCTGGAAAAGAATTGTGAAATGTGGAGATTTCAAAGAAAGCGGAAGTTTGTCAAGACTAGTACAGTAGCGTATGAGTTGAAAGCAAGTGTATCCAGCCCAACAACAATGATGACACAATCAAATGAAATAGAGGAAGGAAATATATACAGGGAAAACCGAAACGTAACCTTGGGTTACGCCCAAATAGCATCACAAAGGGTTTTAATTTGAAATACACATAAATCTCCCAACTACATGATTCAAATTGATCACAAATTACATGAACATGATATATATATTTTTTTTAAACATCAACTAGCAGTAGTAAACTATATTTTGCACTGGATAGAGTTGTACTACAGCCAATATAACCACGCTGCGTAATATAATTTTAAAAATGGATAAAAATTGAAGTCTATGCTTTCTGATCTTTTATATTCTTGCACAAACAATACCGTGTTGAAACATAATGACTATTAATCATCATGTTTCATAGCCATGGAATAGTATACTTTTTCACAAATAGATAAAGAAAATCTATATTGGGTGCCATGCGAGGGCATTTGGTCTAGTGGTATGATTCTTGCTTTGGGTGCAAGAGGTCCCGAGTTCGATTCTCGGAATGCCCCCTTTTGTTTTCGAATCAGGCACCCTTCTTAAAGTCTCAAGACAATTATATCAGCCGAAAGAAGGAAGCGGTTGGCAACCCCGGTTGAAACATAGAGACACACGTATTCACAAAGCCTAACAACATACGGCGGAATCCCCAAAAAACCCGAGGCAACAACAGTGCGCACAATTGAACTTAAACTGTCGACGGACAAGTGTAAGCAAATAGTCGCGAAATGAGAAATCCAAGTGCAAATAGCAAAAGAAACTACTATTTGGAAACTAGATAAAATGTTGACTAAAACTTGAAAAGATGGAAGAATCCATTTGTCGCATATCAAGTCCGCAAGAAAAATATGTGACTGTTTCAGAGGAAGAACCAACCATTTATATTTCTTTCTGTGAAGGTAGAAGCAGGGGCGGAGCTTAAGGTGGGGCAGGCGGATGGACATGGCGCAGTTGATCGGGTATCTTTTATGAAGAACTATGTATTCTTGTATCGAAGTTAAATGTGTATCTTTAATTTATAATTGAGTATAACTTGGTTTTCAAACCTAAACTTGTGTGGACATTTCCACAGAGCATTAAAAAGTTAGATGAGATTGAAACGCGATCTCCCCAAGGTTCGTTTTCATTGCAATCAATTAGGACTTGGCTCTTACCCCAATTTATCAAATTTTATGCACATTTGAATCAAAAATTGTCTAAAACTGTCAAATTTTATGAAATCTAGTGAAAATTTAAAATATAGATTGAACTGTAATATATTTATGGATCTAATTAATAATCCTATAAAACATTGGAGTTTATCTTCACTTTGATCTTTGAAAATTGACCAAATGAACTATATAGAATAAATGATTTCTTACATTTTACATATGGGACAAGCATAAACTATATATAGATATATAAGGTTAGAATTTGATTGCATAATAAAACTCGAGAGATTAATAGGAATATTTTATTGAATTATTCATGTTATGTAAGAAGTACCACAATCAATAGTATAAAATATAATAGTAATATAATTTATATAGTTCAAGTAACAAAGTTTGTAATCTAACCCATGTCATTGAATCACGCCTGGAATTTCGTTCCTATTGGTTTTCTTATTTTCTTCCATCTTGTAGTACATATGTGAATATATACAAACGGGAGGAATTTTGTTCTCGATTAAAGTAACTCAGATTGATTAATTCTCACATGTTAATTTCAGTTTGGAGTGGTTCTAATTATATATAAGTTTTCTCACACAGATGTAAACATTCTCAGATGTTAATTTAAATTTAGACTGGTTCTAATACTATATCATTTTTTCTCACACATATTATCGTGAGTGATTTGGTGCATGAACAACAAGAAAGACTTGTAATTATCTCCATATTGTGTATCGTGAGAGATTTTTTTCAAGCCTTTTTGGTTGTGTAGACATTGTAGATGGACTTAGAAAGAAAATAATTTTCCCATATCTTTTGAAAGAGTCTTCCCGTGCATGTCATTAACTCTATCTTCTTAATAAGAACTGTGTCAGATTATTCCTATAGGATCAGCTAATTTATTAATCAAGATGATGTTTAAGATCCTAATAACCTCAGGAAAATAATGGTTATTATTAATGGAATGACCTTTCTAAGTATATGCGGAATCACGGTCCAAATTGGGTTACGCACAGAGTTCTCTGCTAATGAATGCAATAATTTTGGAACAAGCGTGGTGAGGGCGTGAATTACTTCCTTATTCAACACTCGTTTACATTAAGAACTACATTGTAGATATTAAATAATTATGCTCACAGACTTGTAACACTTGAGGGCATTTGGTCTAGTGGTATGATTCTTGCTTAGGGTGCAAGAGGTCCCGAGTTCAATTCTCGGAATGCCCCTTTTGGCCTGCGTGGTGGCCACGTGGGCCTAGTTGCTGTACGGAGATCGTCTCTTGGCATTCCAAGGCTTGTGTCCGCCGGCAGGCAGGCAGCCAGCGAGCCAGCCATTTCCGAGTCCCGTGGACTGCAGTTCGTCTTCGTGATCACGTCCGACCACGTGAAAGCTACGTCCTTCGAAGTCTCCACTCCTCTTGCAAAGGTGAACATGGTGAGGGCTCCTCGCAGCAGCAGTCAATTGGAAAAAAAAGTGACGAAGTGTCAGACTTGCATGTTCACTTTCTTCGAGCTTATCTCGTGGGCCAGTGTGTGGATTTGCGCAACGCTGTTGCTGACGACACAGTCTTCGCCGACAAGACTCTCGTGTCTGGAATTTGAAACCTACACTAAGCTGGATACTGTGGAATGGTGCTGGGATAGGAAATAAGACCATGCTATACCGTTCACAAAGTCTACACGGCCGACGCACTTCGCCGACAAGACTCTCGTGTCTGGACTTTGAAAACTACATTAAGCTGGATTATGTCGAATGGTTTTGGGATAGGAAATAAGACCATGCTATGCCGTTCACTAAGTTTACACGGCCGACGCACGCTGAATCAAAACAACTTTTGTTTCAACTCGTTCACAATTTGGTCCATGGGAACATAATACTTTAATGTACGTATTTATAAAACAATCTAGATATAGAACAGTTTTTCCCCATGCTGGCAATTTAGCTTATTACAATGATTTTCGTATTAGATATGCAAATTGATCATAATAAAATTTCAAGTATTTAACCTCGAATTGCTTACTTAGGCGAGACATTTCTTAATAGAATGGGATAACCTATCAAAATAGACACACAATCGAGAGTAAGATCTGCATCTCAATCAATTTTACTAACCTTCACATGTATCATTCCGTATTAGTTCCGATGAATTAAATAGTCATCAAGGTTCTTCCTTTTCAGACGAGGCATAAAGAAAAATCTAACAACAACAATTAGTAAATTTTTTGAACAATTCATATATAGCTTTTAGAGATAGTCTAAATTTAAAACTGAACAAAAATTATTCAGAAAATACCTAGCAGATCTTAAAAGTTATTGAGATGTAATTCTTTATGAGATCAATTACTTCTAAATATTTTGATTCTATTCTGATATCAAAGAAACCATATATATTACCATATCAATCTATGACCTCCTTTTGCATAACCCGAGGTTACTGTATTAATCCATGGTCAGTTTGACAAAGTCAACGACTTCCTGATTTGAACTTCAATAAATAACAGTCAATTGATAGATATTGTATGTCTATTTCTATGTTTGGAAGTCTGAATCCAAAAAATACTTATCAACCACGAAATCCTTGCATACTCATCTTTAGTGGTGTGTGGCAATAACTGAAGATCGGAGAATCATGGTTTTGAATTAGCAAAATTAGAGGCAATAGATAGACTATTAAAAATATGTGATCACTGTACAAGGACCTCAGCAGTAGCGAAAATTTTGCACATTTGTGTCATTGAGCAACAAACGATCGTTTTGTAGGTGACCTTTTAAGGACATCAAACTAGAAGCTACTGGAAGCCTATTGGTACACCCAAACTTGAGTTCACGATAGCTAATGCTTTGTACTGAGTTCCCATCCCCGTCTGAGTGGATTCGTCTTCTTCACCCTCGACCCATGGCGCTGGACCTTCACCAACTAGGCGCCAGTACCCAAGCTGTAGGGCTTCAGCTTGTTCCTCGCTTGCGTTGTTCAGAAGGGCCTCCAAACGGAAATTAATTCCAAGCATTCCCAGAAACTTGGACTGCGTAATTGGCCCATAAACAGTAACACCGTCGGCTGCAAGGAGTTCCAAATGATAACAGCGGGGTCAGATAACATGAGTAAGTCAGTACTGCGATATGGAAGATATTTCAGAAGGCTGGAGGCTCGTTAACTACGGGAAAGTCTGCTCACCTGCTGCTTCTGTAGCAGCGTGCCTAATGGCCCCGAAGTCGACATGAGCACTTAGATCTGCCGAACCTGGGTCGTCTAGAACACTGGTGAACTTATGTTTCCTGATTGCTTGCAAGCTGTCAGTTATGATTTTGTCGTCTCCGTAGTCAATGATAAGAGCGGCACCACCATCCTCGCTTACTCTTCGAGATATAGAACCTGCATATCTGAAGGACTCTGGACACACTTCGACGTGCTCAAGGCAGGCTTTCTCTTCCTCTGACGCCCACTGCAGTCGCTTGCCCAAATACAACTTGCTTGCCGGGGTGGGTCTAGGAGAAAGGACGTAGCGAAAAGGCTCACTAGGGGACTCGCCCACATCGATCAGCTTCTCACACCAACCACGAGGAGTTTTCTGCGGGATAGAAGCTGGAAGTTAATAAAGGCCTTAGACTTATCCAGAAGCTCAACAATCCGTATCAACTTCCGCTCTTTGAAGAAGGATGAGACAGCCAACTGACCTGAAATTGGTGAACTGGGAGTGCGTCGAAAAACTCGTGTGCGATTATGATTGTAGGCACTGGAGAGAAAAAGACCACACGGTGTAAGAAATGTTGACATTCCCCAAGAGTTACAAGTGCAACAATATCTTCAGCCACAGCACAAAGCACACAAGGCCTAATAATTTTATCACTGTGTCAACGACTGGTTTATTAGATAATGTGCGAGGAGAAGTCCACACCAAGACTTCGGAAGATCTGATAGAACGAAATTGCACGATGGGTGATGTTCATCCCTTTGGTTCTCCAGGAACTCCAAAGGTGTCAAGCTTCAATCTGCAAGGGATTGACCAAGGGGGAAACTAAACTCAGCGACAAGTCACGAAACCCTTCAAGACAACAGAAACTTTCAGATCTACAGACGCTTGCCGTAAACGTTAGGATAGGCACCAAGACTACTAACTTAATGACTAACTTAAACTGAGGAATGAGACACTTCCAGTGAAGTGGAGACAACGCATCTTGACCAGAAGATAAAGAAGTCTTGGTGTGGACAGTCCAAGACAGTTACTAGTGAAGGCCAGACGAACAACGAACAGTACAAAACTAAGTCCAGGAGAGCGAAGAGATGGTTAACGAAGCGAAAGTTCAATACACGTACCACCTCGAGGTACCTCCAAGAGATCCATGTACCACGAGACCAAAGATCCAGAGAGTGTGCTACGCTTCTTCTCCGGGCAATCGTCACATGAAACGCACTCGAGTGTTGCCTCCTGAATTTTCCTCAGGGTAGGACTACACTCCACAAGGTGTATAGATATAGCGCTAGTGAAATCCTGGAACTTAGAAGTACCCTGTGTGAAAACCGAGGACGTACATGTGTGAGGGGGGAGAAGTCACAAACGAACGCTTCGGCTCACAGATGAACCCAGTGTAGAATGAGGGTTACTGTGGTGAGGGACAGAAAATGCAGGGACTACTATGTCAGTGTTCAGAGGATACGGATGTAAAAGAAAGCAAGCTGGTATATTTCCAATTTTCAGAAAAACCGGGAGTGCTCTGACTCCAGCAGAAATGCGCAGGGCAAAACAGTGCTGGAATTCCTCTCGTAGTTCATAACCAAAACTTTCCAAGCATACTGAGGAGTGTCTACAGGAACGCGGAGTGTACAGACGATATGGACGTCAAAACAACAGTGCACACCTGGAGTAGTTTCTATGTGAGCACCAAGAAAAATCCCCACCATCAGAGCTTTTCAAGCCATGGGAGGTAACCAAAGGTGCTAAATGGTAACTAGACAAAACCAAGACACACGACATGAGAATCAAATCTATCTACCCGAAAAAACTCAGGGTTTATTTTTATGGTATTGCAGGGAAAGACATGTTATGATGTCCCGTTCTCTAAATGTACGGAACATCGTAACCTAAGTAACAACTGGAGCGCACGTGCATCTTACAGGAAGAGCAGGTACACACAGCAAGTTTTGCTTCTAGAGCAGGTGATTGACAGGAAAAATCACTCACCCGTATCAGGTCAGCCATTAGTGTTCCACGACCAGGCCCGAGTTCGACGAGCGCAACCTCTTTAGGTCTTCCCATTTGGTGCCAAAGGCAAGTACTCCACACTCCGATCAACTGTCGGCAATAGCAACATATGTGAGAGGCGGAGTTGGGGTGACTCTCCTCCTCTAAGATTATGTCCGGTGTGAGCTATCTCGAATAGCAATAAGTTGCGGTCGCAAGTCATCAAAATCAAGCAACCAAAAAAACCACTGCTAAGGCTTACTCGGCTCCAGGAAAAAACATTACCTCTCCAAACATTTGACTAATATCAGGAGATGTTACAAAGTCCCCTCCTGCTCCGAACACATCCCGATTCATGTAGAATCCAGCAGTTGGATTGGTCAGTACCTCCTCCATGTACTCAGCAACGGGTATCGGTCCCCCCCGGAACTGGAAGGAAAACGATGCTGTATCAGAAAGTGAGGCGGGACCGAATCGAAGGAAAAGCCATCATCCAGTGCATTCATCGTCACTCTCGCTCGAACCGACTTCCGACCAAGGATGAGCGACTTCTCAGTCACGTCACCATCCTGCATTGTCACCGTCCGCTAGATCGATGTTTGCTCTGTCATTACCCTGATAATGGCGTCGAGGTGCTTGCTCATGGCCGACATACTTTCCCTTCCTGAAATTTTGGGCGCATGATCTGCAGTCCACGTGTGGCGTGTCAGATTAAGGATGAAAAATGAAGGAGAGACTTCTCACACTGTCATGCGTTCCTTACTCGTTTATATGCGTCTGCGGGCCCTCTCTTCAACTACCGGGTGCATTTAGAAGTATTCGGCTTCATACTCCACTTTCACGCGAGTGATCAGTTATCATTGTGGCTGGGAATGGATCATATGTAAGCTTGCCAACAGTTTGCAAGCTTCAAGGTATCCACATTGAAGCTTGAACCGCAATTTCATGATGATTTAACTTCAACTGCGGAGAAGTGTAAACTAATATCAACGCAAGTTCTTGTGGAGTGGCCAATAACACCGCCAACGATATTTCACATGACGAGATTACAAGCATTGTTTTGTTCGGATCGTGATGGCTGACTACTCAAAGGAAATGGATCCACGAGTGATTATTCGTGTTCCTCTTAGTACAGTACTTGCCAGCTCCTTGGGAATGGTTCCAGATATAATGCTCAGAATTACTCGGTCGAAGGAAGAATTCAGCGTAAGGCTTAGGACAGTGAAACATACTGTTCCTAATTCTCAGTTTCAGTTAATCCATATGCTAACTTGCAAATGAGTTCCATGCGTTTCACAGAAGCGCAGCATCTTCACTTGCAATCGCTCGGGATTGAATTTTAGGGAGGGGAGGAGATGGGATGAAGGCCGGTGATATAGTAGAGCAAGCACATGAAAATGCGCAAGCCCCGTGGAATCAGCCTGCGGTTGTCTGGCCGCTGCCCTGCTAACCTCTCGGTCCAGGGCGATCTTTATTGGCATCGAGGTGTCCGGAGACCTTCACTTCACAGAAGGGCACCAGACATCGATGCCTGAAATTAATATGACCTAATTGAAACCTGCTCGAAAACCTCACATACCTTGCAGCTGGGACAGTCCGGATCGATCTATTTTCAATGTGGACTCCTCATCCTTGGTCTCCGGATCCGAACTTTCCTTGACGTCAGAGCTGAACCAAATCCTGCTAGAAGCACGAGACGCCCCACCGTATGGCACTCGACATCGAGAAAGGGATGCTCGAAGAGACAGACGAGAGAGAAACGACGCCATCGCGGCGACTGGGCATCCTCATCGACTTGGCTTCAATCAGAATCCGAGCGCAGTTTATATACGAAGATAAACGAGGAGCGGGAGGTGCAAGGTTCTGTGATCTGGCCGCACATTCTAGGGCTGGCAGCCGGAACTCCGTTCTCCGACCTGCACCACGTGAGACTACGAGACTGCACATGAATGTGCGACGCAGTTGTTGGACAGCGCGCAGTTCAGACGACCTCTCATCATGTTCTTCATCATGTACAAAGCTCTTTTCTAAATTAAAAGCTTTATTTTCTTTGTTTTTTTTCCTTAAATATCTCGTTCCAGTTTTATCGGATGTCCCCGAAGGGACACCGGATCCACATAGAAATCGTAAGAATGTGTTGCAACGAATTCGAATGTTCGATTCTTAGCTTGTGCGTTACACGGTTTGATAAATTATTGTTCCTTCCGCATCTGATTGAGGAGTAAAGAGTACGAAATATCATTTAGGATGTGATTGCTTCCAAGCTAATCAATAATTGTACAATTTATCCAGACGTTTTGCAGTAGATTATCCTTCTTTGATTCTTGTATCTGTTCAACATTTATGTCCAACTTTAACCTTGTTCACGTTGACGAAATTATCACTGTTACACGAAAATTTGAAGTTATTCAGGTATCGCTTGCAAGAAAGATTGTGCTATAATAAGAAGTTAGTAGAATGCAAAACATTGTGCGTAACCCTTACGACTGTTTTACATGTTGATATCATATTTCGCTCACCAATTGCGATTTTTGTAAACTTAAAGAAGTGTATAATCAGTCAGATTATGATTATTTAGATTTTAGTATACAAGGATTGCAATTCTATTCCTTACAATATACTTTTTCAGATATTTAAGTTTTCGATTACACTTTATGTCAAGATGACATATTATCTAAGAAGTATAACCTAATGTAAGAAAAATGTGAAGTTGTGATCAATCGTTTTACGATTCTTTTTCCTTCTATCTCTAGAAAATGTTCTAGACTTGCAGCTATTTGAAATCCCAGACAATTAACCCCTGCGATCTCCATATGGTGTGATCGATTAGGGAGGTGGTTGATAAAACGAAAGGGAATCAACCAACTCCCGAGTGGTTCATACGCAAGATTCACTATACGTAGTAATATGTTACTTGTGAGTTGCATTTCAATTTAGTAGTAGAGTTCAACCCGCTAGATGGAACATAGAGCTTTTTGGGGAGGTGAGTTGGTAATTGTTCATTAAATTTACACACTTTGTTGTATGATGAAATTAATTTTTCACGTGAACACTTCTCTAAAGCAACATACATGGGTCTGAAAATTTACTTGTATGCCAAGTCAAGGGAAAAAGCCAAACTTGAAGTCTCCTTCCTTCTGTTCTTTGTAGAGAACAAAAGGAACAAGCAATAATAATAATATTTTGTTGTGTCGTTTTGCTTCAGCTTGTGATCTTCTGACTCTTGCTGTTTGCAAAGCACATATATTTGTTGTACGACTTGCCCTCAGGTAAGTCGTATTAATGCCACTGCCAATCGGTATTGTAAAGAAGTGTTACAAATAAATGCATTTTTGAAGTCAAGAGATAATAGAAGAGAATGGCGAGACAAACATACACATTAAACTTGAAGAAAAAGTCGTAGTTAGTACAGACATTTGAGTAAAATATTTTGATAAAACAGTGTCCCAAAGTGACGTACAGCAAAGACCATGGAGAGCGGCATTTTTCCAAGTTTTTATATCCAATTCTTATGTTCGTAATTTTTAAGCGGAAATTTATAACTCTTTCGCAGCTTTCATTGCGTTTATTTGTATTCCGTGGCAGGTACATTTTTTAATTTCTTTTGTTCCGCTTTATCATGGGCACCTGATAGTTATGAGGTAGTGAGATTAGTTTTTAGAATATTTTCAATATTATAAATAAAACTCTATATACACACATTCACCTTTTAAAAAGAAGAAGATTACAAGATAACGAAGCACATGATGTATGATATTCTGAAATTAGTTGACATGTGAACATGCAAAACAATCGAGTTTCTTCTAGAGAAGGCTAGATAAAACATTGTCACAAAAGTGCGTAATGAGAAGACGTTGCCCTGAAAACTTACTTAAATATTACTAATGGTGTTTCAATATGAATTTTCATTTATTGACAATGCATGTCCAAAAAAGTTGACCACTTTAACAAAAGCAATCATAGAGGTCATATTGAATATGTTAAAAAACCATATCTAGGAGAATTCAATTGCAGTTTACAATAGTATAATGTTAATGCAGTTATATAAGTACTAGTAGAGTTTTCTCCGCTGACTATGTTCATTCTTCACAACCCTGACATATAGTTGTAGTAATTTTTAAATTTCTAATCATTATATTCATAAAATACCTGTTTGAAATATTCCGCTAGTTATTTTAGTAATATTATGTTATAAAAATATTTTCATTTCTATTAAAACAAAATTTGCACAAGATAATACAAATTAATTACTTTCAAAAATTTATTCTATCAAAAGGTATTATAGTATATATTCTCTTACAATTTGCAACGAAAACTTCATACAAAGTTTATTGTCAAAATATTGTTATATTCATGATGTGGAAAACCATGTCATTGCCAAGTGCGTTATTTGAAACATATAGCACATTACATCCTACAGGATATCAATTAACTATAATATTTAAAGAGCTTAATATATACTGAAGTTACGTGTGTTCACATGTCGTCTACGTGGAAGTGTATCAACTCAATTTAATTCTCAATATCAAAGTCTTATATCAATACACCGTATGAAAACAATGTACTTCTTCAACACATTTCATCCTAGTGTATCACACACGGTATGCAAACAATGTACTTTTTCAGTACATTTCATCCTAGTGTATCACACACTATATGCAAACAATGTATTTCTTCAATATATTTCATCCTAGTGTATCACAATGATATTCGATGTAGTTTAATTGATAATCACAATTATCATCCTTGGTGTTGCTGAGAGCTTCTTTCAAACCGTCCTATCTATCGATGAGCTCTGCTACCCAAGAACAGACACTAGTTGCTCTATGGCAGGTAGAGTTCTGGGGGAATCCATGGCCCATACATAGCCATGGATATGGGACCAAAAATATGGTACCAATATGGGACCAAAAATTGTCATGAACTCTGCATTGACCTTGAAACAAGTCCTGTCAACATTCTCTTCAAGGAGACAGATAATGGGAAGGTGATCCCCTCGTGACTATTGGCGGCCTTGTCCTCCCGAGTCCCATAGTCACCCTTCCAGTTCCTAAAACACCCTTTGACCACAATAACGAGTGTTCAGAGCCATGTAAAATTCCGGAGGATGCTCAGTCATACATCGCACAGCCCGACTCGGCACGCTTCCCTGTGGCGAACAGTGACGAATGCGAATCTGAGAATGTTTAGACTCGAATCTGGACTCGACGAGCCGGCCCGCATCGCACATGCTAGACAAGATTCTCTCCACCACTTTTCAGTGACCTTCGAAACCAACGCAAGTCAGAGAATCACGTGAAATGGCCTTTTGCACCCTTTTGAAGCCTATTGGACGTTGACCACATCCCGTTTCATTTTCAGAGCTCTCGTCCTGCTGTGCTCTTAATACGAGTCGCTTGTCCGGCATGACAACCACTTTTGTGATCATGCGTGTAGTGCATTTAGACCCAACTAATAGATTAACTTCTTTCCGTTCCAGCCCATGAGAGTATGGACAGACGACATGTTTCGAGAAAATGAGCCCGAATGTGGAAAGACGAATTGATCTTTTGTAATTCCTAGCAATTGTAAAGTTGGTGTACAAAGAAGCGTCCCTCCTAAAGATGGGACGTCAACAAGAAAATGATCAATACATTTGAGAAAAAATTGTTGTGACACAACTAGCATTGAGCAGTTTCCTCCTCTGTTTCTTCTGGTACTGAAGCGAGCACGAATTCTCCTGAGGGTTCCCCGGAGGCAAGGACGAGTCCTGAATCAGCGAAGAACTTCGAGAGCTGGAAAGCTTTTCGCTTCTCCCTCTTCTCCCTGAACTCTTCTCGTCTCTTCACCCTCCTGCTGTTGGGGTTCTCTACCTTCTCCTCGAGGACGGGGTACACACTAATCTGGAGACAGAAATCAGAGAACGGCGATATCCGTTAGTCCCGCGACGATCGAGAAAACCTACAATACATCTGGTGACTTTGTGCTACAATTGGTTGACAATTCATCTGTTCTCATATACAAATTCAATTAGTTACTTTGGCTAGATAGGAACTGTAAACTCCGGGACGTGTTTAACACTGTATACATGCACAGAGGTTCAAAACTTGAAAATAATCGGGATGCCTTCACTTGCTTGCAAAAGAATCGGCTCTTACATTTCGAAAAGACACCTACGGAGGGCAGACCCTTATGAGACATTCTACACATCTGGAGTTATGGATATGGAAGGTGAGGACCAGTTCTGGCGGTGAAATTTGAAAACCTTGGTCCTTATTTCATTCTAGCCTCGTCGTTATTGGTTAATTTTGGTAATCAGTGACAATGGTTGAGAACCAACGCCAAGAAAGAATTTGCTGACTTAACTACTTTTCTACCCAACAGGTATAAAAGTAGGTGGAGGAATGAACGAAGGCATCAAATGAATAGTTACCTGCTTCCTGTCAGCTCCCATTTTCTCAAACTTGACCAATCCATCGATTAAAGAGTAGATGGTGTAGTCCCTTCCAATTCCGACGTTCTTTCCGGCGTGGAACTGCAGAGGAAAAATAACACTGTCACTGTTGTTTCCTTGTCGGCAGAGCTAAGATTCTTGAATTAGAACGCACAGGATTCTCTAATCAGTTTGAAATCTGACGTCATGAACAACGGCTTTGACACTTTTCAGTAAAACTCAACAAGGTGTATGGTATAATCACAGAAGAAGTGGGACGCCAAACACATTTCTTCACAGTTCCCGACGGGCGCAGAATTCAACAAAAAGAGATATTAAATTTCGAAGGAATACACACACGGCAATTGACATAAACATAAGAGTTGAAAATGAAAGGAAAGAATGAAGGAAACCGTCAACTACTCGACTAGTTGATTCTTACAGAAGTCAAAATTGCACTTAAGAGAGTGACCCGGGAGAAAGCGTACGATACAAATCCGGCTGCTCGAGAGGCGCACTATGAAAGACTATACACACTTCACGAACGACCAAGAGAGACCACACAGCCAGGCACTGAAATAGAGAATGCCAATTAAACAGTCTAAAACTCCATCGCCGGCAAAAACACAAGTTCGAGGGCGGCGAGTAAACCTTAGTTCCACGTTGACGGACGATGATACATCCGGGCTTGGCAGGCTGGTCGCCGTAAATCTTAACACCGAGCCTCTTAGCGATGGAGTCACGACCATTCTTAGTGGACCCGGCTCCCTTCTTGTGGGCGGCCTCAATTGTGAGCGGCTGGTTCACGGGGCAGCTGACGACGAAATTGTGGCACAATCCGGAGCTCTCGCCTCCGTTCATGAACGAGGAGCCGGCGCTGGAGCTCAAACTGAGCCCCTTGAGCGATCCCGCGAGGCACGCCATGGTTGCGGTCGCTGCCATAGCCATTCCTGCACCCCCCGCCGCTGCTGCTGCTGCTGCTGCTGCTGCCGAGACAGCTCCGTCGATTGCCTCGCCTTCGGCTCGAGCGATGTCTCTCCTTCCCTTAGCCACGGCGAAATGCCTCACGCTGCCTCCCTCCTCCTCCCTCTCCGTCTCCTCTCGCTCTCTCGCTCTCCCTCGCGCTCTCCCTGATCGCTTCGTGTGTGGATCGTTTGTGGATAGGGGAGGGGCTGAGTGACGACGACGACGACATCCTCGTCGTCGTCGTCGTCGTCCGCGGACCTTCGGGACCTGACTCTCTCTCTCTCACTCTCTCTTTCTCTCTCTTCGGACCAGCGGATTCCGCGCCCGCCCGACGTTGTTCTTCTCGCGCCTTCCGGTATCTTTCTCGGGTGAGATTCTTTGGGAATGCCCCGTCGAATATTGCTAAGACCCAAACCATCGTCTCACGTGATATAAATTATGTCGTCCAGTGATTACAGTATTCCGATTATATGATTGGATTAAATTGTCAATCAGGTTATGATAGTTTCCCATGTCTAGAGGCTATTCCTACTATATTGTTCGATAGAGCGGTATGTGTTTACAATATCACACCGACCTTTTAATATGCTTAACGAAATCTGGTTCACGTAAATATACGCTTGTGCAGTTCGCGTGGAAAAGGAGAGGTAGTTTTGCTTTTATTTTCTAAATGATAGAAGCGTATAAGGAATGTCATTTTTCATACTTGGTTTCTCACTTACAAAAAATAGATCAAACTGAAAAATGTTCAAGGATAAGATTCACGATTTAATTATAACCTTAAGTTTGACATCGAAAGTTGTTATTGTCAGATAAAGGAATAACTTTTGATATACTACGCTTTTAGAGCATGCTGTGGTTCCCACCCATTTACACGGGGTTTAGGTAAGCTCTATGCCCGGCACGCGAGTTATATTTTTAAATCTGATAAATTTGTTTCAGAAATGATACACAATCTTAAATTTAAGATAAAAAAATTTCTTTGTGGAAAGTTTGAATGTGCGTTGAAGTTGGGGCTTGGTGGACAACTTCAAAAGCTTCATGCTTCTGAAGCTCATGTGATCACCTGAGCTTCATACAATGTTCGTTGATTATGAGTTTTAGATGAGTATTCTCATAGTGCTTATTGTGCAAGTTAATGCTTCGTTGTTTAGTGGCATTTGTGATTGTTGGTTTGAACTTTGTTGACCGTCCGATATTCATGTAAAGCTTTGTTGTGATCATTGGGTATCACCTAAAACTGCCTAATAATGAATTATTAATATTCTTATCATCGTTTCTATTCCATAACATTTGCTAGTTGATTAACAAGAATTAGATAATTAACTGTGAAATATCATACGTTCACTGAGATTGTAACTCTTAGACACGGAGTAACATTTCATGCTCTAACATGTGGGCAACATACTTGATGTGTTCGTTATGAACTTTTATTATTCTTTTTGTTATTTTCTCAATGTAGGTAGTGAGTTGATAAATTTTTGTCCTGTTTGTGTATTGTAGAGCTTACTTTTAAAACTTGAGTATGTATTACTTTTGCTTCATATGTATTTCCATGATAAATTAATAATTCACTGAAATTTTCAAAGACTAACAGCAATTCATTTAATTTTATCATTTTTGTATTTGAACTAGAAGATAGGCACTATGTAAAATGAAGTAATGAAAGGTTGAGTGAAAACACATGAGTGAATAATTCTCATATGTGATGGTGTTTATAAACTTTTGTATATGAACTACGTACATATGAATTTACCACTTACCTGTCAAAACGACAAGAATATGTAGGTAAGAAAAATTTGATACTTGATCTATGTATAATATATGTAAGGACGTGAATTAGCATAAAATATATATTCTTCAATTATTATCAATTTTTATTGAAGATTCAAAGAAGTTTTTCAAAATCACCTCAAGCGTAAATAAGCTATAACACAAATACATGATTTTGTGAATCAAGATTTAAGATAATTTTACATACATTTAGATGTTTAATATCAAATAAAATCAAACCAAAAAGTAAAAATATTCTTATTTTTTTGCTTAAATTGAAACACATGCATATATTGGAGTTTTTTAGAGGTCTAAAATTCTAATCAACTGAACTAAGCAAACGAAAAAAAAATTTATCTGATTAATGATGATTTTACCACTATATATATGCTCTAAAATTGAATCTATTCATAATTTTTTTAATAAGAATGTATAAATTAGAAAAATGTCGTGCACTTTATCATCTTAGATTAACATTAGTTATCATTGTGCAATAACTTTAAAAAATAAAACTGTCTCAAAAGATCTCGTAAGGATTGAATCAAAATTTGGATTCTGAATAAAACATCAACAAGTATTTGATATCTTTGAATATTAAATTTTTGAATATGAATAATTTTGAGATCTCATCCAAAATCATTCAAAATGTTAATAATTTCACATATAACATGCTTCATTTTAAATTGATGCTAATTCATCGAAAAGTTTATTTCAAAAGTATTAAAATCATTTTGATCAATTCACATATAAAATTTAATTGGAGATAAACTTTTATCTTCAATCATGAAACTTATATTCGCCACATATTTAATACAACCTGAAAAGCTTCATCTTCTCGAGATAGTTCAAGTTGTTGTGTATTGTTTTCTATACATGGTTAGATATAATAAGATAAACTGAAGCAATCGTAGGCTCTTGGATATGCAGAAACATAAGTCCAAATCATACCCATATACCATTGAATGTCATCTTTGATTTCGTACAAATCATATACATGATTTTGAAGAAAGAAATACACATCTCATTGGGATTAAATTTTAAAAAACAAACATCTGATACAGATTCTAACTTGATGTATAGATCATTTAGCAAAACTTTGTGAAAGAGAGAAACAACCTACGAGCTCAAGTACCTCATGACTGTATACATGGCCGATCCAACTACAAAAGGAAGAGAAACAAATATGTACGACACTGTTTTAGGCTAACATGATAAGGTTTGTTTGCCTACAAAACATCCAAGTAGTTATTTACAGAACGATTCCCTTAACCATAGTCTGAATAATGGCCAAAAAAAGTATACGCGGCGATCAAAATAAGCATGTAGATATACAGCTGGAAGAGAGCAAATTTGGATGTTTACAACCAAAGTTATTCCATCCATGTACTTCATTAGTTTCTTCTGAGAAAGACTTATCAGGTCCATGACGTTTTTTCTAATACATCCTTACGGAGAAAAAACTTTTCAATTGAAAGTGAAACTGATCTCGCCTTTTAGACGTTCTTCACAAATGAGTAGTTTGATATAATCGTTAATCAGTAACACTTTGCAATCAGAATGAATCCTAAATGCAAAATCTTGCCTCGATCTACCAAGTGTTTAATCCTTCCAGTGATGTATCCTGAGCTTCTCATCGGCACTCATCAGACTGATGTGACAGCATCGCTCCAGCATTCGAACTTCAACCCCTGCTCTTCAGCTGCCTCCTCGTTCTCCTCCTTCGTTGGGAGGGGCTGGTCTTCTGATTGCACTTCCTCTGTTTGCTTCGTCGCTCAAGACCACGAATGTAATTATTAATCAGTTGCAATCAGCAATTCGTGTGAAGATAATCATGATAAGAAGAAGTTGATTACCAAGCTTAAGTTTATGTATACCTGCTACATTACTTCAGGATAAAGTAAAGTTCGGCAGCCACCAGTTACTACAGGATGGAGTGGATGCCGATTATTGATTTCCGGAAAAGGTTAGAGTTAGAACCTCTTAATCAATTGTAAATCTTGGAGATTGTAGACATTCCTGGATCACATGTTGTGTATAATGCACACCTTGCGAGTGATTCTTTCTTAAGGTACTGATTCTATCACTAGAGTGCGTAATGACGGAGTTTGCACACAAGGTGAGCTCGTGTTAGAGTGCTTGGTTGCTGGAGTTGACACTGTTGGTGACTTCGGAGATTAACATATCAATGCAGGAATTACGGTTGCTATCTGGAGTCCAATCTTTGTGATCATTCTCATACCGTAGCTCATCTGGGCGGAAGTGAACGGTCACAAGCTATGGGTAACCATGTGAGCCAATTCAGATAAAAACCGTTCATGGTGAAACATCTTGAATACATTGTAGTCATCTTTTGCAACAACAACTCAAAATATGATAGTGATGATAACCAACTTCTATATTGCTGGAACATGGTTGCAAACTGTACAAAAACAAGAGCGACGTACACCGTTTTCTTGATGTGAACAGAACTCAAATAGCTGTCAAGAACAAGCACAACAGCTCTTCACCCACGTCACACGCACCGCTGAATTATCTTACATTTAACGTTCACAACCCTGAATAATCGACTCCAGAATTAAGCGCCAATTTCGATTAATTATACATACAATGTATACCTTATTAAACACATCGAGATTTGAACAGAGCCTCGAATCATCGAAACAAATAACACTGCCACTTTCACATATCACATGTATTCATCGTGCAAAGGAAAAGTTGCAAAAAGAGTGGCTCGATATTAAGAATGATTCAAATGATCTCAAAAGTTACAAAAATATTCCTCACCACCTATCTAAGGTTGAACTGATCATAGTTTTCTCGGTTCCCATTCACATATTGCTGCAGACTTCAGGAAGTACTTTGAATGTATACATCAAAGCGTCAATTGTGTTTACAACAAGGCTGGTATACTTACCCATGATGTTTACTTAAACGATGAGCTCATCTTCAAGATAACTGTACTCAAATGTGAACTCTGTCTTGATCCTTTGACACCTGTTTAATCAGACCAATATAATTAACGGTAACAATTCAGATGACGATAGGACATGAAACAAGTCCATTAGCAGCACTGAGGGTAGAAAATAAGACTACAATGATGCAAAATTTTAATCTCAAAGAAGGGTTTCATTCTCTAGATGTTGATGTCTAACTAAAACTTTAAGTATGTTCGTTAAAATAAGCCAGTAACCATAAGTTAGATTAGGGTTTAGATTAGATTCGAAACCCTAATCTAACGTAGGTTTCGAATATGACTAAAGGCTTAGCCAAAAATCGAACGTATTGGTTGTAACTCTTTTGAAAATATGTAAACAGAGCAAGATTTTTTAATAGACTGTGTGCTATCTCTTCGACGAGTGTACTCCTCTGCAGTTACTCATAGAATGCTGTCTATGTGGAACTATGGCTACCCCTGAGGCTTACTCGAGTGTCGGTGAAAGAGCTACATTCTATTCAAGTTTCGCTGCAGCATACTCGTGCGTATCATGATAGGACATATATCTTGATTCTCGCGGATATTTTATTATACCCAAATCGAGCATTGTAGCTTTAGGCTAATGAGTCCTATTAACTCCTACTTTGATGACCTCATCATCAAAGCAATGAGCAGAAGCTCAAAGCAAACCCAACCATGAACCTTCTCAAGTAGCCTCTCGAGACTATCCAGACACTTCACGCGGGTCATTAGATGTAATTGGCAGAAATGTGGTGACAAGTAACTTGGAACTTCTATAATATAACAACCCGTATATCAACACCTGACTTCATCAGTTATACTGCCCTACCGTTTTCTAAGTCCAAGACCAACCTGTCTATATTCCAAGTGAGCAGAAACGCAATATGACCTTTGAATTCGTTAACAAGAATGCAATTTATCTCCAATAAGACAGGTTGTCTAAATTACCGGTATTCTTCTCATTAATGTCTTACTAAAAATTAACTATATATGAGGTCCAATAGTCAGCAAGACAATAAAGGTGTTAGCAGCAAGTCAAAACTGAGAGAAAAAGAGGAAGGGTCTCATACCAGCCTTGTTGATGATCATCATGTACAATGTGGAAATCAAAGTACACATAAGTACCCTGCTCGTACTCATCTGTAGTGATTTTTGGCTCTTCATGTCTTTGAAACCATGTGTTGTACTTTTTGTGATACCTCCACGATTGCTTCTTCAGCTCTCGTGCGGCCATATATTGCTGATATGTGCCCTGTATATGACAAAGAAACAAACTTCAGGCATAACAGAGTAGACCTTGTTTAGATTTCGTGTACAGACTTCTGCATTCACAGTCCATGGATTTACATTATCCCATGATAGGGGCATAGCGTGTGTGCATGATCTTTCCTACGTATCGGCATATGGACACAGCATCTAGACACATCAAGCGTTACTTGTATGAACTGAGTGCGTGGCAAGTATCAGAGCTGTCAATAGGCATATGAAGGTGTGGTGTAAGCCTGATATTATTGGGTGAGTAGAAGTGACTATCAGTTATTGCAGACAAAAAAGACGAACATTTTACCGCACTTTTCTAAAACTCCTAATCACCCTGGAAATCTTGACCAACCACTCAAAGGTCTTTCACTTGCGTCAGGCGAAAACAGATATCGTCTTCCAAGTTTTTATCTTCACCTGCTGGAAGTAAAACGCAAAAAATAGAATCTCTGTATCCAAATGCTCCCAAAGAGCAGGGTTGTCAATAATTGGAACCGGTACTTGAGGATAACTAGAAGGAGCGATTGCTGGGTGTTTCTGAAAGCACCAAAACGCCATCGTTAGCTGGAGAGACATCCCAAAGCCAAATAAATCCCGATGTTGCAAAATATAACTTACCTTCAAAATTAATTAAATTTTGGCTATGATTCTTTCGCTCGTGAGATTATCACGAAATGACTCCAAAAAGTGCTCTAATGGCTTCCAGAATTTCTGCTCTTAAGCGGAACTTACAGGTACATAGCTTTTCGGACGTTCCGAATCAGCTGGTAGCGGTATATTTTGATAAGCGGAAGCAAGAGCATCTTTGTTATACTGTTGATCATGCATGGCAGCATTCGAACTCAATATCGTGGTCATGAGATTATCTCCAATTGCTCCCAAGTTGTCTCTTCGACCTATCACCCCTGGCCCTGATGAAGACTGAGGACCTGCCACTTGACGGGGCGAGAAGTCTGCATCACGTGGAAGTGCACTAAACTCGGCCAGCGTTCCAGGCCCTCCGACCTACAAATGTCCAAGTTCCTAATGCTGAGTTTTCATGTATATATATTACTGGGTTCTCATGAGCACGCTCCAAAGAAGACATACGATAGCAACAGCACGTCGTCGGACCTACAATCTTGAAGAGACAGAGATATCCATTGCAGCAACGTTCAACAAAACAAGGTGGAGATCGTACAGGCACGTCAAACGTGTCGTGATTCTTCAAATCGTCTTCACTCATCAAAGATACACTATTTGCGAATGCTGCACTCAAGGAAGATGTATCAACTGCATTGTCTTCCGTCAACTGTGCCTGTTGGTCCAAATCTCTACGTAACACTACACATAACGTCAACAGCATTCACAAAAATGTTATATTAACTCAGTCATACCCTATGCATCATGATCCAAAGATCCAACTATATGCACACGTCGGAAGCTAAAAAAAGTAATAACCAGTTGAATACAGATTGTACCCCAAAACAACCAGAAAAGTTTCCTACTGTCATGAATAACGACAGACAATAAAAAGGGTGATTGAAGGGGATTACACTGAGAAGAAGAGGACAGCAAATCTGATAAAGAGAAAACAGAAACACGAGGGTAAAAGAAAGTGAGGAAAATCACCGTTTTCACTAGAAGATCCTGCCATTGACAGAGAGTTCTGAGATAGCTGCTGCTGGGAGGTTGAGTGAGTCAAAGAAGATTGTTGCTGGGCTTGTGAACTAGCAGAAGAGAGAAGTTGGACAGAGGCTGACTTAGCCAGAGATACTTGCTGCTGTTGTTGCTGCTGAATAGCTGCTGATTGAAATGGCTGTACAAGAGGTGTCTGCTGTTGTTGTTGGTGAAGCATTTGTGCCTGAAGCGCATTTATATATAAAAAGAAATTCTTAGCAAATAACTTTAAAGTGAGGCAAATATTAGGGCAAACCATATCAAGCACGTTAAGAAAACAAAAACAACAAACCAGACATAAGAACGAAGGAACGATCACAAACAGGCAAACAAAAAAAAGGCTGAAAGACAACCTTCACAATGGGAAAGTTCTTCTACAACCAAAGCGGGAGGTCAACAACTGTGTAACAAGCTGCGAGAATTCAATATGCTGGAAGCGTCACCTGCTGCAAAAGGCTGTTTTGCTGCTGCGGAGATAGCAGCACCTGCTGCTTCGGGGCAGAAGTTGGATTCAATAGTGCAGCACTGTGATTTTGCTGTTGAACTTGCTGTAAGCGTTGGAGAAACTTTTGTTTCAAGTCAGGGGCAACTCCTGTATTTCCGCCATACATGTATTGTCCCTGCAAACACCATCCATAAGTATATACTGAAATCAAAACCACCGTATAAGGACCAACCTAGTTGGAGACACACCAGACGACACCTAGCCCCAATCTCATCTCGACATCATCTGCAGGAGAGGAGTGAGAGCTGTTTTGAGGGGATTCAGTGTGAGACGGCGTGAAACTCTGTTAACAAGCCGACGTTGTAGGGGTTTTAAGGATTTTTTCTTGCACTTAACAGCTCACTCATGATAGTCCGTCATTACCAACTGCAGCTATTTGGGTGCGTGATTCTCAAGCAAACAGTATACTATAATGTGGAGAGTCCTTACTGGTTCTCCTTGACTTTGTGACCCATGAGAATGTGGCCTCCACTGTCCAGTGGAACTAAGAGGAGGACTGAAGACTCGGCTAGCCCCATCATTTATTCCCGTTGCTTCACCCGAACTACTTGCATCAACCAGTTTCCCTCCTGCGAACATTCTATTTTGCTGTGCCATGGCCAGCTGTTGAGAAAGACCCACTCTATCCTCCCCGACAAGTCCTGTCCTCTTACTACTATCTGATGCAATCGGCACTACACTTACACCGGATCCACCAACAAGACCAGTACCTCCACCTAGACTTAATGGCCCCCGTACTGAAGGTTGCACTCCCAGACCAACTGCTCCACTACCTGTTCCAACAGCACCTGGTCTCACTAATCCTCCATCTGAGATGGAAGGTCCAAGCCTACGCCCAGCCATGCTGCCTACATCCTCCTCTTTAGGCCTATTCACAATACTAACAGTAACAGATGGTTGCGCTGGTGCATTTGGAACCTTAGCCAAACCCTTCGTTGCTGGCAGCAAACCAACGGCCGAAGTACTCGTCAAGCTTCGGGAGAGGACAGAAGTTCCTCCCACCATCCCAGTAACGGGACCTTCCACAGGAACAGGAACAGCAGCAGAAACGGCAGGCGGATGAGCAGTAGGAGAGAGAACGGCTGCAGGAGTCTGTGCTCCACTGTCTATTAGGAGGTCTTGCAAAACGCCTTCTTCAGAACCCTGAACAGAAGGAGCCAATCCCAAAAGTGGAGCACCTGCTGCAACCTACAGTACGTCCATCGGCGCACACGAGTTAGTGTACCAAAGCGCAAATGTTTCTCACTCTCCCAGCACACTCATTCTAGCCGTCGTCAATCAAATAGCTGCAATGGGCGAGAACATCCAAATAGAGCTCACTTTTATCGGAAATCATGACATGATACTGTAGTACACGTGAAAAAGTATAGATGCAGTAAATGAGGTGAAATCATCACCTTTTCTTTCACCACCACTGCTGGTAAAATTGCTGGAATAGCATCCATTGTATCCAGAGCTTCCATCTTATCAAGTGGTAATGATTGATATAAATCATCAACGCTGGCGAAATCATCAAAGTCGTCCTGTTTATGACCACGCGTCACAAAGTCAACAAACATAACCACAGACCCTTATTTACTTAATATCTAACATATTTACAACCCAACAACCACATCTACTCAATATGTGATGTCTATAGTATTGACAGTAGCAAGTAACAAGTTTGTAAAAAAAGATGCAGATGAAGTTACTACAAGATCCAGTAGGTTCAGGTACGAGTCAGAAGGATATTCTGAATAAAAATAAGAACACATTCAATAGGAAACAATAAACGCCACCAGAAGAAGTGAAATGATCTACATTAATACTCGAAAAGAGAATGATCGTGGCATATGACCTGATTGCGCTCAACATAGTCTTCAACAAAGTCTCTCACGTCATTGACCTCGTCGGGACTTAGCTCGTCGTTGTCCAAGAGACGAAGGATCAACTCTAGCTTCATTATATGCGCTTTATGACGGATTATCGATTCCTCCAAATGAGTCTGTTCCAAATTGAAGGTTATCACACTGGATACACTGATAATAATCCAAGGGACTCAAAGAATCAACTCTAACCTCAACATGTGATCTACGTGACAAAGACAAGTTCCTCCGCTCGTGTCAGTTAACATAATTCTTCATATAAATTGTGTCAATAACAACTGGAGGGCAAGGGATTGAATACTGAAACGAAGTTGTGATGTGCGTTCTCCGTATTCTCACCAGTCGAGGAGGACGTGACTTTCCCTTCTTTACAGAGAGCCCCTCCATTTCTGCTTCAAACGAGTCTATCTGAGACTCCAGATCACTAACCTGCAGGCAGTAACTACATAAATACTAATGTGACTGCACATATCAAAGACGATTTCGAAAGAAGCAGAAAGCAAAACAACTAAGAATCAACGATAACGCCTCGGGCGATGTGGCAATAATCCGTATCTGACCCCGGAACTTGAGGACTTGTCCTGACGTAAATACTAACAAACAGTATTGTTACGTAAGAAATTTCTCTCGAGTCTCCTAAATACTAAACATTCACACACCATGTTGTTTAGCCAATCTCTTGATTCTCCTTTAGCCTTCTCCCTTGGATCCTGTAAAAATCACAGTGTTGCGATGAGGCAGTTCTCGACCTACAGCTGGATTTACAAGACAAAACGAACGGGAACAAAAATGCAAAAAGCCCGGAAGAAGAACAGAGGAAATGATATGAAAGTAGACCAACTATTGTGCTTACCAATGACACCCAAGCTCCAATCTGCAGACTATGCAGCTGTTATTAATCGTTCTCGACCTTGATGCAAGATGCAAGATGGACAGATCTAGTTCTTCACTTTCGAGGATCATTTTGACCGGTGGAGAGAAACCAGCGTAAGTTAAAACAATGTCTAGACGGGTGTATGCCCATCTTCAAATGATATTACGGGCTTATTCCATGAAGGTTGTATGAAAGATACATCCAAGGTGAAGATAGCAAGAATGGTGAAGTGCCTGATTTACTTTAAACTTACTGTTTTTGGTTGTTGTCCCAACCCTTCTTTAGAAAACGCTTTGGTTTTGGTTTCTTTTTCACAAACTTTAAACCGCTCCATCTCGCGTTCGATGAGCTTTCGGGCGTCTAACAGCGCCTGCTCATAAGATGCAGCAACCTATGTCAACATTTTTCAACCGTCAAACCTCTCTCCAGGTACTCGCAAGCGGATGCTCGTCATCGACACCCCTTACCACTTGTATCCCACATGAACAATGTTTCTTTTTAAAGAGGGTGATCAAACGTACTCTTGATCCTCCCTAAAATGCAACTACTTCGACGAGTAACCATCTTGTTGTACCAAACACTGTAAGCTAAAACTTACTCGTAACCAGTCAAGAAAAGAAGATATGTTAACTTGTGCTTGTGATGTTTCACAAGCACAGTTTCTTGGACAAAACTCAGTGTATAAGGTCAATACTTGCTCGTACACTCCACATGACCGACTTAATAAGGTATCCTATCTGACTTACAAGAGAAGCTGCTATAGTGTAGTCAGATACTCATAAGATAGGTAAGATAATAACTTAGTTTCTAAACAAACTAAATCTACGAAGTTGTGACCGGAAGGAAATTTAAAGGGCTTGACAAGTGGGTTTCTACTGAAGCAGTGAAGTGAAAAGCTACCTTCTTGTCTTTTATCTCGCTGGACTGTATCCATGTTTTAATTTGATCTCGGTAGCGCTGAAGTTTCTTGATCTCTTTCTTAAGATCGGCTTCGAACTTTTCCTTCTGATTTGCATTTTCAGTATCGTAGACCTGCACATGTGTCATTCAATTTTGGTCCAACTTGTAAATGGAAAATCTTCAGATACTTCCTCTAGACAAATACTTCATTTCTCATTGTACATACTTCTTCCCGCGATAACAAACATAGCTGTATCTATGATGATGAGGTGCAAGATTAATAGCTATTCCATTGTAGAGTTGGCTCCAACTTTTCACTCAAGAACTTTTAGTCCTCAACCTCGAGTAAGACATGATTGAACTCTTTTGGTTCAGTTGAGCTATAATGTAGCCCTCTAGCTCACTTCTTGCACATTCAAGTCCCCAAGTTCTTGACATTTTTCTCAAATTTCCTCGATGTCAATGGCAAAACACTGGCAAAGGTCAGCAGACACCACCACTTAAGTTCCTCAAAGATGTTTACTTTGCGTGAACAATTTCCAACTACAAATCTTCTTAATTTGAACTTGCCACTCGCCTCTTTAAAGTTAGATCTGATTGCTTAGAGGCATACACTTTTGTGGCTGCTTGTAAAATGAGACCCTTGAAAAACCTTCACAACAATCGAAAGATTGGCTATAGAAAGCGTGAGGAAAAAGCTGGAAGGAACATGACCAGGACTGTGGAAAGAAATTATAGCATATGGCATCAGGTATCGATATCGTCGCATCGATGCTATACAATCAAGAGCGTGATGTAACCCAGCATAGATAACATAGTACATAATCAACCCCAGGTGGTAAGCATGAAAGAGATTGGAGCAACTGAAGTCTAGGTGGTACATCTCAAGGGTGCCAACCAAAGATGCCAGATGGAAAGAAACAAAACATAATGACAGAAATCTAAGAATGTCATGCACACATTAAAATGGGTACGAGTATAGAGACAAATGAATGCGGAAGTTGAAAAATACAAGGAACAGAAGATGGGTGGAGTATGGAAGCCAGGAGAGATGACAATACACTGAAATGGTAAAGGGATAAAAGACCAAAGAATGCGGAAGTTGAACAATACAAGGAACAGAAGAACAGTGGATAATTGATAAGGACGAGTAAATCAGCAGTCAAATAGATTGCTGGGAGAACTGACTGAGCAGTAAGGAGGGGTCAGTCCAACGTAAGAAAGGGTCTAGTGATCATCAACAGCATTTAATCGGAAAGTGTCGTATACGCATCACATGCACTCCGTGGCTCATAAGTGGATAAGACTCCGTAGATTTCCGCACTGGACAACACGGGGCTGACGACTATTTGAATCCTAACAAGCCAAGGAGAATTGGATGGACGCTGCCAAGACCTATGTCAAATATTGTTTATCACGAACTCCCTATAAAACAAAAAGTACTTCAGATCAAAAACAAAGTCCACTATGCAATCAGGGCGGCGTCCTTCGACTGGGAAGAAGCATATTTGAAAAAGCAAACATCGGCGAAAGCTGAGTGTCACCCACTGTACACAGCATTTTGAATAACCTAAAGCAAAGTAATCAGCTTATACAGATCAAAAAGGAAAAAACGATGTCTCCGTGTGGCACAACGAAGAATATGTAAAATACACATTGATGAAATACAGTTTGCCTGAGTAAATTAGAAAACGAGCTTGTCAACAAGCTCCCACCGTATGGATGTAACCTGTTGTAACGATCGAAAAATCGAAAAATCCCCAATACCTAGACATTTTCTGACACATAACAGAAGCCAAGGTACGACACATCTGATGCATATTGTTGAGCTGCGTGTGATAGATCCTCGTCAACATTGATATGGCGTGGACTAGATGTTTCAGCGAGTTCAGTATTCGGAAATCTACTTGAGCCTTCAGATTCCCAACTTAGACTTATAAGAGATCTTGAGCGCAGATGTGGACGAAGTTGATACGTCTAGCCGAGAGATGGACCAACATAGATCAAAGAGGAGGATTAAAATGAGATCTTAAACACCTCAATTATGTACAATGTAAGACGATTCGTATGGGTTTAATGATAATATTTTTCCGACATTTTTTAGCGAAAAACAAACATAATATTCGTTCAGACATTCAGGAGACTACATAAATGAACCCAAAAATATATATGGCAGAGACACACACTGTGGAAAGCGAGGGGCCTAAGAGACGGTAAGCTAACGCATCACAAAAGGATCCAACCACCTTCCCCTTCTGACCTACCTTACTACATTTGTCATTCTAGAAGTGCAATAACTAATTTGAACAATTCAGAAAGCAAGGAAAATCATGCAGCGCCGTAAGCAACTAAAATGTGATTCCAGCGCAGCACTCTTCAGTCCGGTCAATTAGCATGAGGACATTCTGCATTCGCCAACAAAATACACATGCATTTTGCATCCTAAAAAATCGGGTCAAGTGATATTTGAAGAAGGTTGTAAAAGGACAACGCTCCCAGTCTTCGACAGGGTGAGCACTCAAGAACCTCCAGACAGCATATGATTTTCAGTGACCATAGCCTGTCGTCAGAGGCGAGCAACAACGGCAGTCTAGTCAGAGCTGCGATATATCGAACCTTGTTCCAAATGCTGTCGAAGACGTCCACGCCTTCTTGAACTTTCTTCAAAACCCTATCAATTTCTCCTTGCAACTTTCGTGTTGCGCCCATCGTGTCTCAGTATCAATCAGCTTTCATGCGATCCTTGCACCTTCCAAGCCCACAACGCCCTGCATAACCAGCCAAGTTCCTGATCTTATTCCACTGAGCACAACGGAATCCTTCCCAAATCATCCGCAACGAATATCAAGTCGACTACATCCGACTTCCAAAAACCCCGGACACATATGACCCGATCAAACTACCCGAAAGCCTAGCCTCCCCGGCGTGGAAGTTGATCTGCTGCTCGAAACCTGTTTGTTCGCAAGCAAAACGCAGCGCGTCGAGAAAACTCTCAGCATATCTTTCCCTTCACGCCCCCTCCAAAACACTTTGAGAGCTCTATCCACAGTGCACTCTACCCACACTTTCAAATTCTCCGCACTCAACCGACCGACACTCTTGGGCACGAGCTCAAGCTCCTGAAATCCGCACTCCGTGAGCCCTTCTAATGTTGGTTTCACGACACGGGCATGGTCCAAAGCGACAACTCCCGCAACAGGCCGACCCGGCTCTTCTTCTTGTGCTGCTTCTTTTCCAACCCACGAACAGGGCGACGATCAGCTGCAGACAGCGTCAGCAGAACATTCAACGACTTTTGTGCTCGTCAAAGAACAGTGATCAAATCGAACACACAAACAGACAAACCTCAGCCACATTCGGCGCAAGTCGGCGACAAGAACACCCGGCCTCCCGCCCCATCCCCACCCGATATCCGGCAGATTCCGCCTCGGCTCTGCGCTCGCCCCACTCCCTCCCAGTATCCGACGCGGCATCTTCATCACCCTCGACCCCCACTACGCCCCGGATTCCTCCGTCCGTTGCGTCGGCGAGAGTTTTCGAGCACTACCCCCGTCCCATAATTCTTTTCTTTTACTCAACGTCCCCTTCGCTACCCTATCGCTCGCGGCCGGGTACCACCTCCGGGCAGCTCCAGCCCGAGAGATACACGCCGCGGGTTTTGCGGGGCCGAGCTCCAGAGCGAACCAGATGAGACACATCCGCGCAATTATTAATAGGGCGCTGGCGTGGCACTGCTTAATTTAATCTCGACTGGCGATGCGCCCGATGAGCTTGAGTCATGTTTGCGTACTTTTGGCTCAATTTAATCATCCCAGAAGGAGAATTTGTAATTTTCGACAGCATTACGGCAGTGGATTAGGCTTGTGACGTCCAGGACAATATTGACATAGAATCAGCAGCACTTTCGTTCTATTTTCTTTAGGCTCTGTTTTTATCGAGGAAGATGACTGAAATCTCGTCGCATCAGGAAAGAAAGAAGACAATGAAGTCATTTGGTTTGTTACGAGTTTATTGATTCCACCGAGATCGAGAAAACGAACTGAATTAAAAGATATATTCAAGCGCGTCACGGCCGCCTCCTTCATAAGCTTTTTGTCCTATCAATCTATTGACTTCTCGTTTCCATCTAAAGTTGTGGCTTTCTCCCCGTATGACTCTAGTGTCGTGCGCTTTTAATTATATCGTCCTTCATTTGTATATGCATCTTGATGTTCTAAATTCCACTCTTACTTCACTTTCCTTTTCTGCATACTAGTAAAGCGGAACTAGAATACCATTTCACAACTTTTCTTAAATAAGCTCTCCGCTCATGGAAGTTCAAAGCTCTCGTAAGTATTTTAAGGTGTTTTCCACATGCCAAAAACCTTGGAAAATTAAAATTTTGTTTCAATTTTCTGTAGAGGTAATACTCCATGTCACAACACATTTACTTTGATGATCGTTGATTAACACTTTAATAGATCAATCACGATAAAGTTGAAAAGTATGTAGATACTAAATTATCCATACAGTTGGTAGACACAAGAAAATATACGAGATTCACCTTGTTGGACACATCCACACAAATACAATGTTATTTCATTAAAAATAACCTAAATATGTCATTGAAAACTATGATGAACTTCTTGATTAATAAAAACCTAACTAGAGCAATCAACCATGATTAGACACATCAGAGTTAACCAATACGTGTGTTCACTTCTAACTTCTAGAATGCTTCATCATGATAACATACACAATGAATCTTCTAGTCAATAATATTAAATAAAACAAACCCTATATTCATGATTTTAAACTTTTTTTTCTACACTGCCGTCAAGCCCATTTTTAATGAACAAACTATGCTAGTAAGTTTTTACTCCAACCACTCCCAAAGAAATTATTTTTAAGTTCTTTTGCGATGTTGCTATTAAGAGTAGAAAATTTGTAACTGACAAGATTTATTGTTGAAAAGTGTGAGAGGAAGATTAAAAAATATATACGTTATAGGATATCATCACAATGGAATTTTATTTTTTTGTAATTTAAGTAAGATAGGGAGAAAAAGTCAAATCATTTGTTGATCATTTAATTATTGAAATTTTTGACTTAGAGCTTGATGTGTATTATGAATATTAGTGATACTATAAGAGTAAATTTGCTAACTAAACTAAAAATGCATTTAAAATTTCAAGAAATGAATTAATGATAATGAAAATATTTATATTACAATTATATATTTTTAATAATATAAATAAGTGATTTTTTCATATGATAGTTTTTTCTTTTTTCTTAATTTTGATACATATTAAAAAAAATTCAAGATTTAAATCATATATAGAATGAATTTCAAACGTTATAGATGATTTACATACAAAATTTTCATCAATAAAAAAATATTGAATAAAATTATTAATATTTAATAATTATATGTATAGATGATTTGTTCCTGCATGAATCATCAACCAAAAAATAATAATTCAATGAATCAATAAAGAGGATTTACACATAGAATATCCATGCACTTCATCTATTGATTTGATAAATTAGACATTGCCATTCATGAGTTTTTCATCTCCATATACAGCTTTCACAAATAAACAAGACATTCGAGCCATCATAATTGTAATTTTTTTGTTGATTGATAACAAAGCAAAGGCACTATCATAAAGCATGGCCTAATATCAACTTTTTATATGCATAAATTAATTCATAAACGTAAATAAAAAATGAATTTTGTTCTGATATTGTACTCATTCACAACTAATTCTGGAAACCATAATTGCCAATTTTTTTATTTCTATATGCTTATCAAAGACCTGTATTAGACTCTGTGTAACAAGTATTATCAGAATATTAAAATTATCAGATATATTAGCCAATTTTTAATAAGATATAAGGTGTATTTTAAGATTCTAATATCAAAATTAGGCGACAGGAGGTAGTTCACGTAGAGTAAATAAAAATGTATCAGAATGATGTTTGAGAGATAATTTGCGAATGAAAAATAATCGATCCTAAAATTCAACTCAGATGCAAATTTCTTAAGTTAGTTCAATAGTAGCAAAAAACATACAAAAGGTGTAAATTTGAGAAAATTCTGTTCATGATTTCTCAGCTTGTGAACGCTTATGGGCGAAGGATCATAGAATAGAATAAAGCGTTGGAGAAAATGATTATAACTTGGAAGTATGCACCTTTACATGCATCAACCTGGCATGGTATGATTAAGGTATATTCATGCGCATGATGCGTGGGGCTTTAAAGTATACTAGACTCTGGAAGAAAAGATGGATGGCACTCATTTGTCTCGTTTATGGTGAGGCTATTTCTTGGCGGAGCAAACCTATTCTACCGAGGGGCCCACATCATTGTGGAAAAAACCTCTTAAAACTCTAACTAAAATAAGAACCGGGTAAAGTCGTTCAAATCATCATTCAATTGGCTATTTAAGATCTTGAAACATAAGTTTGACAAGCATATTTCTATGGGTGAATTACATTATGTATAGTCAATTTTTTAATGAAAGTCAAAGAATGAGTATGAGTATATGCATATTTTAGTTCCAAAACGTGCGAATAGAAGAAACGTTCCGGAGTCTAATCCTTTCGTCATCAGTTAAAAAAGGTCCATTTCCCCAAAAATATGTATAATTCTATGATGGCAGATCTTCCCAAAAATTATGCACACATTTTTCATACCTCTTTGGCCAGGCTTCAGGATTCACCATCTGGCCATAACTCCATGCAGCTCCGAAACAGGCTTCTGATCAGAATGAAAGAAATCCTCCCCAAACATAAATCATTTCCATCATGCAGTGCAAGAATGCGCATGCTAAAGCGGTCGATCGATTTAATTCCCATCTAAAGAATTTCTCTGATATGGTTCAAGACTGGAGAGGAAGATCCCATCGAGCCCTGCCTGCAGGAATGCAACGAAATGGGAAACATGCGATTTGATAATGTGAGCTCAGAGTTGGTTGTCCGTACTCGAGAAGGTGGAGCGGCTCCTTGACGGCTGAAAGTGCACTGCCATTTAGAAATCGCTCGATTTGGTTCCTGGCACCTGCTCCGCGACCTCAATTCCCACTGGACTGACTGCGTCGAAAGGCACATAAAGCTCCTGGTTCAGGGAGGAAGAAGAAGAGCAGGACTCAGGAGGGCAGCTCGAGAGCACGATCCGGAGACTTGAATTGTGAGTGGCAGCTGGATTCAGGTGATTTCTGTGTGCTGTTGTTGTCGTCGTCTGTGTCGGCGTTGGTTCGAGGGATGATCGGAGCCAGTCCGATGATTTACAGACAGATGGTGCGACGGAATTTGCGGGCGTTGTTGAGCTGCTTTTGATCTCGCACAATTCGAGTTTGCCGAGTGAATTCTATCGTGAATCGAATTCGGCGAGAAAGGGAGGACGAAGAAAATCTTACCGTTACTGTACGAGTTCACGAGGTCGGGAACTTTTCTTGGTTCCGTCTCGATTCCGATCAGCAGTTGCATTCTTTACTGAATTTGAGCGGATTGTCTGATACGCTACGGTTTTTGAGGATTCTGCAGACGACTTTAAAACCTTGAGCCTTTCCGTCGACTATCTTGAAATGATAATGATCCTACAAGCAAGCTGGAAATTTACTAAGGCTTTGAATTTATCCTGTTCCACTCTTCTCTGTTTTTCTCACCGTGAGCCCAATGTCCAATCTACCGCGATCGCAGTGCTGAAGTTTTTATCGTGAATGTTTCTTCAATTTGAATTGAACAACTCAGGTGAATTACAGACTTCGAGATGGCGCGGCCCGCGGTGACCATGGAAGTGGGCGACGACGGGGTTGCGATCATTACTATAGATAATCCGCCTGTAAATTCGATCAGTGACGAAGGTAGATGCCGCGCCTTTCACCTCATTTTGTGCTTTTCTTTGGTCATTGTCACAAGTCGCGCATGTAAGATTTCGGCGGACATCTAAGCATATAAGTGAGTCGACAATTCTCAAAGCAGAATAATTTTGTGATATGTTGGTTCAGCAGTTGTAAGAATTAGACAGTCTGTACAGAATATATTCATAGAACGAGCACTGACCGTGTACACATTTTTTGCAGTGATGCAAGGTGTGACGTCGAGCTTTAAGGCAGCACATCTTCGTGAAGATGTCAAAGCTATTGTTTTGACAGGTGAGTCGGGTGCTTGCATCACTCTCTTCCAAGCCGAAAAAGATCTGAGTATATTTCTAGGCACATGTCTGCCTAAGCCAGCAGTGAACTGTTTCCATATGTTGACTCAATGCAGATGTACGTACAAAATTGGTGTTGATTAACAGAGGAGGTGCTAGTTTGCGATGCGCTGTTTAGTTTTATTACCTGGCTTTAGGTTTCAGTCTGGACATTTTTACCACCTGTTCTGACGTCGTACTTGAGATGCTGTGGAATAAATTTGAACTTCGCATTCTGTGAGGTCATATAAAGGTTGCATTGCTTCTGTAGCTCAAACATGCAACCTATTTCATTGCAAAGCATGACAGAAGTGACAAACTTCTCATTTCGTGTGCCCAAAAAACAGGAGCTAACGGGAAATTCTGCGGTGGAGGTGAAATTCGCAACATGCAAGCTCGGAAAACTGTGGGTAGGTGAAAGCATTCTATTTCCTTTGGCGTAGATTGCCTATGTCCTTACAGGCTTGGGATCGTTGAACTCGTTACAAGATTAAATCGCCCTTTCCTGAGACTAGCGAGTACGCCCGTATAGCTGATGGTGTTTCTACAGAGTGATTCCTTCACCGTTTCAAAAAGATGTCACTCAAGTAAACTTATTCACGTTATCTTACAATCCATTGAATCTCATTTGGCAGCTGTGAGCGAAAGCATGCCGTCGACTGTCACCTTGGTGAATGATTTGATGGAAGGTATGTCCTCGTTTCTTTACAGTACTTGAAGCTTCTCCTCTATTTTACTTGTCTTCTCTGGAATTCACTTGCAGTTTCATTAATGAGCACGTTGTCAAAGCCCGTCAGGACCAAAGTTTCTGTCGCTCCTAGTCGCAAAAATCTAGGGCCTGTATGTTCCTTCTTCACTTGGAATTTTTTCACATTCTGCGTAAAGTACGTTCTTTGATTCACAGCGTTTGGAATCTTGAGAATCTATTTGGGGCTTACAGTCTACCTTCGTCCTTATCCAGGTGGTCCTAAGCCAGCAGTTGCAGCGATTGACTCATTTGCCCTTGGAGGAGGACTGGAGTATGCAATGGTATTGATCTTGTTTCCTACGTTATTTCGTCTACTTTTCATAGTAAAGACAGCAGGGCGCCGGATCCATGGTCTCCTCAGGCTCTGAAAGGCGCACGTAATGAGCTTGTTTTGATTTGTATAGATCTGCCATGCCCGCTTGGCAACTCCGAAGACAAAGCTGGGTTTACCGGAGCTTCAGCTTGGCATAATTCCCGGACTAGGTGGTAAGTACAAGAAGTATTCTCTATGACGTCGATGTGTTTTTTTTTCCCTCTTGTATCTCGTCGTTGAGGTATATCTGAGTTGTCGTGTGTTGTCTTTTCAAGGTACTCAAAGATTACCGCGCCTTGTAGGAGTCGGAAAGGCGATTGATATGATGTTGGTAAAGTTCAAGTTTTGCTTCAATCGGGATTGAAATTGTTCAGCCTGTGCTTTTATCTGGAGATCATGTTTCTTGGTTATCGAGTTCTAGTTTGATGATTACCATCCATTAATGTTGATCTATTCAAGCTACAAGTTCGCCAGGATTTTTAAGTGTCTCCCGAAATGCTCTGCATGCTTATTTGCTCAAACCTTGCCTCTCGATATTCTTGACGGAACAGACAGTGAAGTTTTTATCAGCCATGGACGCTCACAAGTCTGGGCTGGTTGATGCTGTTGTACCTGCTGAGCATCTGATCTTGGAGTCAAGAAAATGGGCTTTGGATATCGCCAACGGGCGAAAACCTTGGCGAAGATCTCTAGAGCTGAGTGATAAACTAGGCTCAGTGGAAGAATGTCTGAAAATTATTAACGACAAACGAGTTCAACACAAGAAATTGTTCAAAAATGTTCCACACCCAAGTGCGTGTTTGGATGTTGTTGAGCAAGGGATTCTACACGGTGGATGTGCAACAACCTTTCACGTGAGTCTCGTATCCTATTCTCTGCCCTTTGTTAGTGTGAAATTGAAAAATATAGAGAACTCAAATAAGCTTCTTAATTTCGTCGCCGAGTTAGTGTATTGTAAGATGATGCAAGGAATCTTTATCACAGGATGTCTATCTACAGTTGACTCATAAGGTCGATAGCTTCTACACCTTTTCTTACCTATGACGTTGAGTTCAGTACTATATGGTATAATTCGCCCAAAGAACTGCATGGGCATTACACATGGTCGCTTGGATAAAGAACTCCCGAATCTTTTTGTTGATGGCCACCCGAGCTCATTTCATATTATCAATACTGAAAAAAAGGAGTGTTTGAGTTCACGAGATTTGTTCCTGCTCCTCATTGGCGTGGGTCTATTGCAACATCTTGTGTCCGGAGTCGGTCATGCGCTGGAGAAAGTCGCTAGGGTCATAATATGGCGCCGAGAATTGGCAATTTGCTTTGTAGTTGTTTGGATTTTACATGTAGAAAGATGTTAGCTGCCGGGGTGAAAAACGGGCTCTTGCGAGTCAAGAATCCGTCATAATTGATGCTCTTGTTCTTGAACAGTACTATGATAGTTCCATTCGTTCTAGTTGGTGTCTTGGATGCATTACTCTGAATGCAATGAGCATTTAAAGACACCGAGCTGTCTGCTAGATTTCTGATTAGTCTTTGCTTCATCCGATATACTCTTGGTCGAATTTTCAACCCAGATAGTTTAGTCTTTCATTCATTTTATTTCGTTATAAGGATCATTATCAATCTGTGGCCTTTTCCATATCATATTTGTGATGGCAGGAAGCGAAGGTGTGTGCTGAACTTCAGGTTTCTCCCACAGCAAAAGGACTTATGCATGCCTTTTTCTCCGAGCGTTCAATTTTGAAGGTGGGTCTTAGAAAGCAATTGACTTGTACATGGAAAGCTGTGAAGGATTTGAGCAAACTGCTTTTAAAACAGACATGCATATGTACAAAGGAGGTGATTTAATGAAGGTCCTAATGCAAGAGGATTTTCAGGTTCCAGGAGTTACGGACCAAGGTCTGAAGCCAAGACGAATACGGAGAGCAGCAATTGTAGGAGGTGGAATGATGGGATCAGGAATTGCAACTAACATGATTTTGCAGCAGATTCCTGTGTTACTGAAGGAAACGGATATAGATTCTCTCAACAGGGGGATTGAGCTCATTAAAGGTGTTTTTGTCGGCTCGATATTCCTTGTTTTACGGAATCCCTCGGATATCTAGATAGCTGGCTTTCAGTCGATTTGCTACATGCGGGGAGGATCCACTCCTCTACTTGTGATATCGTAAAGATAATATTGTCCATGTCTTCACGACTTGTGATCGTTTTCAAAGTCTTGAGATGTTTTGCACCTCGCAGCCAATATTCAAAGTCAAGCGAAGAGAGGTCTTTTAAGCCAGGAGAAAATCCCAAGTACTCTTGCTCTTGTTAAAGGCACTTTGGACTACAAGGACTTCGGGGATGTTGACATAGTTATTGAGGTAGGACTCATCACATCAATCTTCTCTGTAAAGCTTCTGAGTATTTCACATGTGATTTCTTATTTCTTTCATCTCGAGCGAATCAGCATAAGTATGATCAACGAGCAGATGCCCTTGTTTGCCAACGCTGTGGCAGACGTTGTGTTCTGCCAGATAGTTTTCAGATGCACCAAACTGCAAATCCTACCTCGAGAGACTTTGGGCAGATACCAATGCACCTCGATACTCACGTCATGACGTCGACGGGCTGCGTGATCGCAAGTGATGCTTTGTTTCTAGATTCTGGAGATGGTTTTGGGATCCTTTTGCATCTTCCATGCAGTCCACACTGCACTCTACATGATTTCGGTCAATTAAATTTTTCTGTTTAGTCCACTGCACTTAAACATCTGTATGCCCGCTGTATTTCCGTTTGGCCTCTTTTTCAGCGGCTTTCCGTCAAAAGTCAGGTGCTAAACCTATGGGGTTAAAGTTCTTGCCATGTAAAACATATAGGTCAATGAAGGCAGTGTCTCTGTCTGTGAAGAACGAAAGATTATTTCTGTTTGTCTAGAATTGAAAATACACCAAGAAGTTAGGGATTTCCTTTTACTGCGGATTATTCAACTTGGTATGGGGACTGACAAGAACAGTGTCTTTGATTTGCAGGCAGTGTATGAAAGCTTACCGTTGAAGCAGCAAATTTTCCAGGACCTTGAACGATACTGCAAGGCTGATTGTATTCTGGCATCAAATACGTCTAATATGGACCTCAATAAAGTCGGAGCCAAGATCAGCTGTCAAAACCGTGTCATTGGGACCCACTTTTTCTGGTCAGGATTCATTGAACTCACATGCCCGTAAATTTCATAAAAGTATGCTCGTAGGCTATATGAATTCTATAAGTTTCAGTACCAGTAATTTGATGTCTGTGTGAAATTATGGCCATTTGTAAACTTCAGCGGATTAGTCAAAGGAGTTACCCATGTGATTCACAAAAGCATATAGATTACCTTAACACTATACTTTGGTGAACATGTGACAGTCCGGCGCATATAATGCCCTTGGTGGAACTAGTGAGGACTGAGAAGACTTCTCCACAAGTGCAAGTGGATCTTATCAACTTTGGAAAAGTATTAAAGAAGATCCCTCTAATGGTGAACAACTTTCATGGTTTTGCAATAAATCGTATCTTCTTTCCATACGGCATGAGTTCACATTTTCTTGCTATTAATCTGGGAGTACATCCGTATCGTATCGATACGATTTTGAAGAATTTCGGTATGCCAATGGGACACTTCCGGTAAGGATATATCGTAAACTGAACTTAATAGTTTCTGATCGGTCATTATGGTTTATCTAATTTGTCAGTATCAGTCGATAAGCGACGAGGCCATGCATCTCATCAATTGTGTACATTGGGGAACAGGATGATGGACTTGACAGGAATTCAGATCGGTGCAGCTACGGATAAATATTGGAGGGACGTTTTCCCACATCGAGTACGCAAACGTGACTTCAATGATCGTTTGAAAGAACTGAATCGATTAGGTGAGCAAGCGCCTTGCTGAAGTTAACCTTTCACTTGTATGTAGCAGCCTCGACCCCGTATAAACGTATGTAGATGATTTTTTCTATATGATGTCAATCCTCTCGTGTATAGGTAGTTGTTTTCTCTTATTCTAGTGAATCTTGTAGAGCTTCTCGCTTTAAGTGTAAATCAGTCACTGAATCATTCAGACAGCGCGATTGTGAAGAGCACATGGGTTGTATAGATCCTACGTGGAATAGAGGATATGCTGTGTCTTCTAAAAGTTCTACAGGCTTTCCACTGCTGCTTTGTGCAATTCAAGATTCATCCAATACGCTGGAAATTTCTGGAATAGCACTTGGAAGTCGTGCATCAAACGTAAATGTGGACTGTCATATGAAGGTTTCACCTAATATAGCATGCGTCCATTAGATGAATTGGTGCGCCACGTGTTAGCATTGATATAGATCGATACAACGCTTTATCTAAGAGAGTCTTGCATTGCAACCTGGAAATGATTTTGTTTGACTTGTTTGATATGCTCAGGTGAGAAGACAGGAAAAGGTTACTATAATTATAAGTCAGGTTCACGGAAAGAGGAGCCTGCACCAGAGCTACTTGAAATTATGGCAGAGGTTCGCCAGCGTCTTGGTCTAGGTACCAGTTGGAAGGTAAAACCTAAAGCCTGGCTGAAGAGTTGGGAAAAGTGCATGCTTGGATGCTATGTTTGCCTGAATGGCTAGTAAGCTCCTTATGATAGGAATATACAGTGAGAGCGAAGTACCCTGGTTTTGATGACGGTGAAACGATTGGATTTGAGAAGGTGCTCTTCTGCTTCCACTGTTTTGAAGTAACAAGGCTAAGAATTACTTATGGTGTGTATTTATCTTTGACAGGAAGTTCCTCTTACAGATGAAGAGGTGTTGGAGATGGTCCTCTTTCCAACAGTTAACGAGGCTTGCCGTGTCCTAGAGGAAGGAGTTGTTCTACGGGCGTCTGACCTTGATCTTGCCACGATATTGGGAATGGGTTTCCCAAGATACAGGTAAGCTAATGATGATGTGCAAATCATATTCTTCCTAAACGTGTGAGAATTCCAAGTTCTGTGGACTTTTCCATGTTGTGAATCTTACATTGCAAAATTCGTGAACGTTTGCTTCTTGCTCTTGTCACGTTGCAGGGGTGGAATCATCTTTTGGGGAGATTATATTGGTTCCAGTCATATTCATTCTCAGCTGAGCAAGTGGTCTACCCTCTATGGAGAGTTTTACAAGCCTTGTTTAAGCTTACAGAGAGCTGCTGCCACAAACAGCAAGATGGTTAGTTTCCAAATCCTCGAAGGTTTCAGTGCCATCAGAAGGCGTTTCCAAAGTTATTTGATTACTTTTGTCTTCCAGGAAAGTTGTATCTTGCATCTTTTCACGAGAAAATATAGCAGCATATATCGTTGCTGCACACGAAGTAACGGCTACGCCTAAACTTCATGTGCAGCTACCACTTGTCGAAAATCGACGTACATTATTATTTGCAGAGAGTACTGCGAATTATTTACAGTTTTGAAGACTTCATTCTTATCTCTTTTTGTCATTCAAGTGTTGTCGACTAATCGGGGAGTATTTGTCATGTGCAGGCAAATATCGTAAAAGTATCACAGGCACGCCTTTAAGAGTGTACCTACGAGTCATTCGTGCATCTGACTACAGTAGTTTCTGAATGGATCAACAGGCTCCTGGAAGGACCAGAAATCGAAGAGAATTTTGTGCTTCACATTTCACGCAGATTGCAGAGAATAATCCTGGACTCACGACTGCATCTCTCAACAGATGTAAGAAACCCACGTTCGTTTGCAAATTTCAACCATCTTTCATGGCTGCTCTTCTCTGCAGGAGAAAATGGAGACTATTATTTTTCTCCACATCTTGATGGCAACATCGAAATTGCCTACAGCGAGATCATTCTTCAGGATTTGGTGGTCCATCACGCTTGGGTATCCATGACAACATTCTTGAAATTGAACAGAATCACATGTCAGCGCACTAGACAGGACGGTAGTCTTCATTAGTTGTGCAGTGTACTACGCACGAGATCCTCGTCCTCATGTTCTTTCACTAACAAATTCATCTACAGAAGTTTATAGCCTGATGTATCCGGAATTTTGGACTAATGGAATTAACTGTAATACACGTCGCAAGTTTTGATACGCTTATAAAGTTGGAAATGCTTCTCTCCATTTTCGAGTCTATTGGGACAGACTGAACGCTCTTTTCTTGAAGCACTGAGCAATTCATGTGTCTCCTACAAATTTTCTACCAATCTTTCCACAACTGGATAGCTCCCAGAGTTTCTGCAGTATGATTTGAATGCTGGTTCGGATGGAGTACTGTAGATGTAGAATTGACGCGGTGGGTGATAAAACGTGGTACACAGTTGTGTCACGCTACAAGGCGAGCTTAGCCCCTTTGGTTCTACAGTTGCGTGGCTCTGACGAGGTGTACTTATTTCTCAAAATGGGCACATATCCCGGGAGGTGTGGGTGACCTAGGAACCCGTTTGCCTCCACAGCAGGAATGCGCAGGCAGGAGTTGGAACTCCTGTAACAGCGTCCAAAACCTGCAGGCCAGAACAGCGACGAAATTAGGGCTTTTGATGTCCCCACATCCACCTTGATTTCCTTACTTTCAGCTAGAAGTGAGGGCTACATCCTCGGTTTCATCAAGTGAATCACTGAAACAGTGCTGACTAGTTTGATTCATGCCTCGCTACCAGTTGCAACTTTGGAAGCCATAAATTTGCGAGGTTCTTGAATGTGGTATAACACACCAATACAAGAAGAGAAGGTGTCAATGGCGTGGATCGAGTACGGTGCCCTATCGCTTGCTAGAAGGGGGCAATACAAAAAATCTCCGACTTCACAAGCACATATCATTATGACACCAAAGCCTTTCTTAATTGGAACATCGTGAGACTAGCTCGAAGAGCCTCAGCCTTCGTGGATCCACGAGGTACTACTTTGCGGAAGGTATGCTCTTCACTTGTCGGGAGACCTTCTTCAGAACGGCAGGGTTTGCAAGAAGGGTTTGTCTAGATCGTCAGAAGAACGATGGCCTCACTTGGTGCGCGAAGCAGGTCCAAATTTCCAGCCTGATCCGCTAATCAGGCGGATCAGGCTGAAGATAGTTCCTCCCTGCCCTCGTCTACGACCAAAAGCGATTTATCTTCACAGGACGTAATGCGTGGCTTGGTGAAATTCTGATCGACAAGTCTAAGAATATGGCGAAGGTACAACTGATAGGCAACGCGGATGCTGCCGAGTTCTGTCCCTGTGAGCCGTATCAGCACATACTGGCGGCGGCCTCGTACACTCTGCAGGAAGGGGAAGAACCAGTTCGCCTCGGAGAACTGTATCTCTACTCAGCTGAGAAGACAGCGGAAGGTGGATCATCCGATTTGAGCTTGACCCAGATTTTCCACACAGAAACGTCGGGAGTTTTCGACATTTGCTGGCGGCCATGGAGCGATGGCAGCAGCAGGCCCTGTTTGGCACAAGCGAGTGCAGATGGCACGCTGCGTCTGCACGAATTGCAAGACGACCCCACATCTTCTGCAGCGGAGCTTCATGAGACCTCCAGAGCCGATGTTTCCTCCTCCATGTGCCTCTTCGTGGACTGGGCTCCCAACTCTTGCGAGCCCCAGCTCGCCGTGAGCCACTCCGATGGATCGTTGTCTGTCATCGACGTCGGCCAGGCGGATCCCCAAGTGATATCCTCGTGGGCTGCGCACGGTTTCGAGGCCTGGATCGTGTCCTACGATACATGGAAGCCTCAAATCGTTCACAGCGGGGGCGACGATTCCCAATTCTGTTGCTGGGATTTGCGAGACACTCAGAGGCCAGCTTTTCGAGACAGGAAGACGCACCAGATGGGCGTTTGCAGCATCCAGAGCAGCCCTCTGCGCGAAAACATTTTGGTCACCGGGAGCTACGACGAGCACGTTCGTCTGTGGGATCTGCGCATGCTTCACAAGCCCGTCGTGCAGGCCGAACTCGGGCTCGGCGGAGGCGTTTGGAGGCTGAAATGGCACCATTCCGACAGCCAGCTGCTTCTGGCCGCCTGTATGCACAATGGGTTCGCAGTCGCTCGAGTCGGGGACGACGAGATCGAGGTTCTGGAACGGTACGAGGAGCATAACTCGCTCGCTTATGGGGGAAGTTGGTACGCGGGTGACTGGGAGCAGAGGGAAAGTGGGGCAGTTCAGACTGGGGCAAATGCTCCTCACGAATTGGAAGCCCCAGCTCAAAAGAATGCGTTACCTTTCGTGACTCAGTCGGGTAGCAAGAGTGAGTTGAGTCCGGGCTCCCGATGCCTTGTTGCAACATGTTCTTTTTATGACAAAGCTCTGCATATCTGGGAGCCGAAGACTTTAGCTGTCAGAAGAACACTTTAGCCTGTAGTCGATTTAACTTTCAGACGCATCAACGTGCAATTTTGACGTTCAATTTCGGCTCGGGCGCGTGGGCTGGACACGAGGAGAAGAATCTCACCGAGGGCTTTGTCTTAAGATTCATAACCTCGAACGCCTCAAGTGAGAATTCGTCCCCTCGAAGGAAGAATAGTGTGACTAGAAGCGTGTACACACATCGAGAAATCTGATTCCCGATGAGCAAATTACTGTCCACCACGATATATCTCTTCTACCCTTATGCCTGAAAACTTCTCTTCGTAATGGTAGACCTTGATGTTTACTTCCCTGGACGAGTTTGGCTGCATGCAACATTTCTTTCTACACCTATGGCTCATTAAGTTCTGGTTCATCGGGCACTCGTCTGGAATATTTTGCCAATATGTCCCACGATAGAATGAGAGTGCGCGCTGCAAGGTTTCAGAGAGCACTAATGTTGCAGAGGAATACTGCCACACCGAGACACCTAGCGTGAGGCAGTACAAAATCTCCCATTGATCTCCGTGGTAAGGTGCACTGCCTGACCGATATCTGTGAGAGATGACGTTGTGATTTCCAAAAATTGTTTGACGTTGTGACTTAAGTTTCCCAATTTCCGCCTTCCGTAAGTAATGTACCGAGGCTTACTGAAGGATTTCTAAATCGATGACGACGATGACTACAATCTTACTTGCTGCAGTGATCAGCAGCTGCCACGGGCTTTTTTTGGTCTTGCAGCTCTGTCCGGTCATGGCTAGCTTCTCATGTGTAACATTCTTCTCTTAAAAACCGTATGTCGTTGATATGTCGCGGAGTTTATACTCATCCTGCTCCAATTTACAAAACTAAGGGAGAATAATTCATCCTCTCTTCTAACAGTTGGACAGCGGGAGAAGCATATCCGTCGTGGTAGCCTGGACCAATTTCTCCACGTAACCTCCAATGGTCCATTCAGGTTGAAGCACTGCACTTCGAAAAGTTACAGTATTTTCGTCTGTTGCAGCACACCTTTTAGTGCTGATCAGGGCTAGAGATTCCTGCACGCAGCAGTTCGTGCAGGAACGGGAAGGAAGATGGACAATCAGACGATTGAACAATTCTCAGCGAAAGAGTAGCCCGCAGAGTCAAAGCAACCAGAATCGTCGTGCATTTTGACACGACAAGATTGGGCAGGAAATCGCAGAGGTAGACTCGTCAAATTCGTACTGTACAAAGACTGGCACACAATCCGCCTCCGTTCAGGCCTGGACGGACACCCAACCCGATCCATACACTCTCAAGAAACACTGACAAAACCCTGCTAGTCCCTGCGCTTCCACCATCTACGCCCAACCTTCTTCCAGATCCCTCCGTGTCAAACGCCACGATGCACCCGGAGTTGCAAAGCCATTCCCTTCCACATCGATGCTCGAGCGGCACGAAGCGAAACGATGACAGTGAATACGTCTGAGCTGAACTTTCACCCTCGGATTCTATCCATGCGAGATTGTCGCCCACCGGGAATCCTTAAAGAAAAATGTCCAAGCGCGGTTCGAAAAGCTCGAATCTGCTCTGCGATCTCAAGTGCAGCAAATTGTTGAAACCCAAGCGCCACCGACGAGTCGGGATATGGCACACGAGTAGGTGAACGAGAACGGGGGCCGAATCGGGAGGCATGATGACTCTGCTGTACACGCTGAGACACACGAACTCGCCCACGGTCTTGACGCTGCTGAGCCCGTACTCGTTGTTTTGGGAGCAGTGCATTTGGGCGACGAAGCGATCCAGCACCGCCTTGGGCAGCATCGAGAGCTCGCTCCATCGCATGGTGATCGGATTCAGCTTCCAGATTCCGAACGTGGGGCTGGCCGAAACCCGGCACAACTCCTGCACGCACAGCACGTCGCCGTGATGCTCCACAAGGAAGGGCCTGCTGCTCGAAAGCTCGCCAGGAGAGCTCTGCAGAGTCTGCAAATCGAACGCCCCCCGCAGCCGCCCATCGCTCAGGCTGTGCGTCGTCAGCCACTGGTGGTAGTTCAGAGTGTAGATCAATCCATTGCAGAGCGCGCGAGGGAATGATCGGAAGGCGTGGTCGTCGACGCACTTGGTGACGGTCCACTCGTCGGTGGAGGACGAGTACATACACACGGCCGAGACGGACATATTCACGGCGCCGAATTCCTCCCAGATCGAGCCCGGCAGGAGGAGCACGAGCTCGATGCGCAAGTCGCTCGTCGAAGAGCATCGGCGGTCGACCTCGAGCTTGATGCGCCACTGCTGGCCTTCGTTCCACAGATCCCACACCTTCCGCGGATCGGCGAAGCTGAGCTCGGGAAGCTTGCGCCACGTTCTCGTCATGGGGTTGAGCAGGCAGATGGCCAACGAGCTCACCTGCGGCCGCCGATCGGGATCGGGCGCCGGCAGGAGCACCCCGACGAGGCCCTGCTGCACGAAGAAATCGGTCGAGCTCCAGCGCGAGCACTCGGGCGGCAGGAACGACAGCTCCAGGTCGCACACGCGCCGCGGCAGCTCGCAGCGCAACGAGGCCTCGCGGTCGGCGTCGACGAACTCCAGGGCGCAGATCGGGCGCGCGCCCGAGGCCGAGGCCGAGGCGCTAGAGCGCAGCGCCGAGTCCGACAGCAGATCATTGCGCCAGGCCCTCGACACGGCGCGGAAGCGCACCTTCACGGCGTAGGGCAGCTTCTGCAGCACCTTCCCCAGCACGTCCTTGGGCAGCCCGCTCCACACCCGTTCGTCCATCTCCGCGCCATCCCCCGCTCCCGCGCCCGCCCGCGCCACCGGCACCTCGAAGTCCCCTCGCAGGACGTGCAGCATCAGCCTCGCCTCCGTCGCCATAGCTCCGTCGACCGTTCAGCCCTCCCGCGCCCCCTCCCCCCGCGCCGATTCTACACTCCTCCCCTCCGCGCCCGTCCACCGTTCGGTCCTCCCGCGCCCCGCTGCCCTCTCGAGCGTAAGCGTAACGCTCCTCGAGCTCAAGAAGACGACGAGTCGACGACCGTTGGCGTCGGAGGTGACGCACGTTGCAGCGGGGCGATGGAGCGTTCGATTTGGGCGGGCTCGAGGGGGCTCGGCTTTTTAGGGCTCAGCAGCGAGTGAGCGAGCTGGGGAGAGAAGGCGGGGATCGACGAGGGGGAGGAAGGGCTCGTTTGCAAGGGCATGGGCTTCGAGGAGGGAGTGTGTGTCGATGGCGCAGGAGCTGGGCCTCCTCGGCGTGCTCGGCGTACTCGACATTGGAGTCGCGGTTGTAGAGAGCGTCAGGGGAAGAAGCCCTTTTCCTGAGTCGGCTGAGGTGAATGCGTTATCGTCATCCTACGAGCGCGTGTCGTCATTCGAGGCGGAATGCATTCCCTTCCCCGTGCTTGTCGCTACAGCCGGAACGGAACGCACGAGAGCAGGCGTGGGCTTCAGCCACCGTCACTGCTCAGAGCCATAGCCGTGCCCGCCGATGGTACCGCTATGACGTGGATTTCTTTCGGATCCGTTTGCCCGATCTGCTGCAGAGCTCGGCACCTTTCAAGCTCTTGGTTTCTTCATATTTTTCATCTCCCGGAATTCCGAGGAAGGATTTCAGGGTTTTGTTTCTGTCAAGAATGTATGGTGTGCTTAGGTCCTGATACGGTTGATGAGTGCGCTCCTTCCTGATCTTTTTTCGGCGATTAATTTCGTCTTCAGTGAACGCATTCGCTGTCGACAGTAATGATAAAAGCTGCCGGCAAATGTTTCTCAATTATCTCACAATTCGACGACCGACACCTATAATGCATTGAGGGAATTCTTTATTGATTTCCTTTCTGTCACAGCTTCCGGCGTGGGTTAAGTCTGGAAGTCTTGAAGATAGCATGGATACACCATGTGTGTATCCATGCTCTATTTCTATTTGGTTAACCATTCAGAATGAAAACAAGACTGCATAATCACCCGTTACCAAACTCGGGTGATTCTGAATGGATTCTGCAGTCTTGTTTTCATTCTGTCCACATCGCTCTCTGTAGGCTGTGTGAGCCAGTATTGAACTGAATTTTCCCGCTCTTCATTATTTACTGATGGAAGGAAGTTGCAAGGCTCGGTTGTTCCTTCCGTTTTAAGGCACCTAGTTATTTTTTATGTTGAACACATCCAGGCAGTTTATGAGCTACGTTGATGACATATTGGAGGGTAGTTATAACACTGAGAGATTGGAAGGTGCTTTGGAATAGAATCCCTGAGACCGCTTCTACACTTCAAGGTTCCGTGAGTCCACCAATATCGTCGTTGAATCAACTGAACTTTGATAATTTGTTTGTGTAGTCTTGTAGGCATTTGCCATGTTAAATCTCTCTCTCTCTCTGTGCTTTGTTCCACTGGACCAAGTTTAACAAATTTCTTACAAACACCTCGATATGGTCTCGTCAAAACAATCTATGAGCTGAGTTCTCATGCCTATTATGTTTTGATTCTAAGTCTGTGCTCTGTGCACAGACTTAGACACAAAGGAGCTGAATTCAGCTCCTCTAGAGGAAACCTGTTTTATACCTCTATGATTGCCAAGAATGTACTGGCTTCTGAAGTCAGCCTTCTTTTCCCCAACCTGCAAGTTTACATGCTGTCATATTCATCGATATAACTCATGCAACTCATCGTGGCTCCCTGTACCTCGTGAATGCATATTACACGGTACACAGCCTAATAAACTGGTCAAAGTCTGCAATCTTATCTCTAGTTATGCATGGTAGGTATCATCCTCTGTATGCGTATTTGAATCTAAAACCCAAAAGTGCACTGGAACGACTGTCGAGATAGTTCATTCACCGTACTTTGGATCATATACGTAATGTAGAATTTCGAAGTCAGGTGTTGATACCCCACTGTAAGCCGTGCTTCGATGCCTCAACTGTCCTGCAAATTCTTCCCGTGCTGTTTTGTGTTGATTGGCCTCAATAGTCCTCCCTTTTTTTCATCCTATCACCAACTGCCACCGGGATCTTTCGAGTGAATCGACCTCATAACCAACTAGAATCGGAAAGAAAGTAGATTGATTTGGTCGTATACCTCTCGGCAGTTTCTGTTATGAATAACTTTCAAGATGTTATCTTCCAGCTGAGTGACTCATGCGACTGTCGCTGCATGTGACTGTCGCTGTTCTAAGACGTTAAAGTTCCCGAGGATGCTGAACTTTGATGGCATCCTTGCCAAGAATTCTCCACCTTTATCCCAGTTCGACTTTCTACAGCCTACGGGTCCTTGCAGGGCTATATTCCCATGCAGTCGGGCACGATGGATACCCGACCATGTGAACGTGAAGTCTTCGTCTGCAAGGGACGTGCAAGAGGACTTGGTATTCTGCAGGGGTCAGAGAAACTCAGCAGTGACTGGGCACATTCTCATTCTACACGACAGTATACTCAGCGTGAGGGCTTGCGGAACCACCACCAGGTCGAATTCCAAGCAGCCGCGAAGACACGCCGTAAGTCTGGATTTGGTATCCGGGGAGTGAATGGATGTAGAAGAAAGACGGCTCCGAGTGCCAGGTATCTGTATTATACACTAATTCGACTCTGTTCTCTGCGACTGGAGAAGCCACCGACTGAGACCAACCGTCTCAAGAATCCAATGAGAGAATTGTTATCTTCCAAGGACAGTAGTCTTTGGGAAACACATGTGATAAACACCTTCTGCAACAATGCAGATTGAGGTTTCCATGAGAAACGTAGTAAACATTGTCCAATAATACATATCGCAGAAGATTGATCCTCATTTGAGGAACTTTCCTTGGCTTTGAATGAGACATGAAAAGACTTCTTGATGCTCGATGAAAAACATCCTCACCTATCATCTTTACTTTGTCAATTGATGACTGTATGGATGATACAGACATCTCCGATACATCTTCTCGTAGGTTGTAATTTCTAGCTGCACTCAATTGACCTCGAAGTTCACGAAGAAACCAGCACATACTGATGGGAAGCGAAGCTGTAGTCTCTTACACTCTTTAACCTTATGTTTTCGTTTATAAATGTATTCTATAAACATATATTTAGTTTAAGTTTTACCCCTTCATATTAAATGATATTGAACAAACTTAATACATCTTCCAGCTGAGAATTATTTACATGGTTGCAAACATCAAGAATATCCCATTTGTATGTACTTTGTCGAAGAAATATCAATATTTTCTATAATGATTGCTTGCAATTGTTTTGCATGATTACAGATATATTAGAGTTGCTGATTATATAAGGATTGATGACACGAGAGAAAAATGTCAATATACTCGAAATCTTCTCGTCATCAGGTACATGAAGATTTTTGATGAATTTCCATTGAATGTGATGCATGCTTCAGACGTGATATCAAATTCTTGATAACTTGTCTTATTTACCGATTATCATTCTTGTGGTAAAAATACAAAAGAGGTATTAGAGATCCACGACACCATGATATTATATGAATCTCTTCGGTCAAAATTGATAATCTGCACAATTTCTGTGCATATTTTTTTGGAATGAAAGAAAATGGTGTCTCAATACCTTCCTCATGAAGAAAGCATGTTGTTACTAACAATTTATGATGGTTAATGGAAAACACACATCGAAATCGAACGAAAATATTCTGTCAAAATTGGAAAATTTCTAGGAAAAGGAAGGTTTCCTAGAAGTCGTTCTTTTAGCGTTAAGATTGGTCTAGGGTTTTTGAGATTTTTTTCGTGAGTTTTTTAGTACAGGTAAACTTAAACTAAACCACGTAGATTTAAGCACTTTAACATATGAGTTGTCATCATTCAAGCATGAGGAATATTTAATCTGGAAAAAAAAAACTGGATGAATGCAAAGAAATGGCATATCATACTGGTTATTAATTTGTCAAGAAAATTATTCTGAAAGTATATGTAATTGAAGTAATTTTAATATATGAATGATTGTCTCTTGATCAATAGTCGGTTTTTTACATGGAAAAGACGCGAACACTCACTTTCCTTGACGTTCAAAATTGTTTCAAAGAAATTGTTTTTGAATTATGTTGGACGAGATGTTTGTAAAATATTGATGAAGAAATCAAATGATCTAATGAGTCATACTTTTATTGCTGTTGCAATAAGAAGCTTTCTAAAATGACTATGATACTAAGATAAATTGACACGTCTCCAAATAAATTTAGACAAACTATTACAGAATCATGTAAACTTGTATTCAATAAAATTTATTTATAGGAAAATATTTTGTATGTTAATATAATATAGAATGATGATTAATGAAATTTTTTGAAGGAAGATCTTAAAAGTATACGATTATATTTTATGATGATTATGCTATATAAATTTCATGCAGCAAGGGTGTACAATATACACCTAAAGTCTATATTGATTATATCTTTTAGGAAATTCTACATGTCTTCTTGTTCTCTTTCTGTATAGCGATAAATATTACACAGAAATATTCTCTATCCACACTTGATTTGAAAGACCTTTCAGTCCGCCAGAGACATATATATACATACTACCCTCTTGACTACCTTACTTGCGCATTCTGATAATCCAGAGGCTAAATAGCGGATTAAAACAAGAATCACGCAAAGAAATTCTTAACTACAAATAAAGTGTTAGACTCGCGGTTAATACCCCGTGGATTTGAAGCAGATGTTCCGATTCTTCGGGTCGAGGGGCGCGGAGTTCCTTGCGGAAAATACTTCTGCATTTCTGCACTCAACGACACTCCTCGTCCTACTAACCCATACAATACGGCGCGTGACCGGAGGTTCGCCAGCCGGGAGTACCCGGTCACCGGTGGCGCTCATCAAGAAATGTGCGAATTTAGTCGATGAGCGGCTCGCAATCGGGCCTCTTCAGAAAATGACTCCGAGCAACAATAAGAAGAGAGCGGCTCCGAATGGCGGCCGTGACACGGACGACAGGTGCCACGATGCAAGTCGCAGGCCCCTGCGGAGGACCGGAGAAGTCCCCCAATCGGCCGTCCTTCGAGAGAGGGAGAGAATCCGCAAGGAAGGAAGTGTGAAGGGCCGGAGGAGGAATAATTTGGACAGAGGATTCTATTTTAAAGTTGGCGATGGAGTGAGCGAGGGAGGGAGGTGGAGGCGAGGGGATGGATGGGAGGCCGAGCGAAGGAAGGGTCAGGGGCAGGGGCGGGGGCCTGGCTGGGCAGTTTGGCGATTCCCCCAAGTCTAGGCCCCGAATTCGGGAGATTCTAGTGATCGAGGCTGCAGAGTGGCAGCATGTTCGCCTCGCGGGGCTGCACCGCACAGTGAGCCAGCGAGCGAGCGACTCGACTCGGTCGTGCTCGGGCCGACGGCCGACCGGCGAAGAAGAAGCTCGCCACCATCCCTCGCTGCATTGCTCGTCTCTCCTCTCCTCGGGCCTCAATTGGCACCAGCTGCACTCGACTCCCGCGACGTCGCTCGGCCGGGCTGCGCTGCTCTGCTGCCTTCGACGATCCGATGCCGTGCGTATGACTCGCTGCCCACACGCAAGAGGTGAGTGAGCTTCCGATTCCTCCCGCTGCTGCTCGTCCCATCCTCGAGCTTCCCATTTTTCCTCGGCATTCCTTCGACCAGGCGAACGAATGCCGGCCGTCTCGAGGTCGCCAGGTTCTGGAGCTTTCTGTTTGTGCAATGAATCTTGTCCGCCCGAGCCGTCGCCTTGGCAATAGATTTTGCCTCTGCCGAATCCCGTCCGGATTGCTCAGCTTCGCCGGGAGAGGTGAGGAGATGGGACGAGAGCGGGGAAGGCTGCGAAAGCGACTGAGTGTGGTATCCTTGGAGATAAGTCCGTGAGTCTTTGAGCTTATCAGTGTCAGAGCCTCGCAGTAGCTCGGGCGGGGCTGGGAGATCTTGGGAACCGCGCGGAAATTCGCGAGGCCAATGTTGCAGCTGTTGGTCGTGAATCGAGGCTTGCAAACTCGGACGTGAGCGTTTGTCTTCCGACTGCGTGACAAGAGGGTGGCAACTTCGTAAGTAAAGAACGACCTTCGGTTATGGGGTAGGCGGGCGGGCGTAATCCATCTGCGGGTCCCTCCCCGTTGTGGATTACGCCAGAACTCAGAGTTCGAAGTCCGGACTCACCTCCGGCCATGGGGATGCCAGAGGAAGCGTAGGAACAATTTGGATTTGCTTGCATCTGGCTGGGCTGGGGATGATTGAGGGTAGTCCCTTCGAATGTGAGTTGTGAGAGTCGTTCACCTAACTCAAGGTGCATATCTCGCATCTTGAGGAGCTGGCTCTTCTGCGGGACGACGCGAATCTGGTTGACCTGGTATTTACACTCGCTGGAGAATCTGCGAGGTTTAGAGTCCGGAATTTGGGTCCAATCTTTTTGGTCTCGGATATTTTTCCTCCAAGATTCGCTGCCAATCCTTGCGTATCAGGTCTTGACTTTCCTTTGCCGAAATCTCAAGATCTGCGCCAAGTTGGGCTCTCGAGTGGTTGTCGAGTGCGCTCGACAACCTCTCCTTGTCTCTCGCAATCAATCGAGCCTTTGCAGGGTTGGGCTTTCGTCTCGTCTCCGAGGCATACGTGCGTTCGGATCTCACCAAATGGTCGTCATTATACCACCCTCGCATCGCCCCACAATGAGCAGGCGCATTGTCGGATTCATTCAGGGCAGCAGTTCTTGATTGATCGTGTACTTTCTCTCCAGATGTCTTCCAGATACCAAGAATCCGTTGCGGTCGCGGAGTTGGTTACCTCGGTCTGAGTCTGGGCCCCACGTCCTGCGCCGTCGCTTTTCGAAGCTCTCTGGACTACAGAGCATTTAGCTGCTCATGTGCCGTGGGCTAGGTCCTATTTGTTGTTGCCATGTACAATTTTAAAAGCATATTTGCCCATCCTCCGTTGCTCGGTGGTGAGTGCTCAACTCAGGTTCCGCCTTAGGCCCACTCACGACCTTCTCATTGATTTGGTTCTTGACTTGGCTCTATCTCCCAGCCAGCCTTCGTCGTGCTTGGGCGGTTTGTACGTGGATATGCATGCGGCCTACATTTCCTTGTTCTCCACATTTGGTTCCCCATTGAGCATCATTCGTTTGCAGTTGGAAGGTCGAGCTCACCGTGTCTAACTGAATCTCTCCGGCTCGTGTCCGAGGCCGGAGGTGGAACTTGGGTTGCCCAACTTTTGACAGTTAGTTCTCTTGGACATGGTCGTTCTTATGTGAAGGCATGTGAGAGGTTCAGGGCTGTGGGATTGAGTATGAAGACATCCAGTGACCATCGAAGGACTCAACTTTGAAACAGCCGCCACCATCACGAAGATGTCGAACCGAAATAGAACCAACAATCATGAAAGTGGTCGATCTTCGAGTCGAAAAACCACTTTCACGTATGATGCGCCTTGGCCGATTTACGCGCTGAATTGGACTATCAGGAGGGACAAGAGGTTTCGTCTCGGCATTGGAAGTTACCTAGAAGAGAGCAGGAACAGAGTGGATATTATACAATTCGATGAAAAGACAGACGAATTCGTCGCAGATCCGAATCTTACGATCGAGCACCCTTACCCTGTCACCAAGCTTATGTTTGTGCCAGACAAGGAAGGGACAAAGCCGGACCTTCTGGCCACCACGGGGGATCATCTGCGCATATGGCAAATTTATGAGGACGAAGTGAGACTGAAGAGTCTTCTGAAGACCAAAGAGGACAGCGAGTTTTGTGCACCTCTCACATCGTTTGATTGGAATGCCAGTGAGCCAAACCGACTAGGTACTGCAGGAGTGGATGCCATGGTTACTATCTGGGATGTGGAGAAGGAGGCGATGGAGCTACAGATGCTTGCTCACGACAAAGAGGTGTTTGACATCGCGTGGGGAAGTGTTGGAGAGTTTGCTTCCGTCTCAGCAGACGGGTCTATACGGCTCTTTGATCTTCGTGATAAGAAACACTCTACCATTATTTACGAGAGCCCGCAACCAGATACTCCTCTCCTGAGGTTGGCTTGGAGCAAACACTCACCGAATTACATGGCCACTGTTGTCATGGACTCCAACAAGATCATGGTGCTCGACACGCGATACTCCACCATCCCTGTTTTCGATCTGCAGCGACATCAGGTGACGGACGACACTCTTCTCCATTCTCTTTTTCTCTTCTAACTAAAATCTGTTTTTACTCTTGTGCTCAAATTCTCCTCGCTGCCTCTCCATCCGAGTATTTCGAATGGGCTTTCTTATCTGAAAGACTATCGGTCCAACCCCAACTCAGTGTATATTGAGAGTAGGGCCTCGGTGAGCACCTCCTCCTTCTCAATTCGAGGGTATTGTCGATCTTCAGATCTTTGATTGCCCGTGGGCCATCGACCACATCGGAGTTAACGAATCCTCGTCTTGTTCAATGGGGTCTCCGCCGGTTTTTCCTTCCTGATGATTACTAAGGGAGTGATAGTTATCTTTCATTGTTCCATTTGTGGAGTCCATTCCAGCACTACAGAGAAAGCCTCGAGAGCTACACACTATTAGGTATGTACCGTGCATTATCTAAAGGCTCATGTTCTCACTGCTGGCTTGCAGGCGAGTGTAAATACCATCGGCTGGGCGACACACAGCCCCAGTCTACTGTGCTCAGGAGGGGATGATTCCGAAGTGTTTTTGTGGGACCTGCAGACCATGAGTGAACCTGTGGATGGGGGCTTTGATCCTATCCTAGCTTATTCTGCAGATTCGGGGGTCAACAATCTGCAATGGTCCTCGATGGCGGAATGGGTGGCAATAGTCTTCTCATCTGAGCTGCAGCTTTTAAGAATATGACGTACCTCCATGCTGAAGCTATAAATCGCGACAAGTTCATGTCACGAAACAATCTTTGCACATTCATGAGTGTTAATATTTTTTGACGCCGCCTTTAATCCTCCGTAGATGTATAGATAGTTGTTACGCACGAGGCTGTACAGTCAAGGAAAAGCTGGTCAAATCGACGGAAAAGGTGTATCTCAAGACTTTCTGCAGCGCAGGAGTCACGATCTAGATATCAACTGTATTCAGACAGTTGTGGACAAATTGTGTAGAGATTTGGAGAGTGCTTCTTGCAAGAGTCTCCTACAAGTTAGTCAGATGCCAGTTTTGAAAATTGGAAAAGATGTTGACAGTTCAGGTTGTCCTTGCCATTCTATGGTTCATTGTTGTTTGTTAACGACGTTGTGGTGCGAAGTGTTCTGTACGGGCATCGTCGAAAAATTACGTATTCTTCTTACTCCAAAATTGACATGTACTTGTTTGAGTAACGACGGTTTGCGGTCAAATGAAAACTTTTCAAAGTGAAAGTCCACATATTTCGATGAAAACAGAGCAGACAGCGAAGGAACAAAACCAATTTAGTTAATTTTTTCGGTTAGCTATCCGTTGCCCTTTTTTTCAAATGTAGACACTTCGCAAGTTGTTCCTTCGACTCACTGATTTTTTCACATAAATTCTCACTGGGAATCTTTAATTATGGAGCACCAAAATTTATCGCCGATATTTCCTACGTTTCCAATTCTATAAGCTATCTATGTGTGAGTGCTCACTACAAGGACATAAGCGTAATTCGTGACGGTGTAAGCGAAACTCTAGATCTCAGTCCAACATTGAGAGAATATCTTGTCCGATTTCCTACGTCAAATACAAGGTAAGACCCATGACGAAAGTTTTGCACTATTCTCTACTTAGTCGCTACTAGTACTCCCATTAATCCACCTGCCAATTCATAATGGACTGCTTTGGAAAACCCTTCGTCGGCTGCAAGTCTCTCTTGTTCTGCACCTGAAATCATGCACACAGTAGGGAAAACAGAGTTCATTTGACACTTTAAAAAGCCTGTGATGAGCCTCCAAAAGTCACGTCTGGGTTTAGGCAGAGATTCCATGTCAAAAATACTGGTGGGAGTAGTAGACGGGATAATCGTACCTAGCGGGAAGCGAGCTATGGACGTTTTAAGGTAGGCGTATTCTTCTCGCACTCCAAAATATGTAGCGACCGGAACCACTACGTTGTCCAATACAAAGCCCTGCAGATGAGAGTTGCAGAATATGACTTGAGGAGAATGTGTATGATAGCCAAGTCTTCCTTTACATCATATTCGTATGCGCAGGAGGGTCCACATTTACTTATGAATTTGATAGTGAAATTACCTGTACTTCACCAGTTAAAAGATCTGGACTGCGGTTGAAATCTAGCACAGATGCTTTTCTACCTGTACAATGTTCACCAATTTTCAGTAATGATAGTTCAGTGAACTCTCGTCATCGATTCCAGGTTCCTACTACACCCACAGAAAGTCTCGCCAGTGAAAGTAGAAACGGAACTCCAGCTTAAGATTAAAACACTGCAGTTGCGGAACGTAAGTAACCTGGCTTCAGGACACGATAGATTTCGGCGAGTGCCTGCGGAATGTTCGTCACGTTTCGAAGCCCGTACCCCATTGTGATTGCATCAAACGACGAATCTTCGAAAGGTAGAGATAGAGCGTCTCCTTGTATCCACCTGTAAAACATACGACGGGCTGGTAAGAAAACCTGCAAGCTCACTTCCGTTGAAGTCTGGAGCTACATCATCTTATTACATTAAAAAAGAGGAGAGTGGGTTATGAGTTCTGTGAGATAAACTGGATGGCAGAATGCAGTCACTTGCTCCATATCTGCCGCAGATGTTCGCGGAGAGTCCTGCTGCCGATCAGCTGCAATGACAAGTTGTTCTTTCGCAAAGTCGAGACCTATGACCTGCTCAGAGACAGGTCGCACTTGTCAGAGACTTACCCAGGGGAATAAGCAACAGAGAGCAGTTAACGACATCCTACCGCCCTTCAAGATTCAGCCGAAGTGTTCACTCCTATATCGCAATGGCAGAGGTTCCAAAGCTGTCAAACACACACACACCTTTCCACTTGGTCCGACCTTCTGCGCCAACAAGAATGCCAAATCACCACTTCCACAGCAGATATCCAGCACTGTCTCTCCTGCTTTCGCCCTGCGAGAAACTTTTAGTTACTAAGATTTTCACCTGCATGTACAAATCCAATTCTAGGTTTTCAACGTAACACGTAGATTGCCTGAACAGGCCTGCACATCGCAAGTTTTATACTTGCCAACCAAAAAACAGGAATACGAAGTAAGAATTGTTCGTGAAGAAAACACGCATACCCGGCCCAGGACACAGCCATGCGTTTCCAAACTCGATGTTGGCCCAAGCTCAGCCAGTCATTCAACTGCCACAGCCGCTTGCTTTTGTCAAGAGAGAGTGATTTGATGACATCCGGTCACCTCCGACTGATATATAATTCGGACTCAAGAACTGATAACCTTCAATTTCCAGAATATATGGCAACTGTGACCCCTTTCACCAAGCTATCATCTGCGAGCTTACATTGTCGTACATGGGCGCAATAGTGTTGAATAGTTCCTGTCTCTTTAGCATCTCGGCTTCGTCATCGAGCTCTGCTGGAGAGCCTGGATTCGACGGTTCACTGGTGACTGCCTTCACTGGCCATCCAGCACTCGAGTTTGGTTTGAGATTGGCGGCTGATGCACCAGGCAGCACTAAGCGTAAGCAAACTTTTTCGGCTGCGAGAAGAACAAAGTCTCTCACAAAATCCTTGTCGAATTAAGACCACCAAGATCAGAAATGAAAAAGTAAAAATCAGAATTTCTTGTGAGTTTAGGACATTTAAGGGTGCGAGGTGCCCAAATGTCATTCACTTGCGTATCAAAATTTAAAATCATGTTCGAAACATATTTCTCCTTGCTTACCAACTTCCGAATTGTCTTGGAATGCCGAATTTGTCCTGGAAAAATGGAATCGCCCAGCCAAGTTCGTCTTCTGTCCGATTCCGATTCCAGCAAGCATCTGCAATTGATGCAAGCAGTGAAATTCAGGGCAACGTAGCCACGAGCACAGCCGGCTGTGAATGCAGTGAAGGACGGAGTCTCCATCTCAAGAAGACTTCGTCGACACTAAACCCTGTCCCGTCTGGAAGAGCCAATGCAGAATGCAGAAGGTTTGGTAACACCTCAAGAAAATCTGCGATCCAGTCTAGTCTCAGAAATTTCAGAAATTTCAAACATCGTGGTAGCCCTGACGGGCAAGTGCGCAGAAGATAGCGAAGGAGTAGAGAGTCCGACAACGGAAGGAGGATCGGGGGAAAACCACATCCGACCTTGGCGGAAGAAGAAGGCGGTGGCGATGGTAAGTGAGACCAAGGAGCATGGGGGAAAGCGCAGACACTGCAGGGGCCCATTTGGAGCAGCCCCATCGCCGACATGTCGACCGAGCGATCAAACGCAACGCAGCGCAAAACCGCGTGCTCGACGATGGAGACGGATCGACCCACGAACCTCCTTCGCGCGATCGATCGCGAGCTTCCGACGCGCTCGACGGATCGAGGCCGACAACAATCTCCTCTCCACTCTCGCATCCAAGAATCCTTCGCGACTCGAAATCCAACGACGACGACGAAAGAAAGCGCCTCCGACGACGAAAATCCCTGCGCACGTGTTTCCTCCCTGGATTGCCACGTGGACCCAGCCTGCCGCGGTGATTGGAGTTCCGCGCGGGGCTTCTCGACGGATAAGGCTACGCTGGGCTCTGATTCCCCCTCCAGGCGACAAAGGTGGCTCTCTCTAGGCTTGGCCACGGTCCGGAATATTTGTGGACCGGTTAACCGGTCCAGGATTGGAACGTATCAGTTAACCGATATTTTAACCGGTCTCGACGATTAACCATGGGTCCGGATCCCTACGTGGCGTATGGGGAGGGCCGTAAAACCCAAAAATTGTCGATGGTGGAGGGAAAGAGGTGGGCCGCGACTCAAATGAGCCCACGGTTGACTTTCGGAGTTCAGAGACTCGAGGTTAGTTGTACCAATTCGTGAAAGAATTTCTCGCGAATTTTCTCACACTAAATCACGAATTGGGTACCTCGCTAGTCTGATTCTGCTGCCGGAGGAAATTTTTTCCCGGTTAACCGTCGGTCCGGACCGGACCGTGGCCAAGCCTAGCTCTCTCCTGTGAGCGCATCGTCGTAACGTCAAGTTCAAAGAGTCCGTGGAGAGACCTTGATTCTGTCTCGATGCTGTTTCCTATTTTGACTTCGAGCACTTTCTCATGGAAAGAAAGGGTTAAGTCTACGAAAACTGCATCGAGAACAATCCCCACCGTATGCTTGTGGGCTTACGGAATAGGATCACCGCTACGGTGTCTCCTTTGTCACCGTCTTGTGAAGAGTTCACCCATCGAGCTCGCACCCTATAGTACTCAAATTCGACACATGATTATCCGCCTGTCAATCCCGCACACGCGCTCAATCAGTCACGCACAATCTAACCAACCAGCTCAAGCCCAAAAACACGAAGAAACGTGGCAGAGTGAAATTGCCCTAAACTTACCTCGCCTTGCCTGTGGCTAATCCCAACTCGCCTCAAATCCGTCCCAGTTTCTTCAAATCCGTCACAACCTTGCATCAAGCAGCAACCACTAAAACGATATGCTGCTCAATATGAAAGATTGTCTTCTTGTATATCATCACCTCCAAAGTGTTGTTTTTGAAAGCCTGAGACTTCGCACATCAGTTCAATCATGCATTTGATTACAAAGACTTGTTTTTAACTCCATAGCTCTGCATGCGCTGGAGGTGTTTTCAAGAAATATGGATATCTAGACACACTAATCACATACTTGAATTGACATCCTCTTCATCTATGTTCTATAGTCCGATTTCTTACGCTACCGCGATTTGGTGTGGAAGGGTGTTTAACATTATACTAATAAGTCGAGTCGTCTGTCTCAATTGATTAAGATGCTTATAGCTTTTGAAGGCTCTATCGTTGAACGAACATGAAATCTACATTCTATAAAAGCTTTGATACATGATAGTATTCAAATTTTTTTTACCGTGCGCATGAATTTGTTGCACCAGCGAGAAAAGTAGCTTCGATATATAGCTTCTACACATCTTGGGAATTCGTTGGACTTCAAAGTCTATTAGACTTCTCTCCATTTTTGTTTTTCTTGCAAGCATTGCATTGTGATATTTTGTAAGGGAGAAGGACTCCAGGGGCTTTAAAATTCATTATCGACTGGGCTTGATTCAGCCTCTGGATAGTCTAAGCTATTGTTTTCACGTTTTCCAAAAACAGAAGTGATGTGTAAGGAGTACAAGGCTAACTAGGTATGCATGTTTAAATGGTTTGGTCTTCCCGTTTCCACTATTGGATTTCTGATGCTCAAGAATTTGTTTGGCAAGTCATTTGCTTAAACGACGATCGAGCATAAAGAACATTGCGTACACAGGATTACTTTGCATTCGAAATTTTAATGTACGAAATGGACATATAAGAGAGGATTCGCATAAGATCTCATTAGAAACACACATGTACCTGCTCGGCATTCAATTTATCAGAACATCACAAAATTATGAACTGTGGAGAGAGAATAAGATGTGCCAAGATGGAAAAATCTTTACAAAATTCAAGAGTACAAACTTCTAGAAAAAGAAAAAACAGCAATGTAAAATTGTTGAACTTCCCAACCGATAACTTTGCTTTCTCGCTTGTCAAATACACCCCAAAATTCTTCCCAAAGACTACCCAAAAGGGTAGCCAGAATGTGTCTGCAAAACCACATGAACATTAGCAAAAATGAATGAAACTTAACTTTTAATTATCAATCAATTCACTCCAACAGATTGTCATTTAGATTAATCATATTTGTGCAAGCGAAAAGCTCTCTACCTTGATATTCTGGCATGAAAAATCTAGTTGTAAGCAAAAAGATTCTATTTAATTTAGTTTGCGTTTTTGGACTATTACGTTTTTCACACAGTTGTGTGCTACGTGTTAACAATTCCTCCCTAATTGTTTCCATTTTTTTTCCTCAAACTTTTGGTATAACATCAAGAAGAACTTTGTCATCATTAATGACATCTCTGATCTCTCGTAGCATATGACATGTCTGATTTTTGATAAGGTATAACATCTGACAGAGCTTGATTATCATTGATAACATTTGGATAACTAATTCTATCACAATTAATATCTTGAAGAGTCAAGTCTAAATCTTGAAAGTTCTAATAAGTGATAACATATTAATTACAATAAAAATGAGAATAATTCAAAGACTTAACTAATACATACATCTGATTATACTATAAACAATCCAATCTGATGTATGTTATAATCACTAACCAAAAAAACTTTTGAATTTATTGAACGATGTTTTTTTTCAGATGGTTTTTCACAATTAATTTGCTTCTCTTTGCATCATGATACTTGTCAACAATTCCCAGCCTTCTTTACAATGTCAAGCCACTTGGCTTAATAAACATGTGGGTTGTTGTGATTATGTACTATACTCTTTCTAGTTGATATGGCTTTTGAATTTTCAAATCATGCAAGGACCAGTTTATCACAGCTAGTGTGTTCTGCGTTATGCTATCACTCCTTAATACCATTTTTTCTATTTGCATCCAAGCTTCTCTTGATTTTTTAACACAAATGTTTCTCTCATTGAAACTCAATTCTAACATGGAATCTTGTTCATCTTGATTCACATCTTACTCTTCAAAGTACTTTTTTGCTTGCAGTTTTGCACCGTACTGCATTGATAAATGAAAATTATTTCTTAACAACTCTAGATTATTATAATAAATTAATTATTCACATTGCGATCGAGCCCACATTCCATGTTTTCACATGTTTTTTTCCACAAACCACTAACAATCATACAAAATCAACATAGAATAACATTTTCAAACAATGTACTTAATTTTTAATTTTGCACATATTACCTCAACAAATTTGGCTTTGAGGGATATGGAAACGCCACATGAATACAACATAAATAACATGTGATTATTTATGATCAAAAAAAATTTATATAGAGTCATAACTTATATAGTGAAAGCAAATATGAATAAATGCAAATGTAAAATCATACAAATTTTCACCTGAGCATATTTCAATTCATTTTTGGCTGTCCACACATTAGAAATAACAATATTTTTCTTTATCCAATTGAATATCAATCCCATAGCTAATCTATGAATATTATAAACAAAAAAGGCAACATGATTTAAAAAAACATGTCTCATAATATGTCAAACAACGAATTTAAAACCACCCATCATTTTTTAAATCACATTTGTCATGGTTAGATGTCAAGCTTCTGTTGTCCCATTTGTCATCTGATTTGCATGATCAAAATGTTGACAAAACATCATTTATATGTATCTTAAGAGAACACACAAATAAATTGCTAAATATTGTAAATAAAAACATAACTTATGAAAGTAGGATTCAAAGTTAAGTTCACACATAGAATTAAAAATGTGAAAAAATTGAAAATTTGAGGCACATTGTTTTAAGTTCATCAAAGTAACTTTCGTGAATTTTTTTTTATCAGGGGAGTACAAGTGAATCAATTGTAGGTAATCCAACAAAACTTTTACTTGCTAAGAGTCAAACCACACCGTCGGTAGCGGCAATAAATCCTCGCAGGTCATTGGCCGGCGAGTTTCTTTTCTTATCACAAAGGATGGAGCTGTAGTTTAGGGAATCCTAGCTGGCTGAAAAACCATTTGCTGCAAAGTACCAAGTACCTCCGCTTTAAAATCTTGTGTTTCTGGAGTCAATTGAATCCGTGTGGATTCTCGCACCCTCCCACCTTTCTTCTCCAAGAAATGTTGAAATGCATTGCTTTTCAACAGAGATCTTTCTTCTCACACCTGCTTGCATCAATTTGATAGAGAAATTTGTGTGTTTGGCAACCATGGATTCACGGAGACCTCAGCTACATGCCAGTGATGCACATGCAAACCAAGCATTGACTACCAACCATTATGCAATAGTATCCAAATTCCGTCTACAGGAGACAACCATTCCACTTGTGTAATTTTTTGGAGGTTTTTAGAATACCAGATAATCCACAAAATGGAGCATAATGATAAAAAAATGATCCCACGAGGACATAAACATCACCAGAGAATCAAGTAGTGTCACGAATTAACATTCTATTGAGGAGTTTTACTTCTTAGACACATGTCACTTTCAGAAGCAACTGTAATTGTTATGGCCAAAGGCGACACAATTCAGGATGAAATCACACTCGAATCATAAAATTCATTTAATAAATCCCCATAGAAGCCGCACGCGAGTCTGCAATTGATATTAAAGGGGAAAATTACTCAAGATTACACACTCAGCAAGCTGCACTGAGCTTCAAATGTACAGATTTGCTTAAATCTTGAGGTACACTATGCACCACTCAAAACATCTCAATTGGAATCTCTACTTCAGATGCGGTATCTTTGACAAATTGAAGTAACTCGCGCACGATGACAAAACGCACAACTCACAAATGCACGGAGGAATGCAAACTAAAAACTGAGAAAGTGACTAATGGAAAAACCTCTCAAAGGCAAAGTT